TGGGTAAATCGTGGATCACAACAAAGGGCAGATATACTAAATTAATCCTCAAGACCGGAATTTACAAGCAATTGCTTAATTCACCGAGTCACAGCTCACAGATTGGACTAAAGACAACACATGTATTGTCGGTGGCCTCCATGACGATAAATATACGCACTGGTTATAACATGCTAATGAGATAACCTAAAAAAATAAGGTTGTCGGGGTTCTTACAAGATCAAAGAAATATCAGGGGTAAAATTAAGTGAAATAAATAAAAACATTACGAAAAACACCATTTCATTTAATTTCACAGGGGGAATGCATCGTCTGAATAATCCAATCCTTCCCACAGGTAGATCTGAAGAGTAGGGATTATATAAGATAATCGTAATAGCTAGACAAGGAAAGTGGTTTGTTTTCGGTTCATGCAAACTTAGCATTAATAGGTCATTTTGATATTGTTATAGAAATTTGATGTCAATATATTCTGCTGACTAGTTAATTACTCATATATCATTTATTTGCTCAATCAAGCTTGAAATAAGATCTGTTGAACTAACAACATAGTTTGATATCTATTGATTTGCATCAGGGGGCAATTTGTAGTTCACTCTGTAAGAATCAGGGGGACAAGTTATGAATATGTCATCATTTTAATACAGAAGCAGACATTGTCTCTTTTAATTTACATACGCTGTGTATTTAATAATTTCAGTCACATTATTTTATCACTATAAGAGATTTTCCGGTTTTCTTTCGGTTGATTTTTAGTATCACATTATTTACAGAGCGAATTAGACGCTTATTCACTTCGGGTTTGATTCCTGCGTACGTAGAGACAATAATAAAAATCCGTACAAAGAGGACACCTCCGTTCATCAGAATCTCGTCCAAAGCCTGCATTCAGATTTTCAACCTGCAAATTATTTCTCTATGGGAACTTCAAAGCGAACAATCTATAGCACACAAGGCGTCAGTTAATTGTGGCCCCAAAAAGTAGGACGTAAAACTTAATTGCATTTAATAATACGTCACATTGTGTTAAATATAGAGCAAGGTAAAAGGAAATGTCTGTATTAATTCTTATTTCTTAAGAAAATGTAGACATGACAATCGAAAATAAATTAATGTGAAGATTCAAAGTGCGTTTTGTTTCCTTGAAATGTCTTTCTTAATTATTCATTAACTTTCATTCAAAAAAGAACAATGCCATTAATGTGTGATTTTTCACAACAACAAAATTATCTGGCACAATAATTTTGTGAATAATTACCTAGAATGCAGCATAATGTTCTTGAAGAATGAACTAGAATGCAGCATAATAATATTCTGAAAGAATATAGCATAATAATAATTGTGAAGAATGACAGGGGATGCAACATAATAATCTTATTGAAAATGACCGGGGATGCAGTATAATATTTTTGAAGAGTGACCTAGAACGCAGAATAACAATATTTATGAAGAATGGCCAAGAATGCTGCATATTAATATTCTTGAAGAATGGCCTAGAATACAGCATAAATTTTAATGAGGAATAATCAAATATGCATCATAATATTGTTGCTGAAGAATGATCTAGAATGCAGCATAAAATTATTGTTGAAGAATGACCTAGAATGCAGCATAATATTATTGTTGAAGAATGACCTAGAATGCAGCATAAAATTATTGTTGAAGAATGATCTAGAATGCAGCATAAAATTATTGTTGAAGAATGACCTAGAATGCAGCATAATATTATTGTTGAAGAATGACCTAGAATGCAGCATAAAATTATTGTTGAAGAATGACCTAGAATGCAGCATAATATTATTGTTGAAGAATGACCTAGAATGCAGCATAATATTATTGTTGAAGAATGACCTAGAATGCAGCATAATATTATTGTTGAAGAATGACCTAGAATGCAGCATAATATTATTGTTGAAGAATGATCTAGAATGCAGCATAAAATTATTGTTGAAGAATGACCTAGAATGCAGCATAATATTATTGTTGAAGAATGACCTAGAATGCAGCATAATATTATTGTTGAAGAATGACCTAGAATGCAGCATAATATTATTGTTGAAGAATGATCTAGAATGCAGCATAAAATTATTGTTGAAGAATGACCTAGAATGCAGCATAATATTATTGTTGAAGAATGATCTGGAATCTATCATAATATAATTGTTAAAGAATGGTCTAGAATCCATCATAATATAATTGTTGAAGACTGATCTAGAATGTAGCATAATATAATTGTTGAAGAGTGATCTAGAATGTAGCATAATGTAATTGTTGAAGACTGATCTAGAATGTAGCATAATATAATTGTTGAAGAGTGATCTAGAATGTAGCATAATGTAATTGTTGAAGACTGATCTAGAATGTAGCATAATATAATTGTTGAAGAGTGATCTAGAATGTAGCATAATGTAATTGTTGAAGACTGATCTAGAATGTAGCATAATATAATTGTTGAAGACTGATCTAGAATGTAGCATAATGTAATTGTTGAAGAGTGATCTAGAATGTAGCATAATATAATTGTTGAAGAGTGATCTGGAATCCATCATAATGTAATTGTTGAAGACTGATCTAGAATGTAGCATAATATAATGGTTGAAGAGTGATCTGGAATGTAGCATAATGTAATTGTTGAAGACTGATCTAGAATGTAGCATAATATAATTGTTGAAGAGTGATCTGGAATGCAGCATAATGTAATTGTTGAAGAATGACATAGAATGCAGCATAATATAATTATTGTTGAAGAATGACATAGAATGCAGCATAATATTGTTGTTGAAGAATGACTACAGCATTATATTCTGGAAGATATATCATAATAGAACCAAGTTTACGACTTAAATGCGATTATCGTATTCCCATATCTGTAATTGATTTCGACACTCGTCAAATGATCATAGCATAAACTAAGGCATGATTTCCACAGCGATGTTAAAAAAATCTTAATGTGTTAAATTGCAAATCGTGCGAGTAAAATGTTTGAGTATGGTTAAAGCTTCACGCCAGTTATTCGTTTAGAATTTACTAAGATCACATCTAAATAATATAGTCTCCGTTTCCTATTTTAATCCTTTCAAAATCCGTGAAGTACATTTGAAAATAATATCGAAATTTCTTCACCAATTAAGGTTATGAATCAAGTTTCTCAGACAACATTCTGTGAAGTTATGAGTTTTGGGTTATATTAAACATGACTTATTTTAAACTAAATTTGAAATATTTCATCTATTAAAGTCTATTTAGATCAGTCTATGAAAGAAAAAACACCTCAAACCTTCTTTTATAACTTCTGGAGCCATACTTAAACATCATGACCCTGAAAGCAAACCATCTGGACAGTCTTAATTGTTTTCACTGATGTTGGAGCTATTTCTGTCACAATCCCGAGTCGATTGTCCTAAAATCATAAATATATATGTGCTAGTTATGGATTTCTGGTGATGAGCTTTCCGAGGACGTCATAAATTTAAGTATAGAATCTTGTTTGTCGAGTGTTGAATGAAACATAGTTCACGAGTTCACACTCAATATCAAAATAGACGTTTCAATAAAAGGGAGGCTACTACAAGACGGTATCACCATGTACTTTAACTACAGTGAATGAAGCAATAACAATTCAATCACAAAAAATAAAACTGCTTCAGAAAACTTGAGTACATGTCAACTCAATTGCATATTGAAATATAGTTCTTGCTGCTGGACTAGTACCGAGCTTTTCAAGATATGTTTTGTTTATTATCCACCGGAATATACCAGTAATAACACAATAGTCTGGAAAAATTGTCTTGCAGGCAAAGCGGTGTGAAGCTGATCGATAAATGGGTCGGAGCAAGTGGTTTTAAGCAGAAGAATGACATTGGTAAATTTGAACAATAATTGTTCAAGTTCAAGGGAAGTAACTCAGCATTGACCTCAATCATTTATAGTGTTTTGGGGCTATCCTACCATTGAAGTTCTAAACAGATCGTGAAAACGGCGATAGTTGTCACGTATATACTTATACGAAGTTAGTTTTCCCATTATTTAACATATGAACATTATTATATGTTAAAAATATAATTCTGCTTTACTCAATTGTGGATTAAGTTTAAGTGAGGTAACTCTTGAACATTTTTAAACACAGGTAAATTTCAATGATATAAATCGTTCTGAAGTGAATAATATTTACCATCTAGAATCTCATAATTTGAATTATTATTTTCGACCAAGGCTGCTATAATATTACTAGGGCAAATGAAATCTTGAGGATGAGAAAATTTTACTCCTTATCCGGGAGTCTCTTGAGGAGGGTTTGACATCTGAGGCCTTTCAGGCCAGCATTCTCGTTGATGGCATACGACGCCCTCCTCTCGAGGATAACTTGAAGTGATCCCCCACCAAGATTAGGATTCATCTCTGCATCTGAGGCATCGGACAGCATTCTTGTTGCCATCGAAACTTGCCTCCTAAGAAGTGTTTGGAGAGATTCCCCTACATATGTTATGCTAAATTATCCCCGATCAAAGTGGTAATAATCCAACACTAACGCGAGGTTTATTTCCCCAACATCTCACATATTATGATGATAATTTATGAACTTCTGATATTGTAGCGTTTATCTTATTTGAAGACGGAGAAAAATTACAAGGTTCAATTCGGTCTGTAGTCGTAATTTTATGAGGAGTTATTTCCCGTTGATTAATAATTTTCTGAAAGTGACTGGATAACGTTTATGAGTTAAATTTAGTGGCGTTAATGTCCACTATTTTCGGCCAACTGGATAATCAAGACGTAAAAAATCTCATATCCATACGCTTATCGACAATGTGCTTTTTTTCCTCTTTCAAATGTTTCAATTTGTCTCTTTTATTTTTCGCTTTTGTAGAAGGCTATGTTTTTTAAAAAAATTTACATGTTTAAAACCTTTTTTAGCAATACCTGTTTCGAGGAATTAAGGACTATATTTTTGGCCAACAAGGCGTAGGTTGATGTTGAAGTAGTTACTAGTCTCTCCAGCCAGAAAGAAGAAATTTTATCTACTGAAAGGTGCCCACATATATTTTTTCTGTTGAAGCCTTTTTTGGCTATGACTGTTCTTCATATTTTGTTTTTGTCGTTGATAATGTATTTAGATATTATTTTTCTGGCATTTTAAACCTTTCTTAGGAAAGAATATGTCTATTTTGTAGCTAAAAATGTCGATGTTTGTGACCGTTTTGTCTTTGTTTACGTCGCCATCAATCAATGGAGGTCATGGCCAATTTCACAACTTGTTTACAGCTGTTTGTGAAAGAATAAGGCATGGCCATCGCGATTTTTGAATTAGATGCTCTTTTTGTCTCGGCGTCTCAAACTTTATGTAGAATAGAATTGGACTCTGATCAGATACCTTATCGGCAGCCATGTATATTTTGACCAGTGATCTCACTTCTCCTCGACCTCAGACTAGGCCTAGAGTCAGAAATAAAATCGAATCTTTATTTTTTTTTGTCTCATATCACACATATCCCAAATAAAGTGTTCAATTGCAGGTCATTTGTTTTAAAATGTAATTTGCTTCATAGAAATATATCGTATTTTGAGATTTTATATAGAACTACTAGTAATAATCACACTTCCCTCCAAAAAAATGATTTGTAAAGGACACCACATTTCAGACTGAAAATTGCCTTTCATATGAATTGGTTGGGATTTTCATCACCTTTAAGACAACTTAGATATAGAATATATATTATAGTTGGATATGTTGATTCGTACAACAGTTAATCAAATGGATAAAGTCAAATTCTATAAACATTGTGATTGTAATGTACATAGTTGATTTAACTGAGAGTTCAATATGGCTTCATGTAATTTAAAAATTAAAGTCATCTATATTGTTATATCTGCATTTTTTTTAACGGATGAAGAGTAAAACCTGTTCAGTAGGGCTCTTAATCTATCATTAACCCTGTGCCAGTGCTGTTAATTGAATAGTAAATTGTTGCTTTCAATCACACTGATCTCTATTGATTGTCTCCTGTTTTGATTAATAAAATGTTATCGGGATATTTTATCCTCATGGGATGTATTGTTTATTAAATTTGTCACCTTTTTTATGATTGATTATTGAATGTTTCAAGATTATTGCCATTTAGGCATTTATACTCTGTATAAACTTACAAAGACCATTCCTGCTCTGAGAAGTACTTTTGTTAAAAACTAAATTGATGGGAATATGGAATTTATTTTGTAGAATAAGATATAAATAGAATGAAGATGAATGTGTGTAATCCTCAACCTATTATAGAAGAGTGTGACAGAGATTTTTCTGGTACAAGCAATGCTGAGGTGGATTTTTCGGAGTATATGTGGATGGGGGAGGAATTGGAGGAATTTGACCGACAGGTTGGTGTCTCATCAAATCTTTAATGATGCTAAATCTCTATGAAGTTATAGTCAGGATTGCTAAAACAATTATCCTTACACATATTTCTAATGACAGACTTTTTGTACTGAACTTAAAAGATTTTTAGAATCATAACCAGTAACATTTTATGATTTATCCTGTTGTAAGTCCATTGTAAGGCCCATGTATTGCTTTAGCAACCTTTCTTGTATTTAGTAGGCCTTTATGTCAAATCTGAATATATGCTAAAGTTTTACTTTTCATCAGGTTGAAGAAGAGTTATGGGAGGAAGCCTTCATTGAAGCTTGTTTCGATGAAATGATGGCAGAGGAGAAGACTCGAACTAATGGCAGAACTCGTCAACCTCGCCAGCAACAGCAATTTAACACCAACAATAATAACTACCAGCGTCAACAACAACAACAATCACAGCCATCACAACAACATCATCAGCAATATGTCTACGATAATAATATGGCCAATATAGAAGATAGTATGAAAATGTTCAATTTGGGTGAAAACAAAGTTAAAGCTGAGGTTTGTAGGCTATTCATATTTTTCTAAGGATCTTGTATGGAATTTAACTTTTAAAGGGTTGGTGAAATTATTTTCATGTTAACTTGTCTGAGTGCATTAATTATGGCTTACAAAGTTTCTTATAGTGTAATGGATAGCTTCTATTTGTATTCTCATTCCTGAAAAATTGGATCAGATTTTGACTGCGCTAAGGTAAATAACACTAATGTCACTTATGCATGTATTTAAGCAAAATGTCAGCATACCACTTGTATGAGACCTACTGCAACTGAAGGTGTTTGAATTATGCTTGCAGGTTGTAAAGAACAGCTGCTTAAACCCAGAGGCACCAGAATTTGTTCCTGGTAATTTTATGAAGAGATGAGAAGAGGTAAAGTTTCTAGCCAGTAATTGTATTCAGAGTGAGAGGATAGAAAGACACTAGAAATACTAAAATTGTTCCCTGTGTATGGTATAAGGAAGCCATGTTATTTGACATTTCCTGATTTGTAACAAAGCCAAGTGTATTTTGTGATGGTATATATGTATTAATTGAAGGCATGATGAAAACATTGAAATGTATGGTATATTTTATCATGTGCCTATATTTTGTGAAAAAGGCGACGAATTACATTCTTCCAAAAAGTCAATAATTTCATGGTTATTTTTTGATCATCCTTTTTATTAATGCCCATACCTCTTACATTATTATTATTTTTTTGTTGTTTCCGTGGTACATCATTCGTTTAGTCATTTAAATAAAGATCTCTTGATTAAGTAATTACCTCCTTTGAAGAACTGCCAAATTAAATTCTCCACACATCTGAATTTGTCTCCCTTTGTTATCTGAATTTGTTTTAACATTAAATAATTTTTGATGGCTAAATCTGACTTAATTATCCAGCAATGTATTTTGTTCTTGTCAGATCTTTGTATTATTTCTTTCTTGAATAATGAATGAGAATTTATTGTGTTTTTAAAATCAAATAATGTAAAATATCATTGTTTATACTGCCAACCAAGAAGGTTAGTGAGCATTATCAATAAGGGCATTTATTCATCCTTTCTTCTGGGCATTATGACTTGTTTCAGGGCATTATGATTTTCACTATGTTGTGTGCTAGATTAAAGTGCTTACTGGTATGATGTTACATCTATTGAATTTATCAAATGCTTTAAATGTTGATTTATTTATTTTTTTTTCTTTGTCTTTATTCAATTTTATGAAGATTTTAATTAATTTTATGTAATTTATTACATCGTTATTAAAATCTGCTGTTAAATTGGCACTTGTTTTACTCAGTATACTTAAACGGAACTTAAATTACTTAACCTGTGTCAAGGCTACCAAATCGTACAATATCACTTTGGACTATCTTCTAGATCTCAGAAACATCATCTGTTGTGTTACCTTCTAAGCTGAAAGGATTGGGGCCACATTTTTATGCAATGAGTGATGCTTGGGAAGCCTACAAATCCTTCGTAAAATAAACCTGTCAGAAAGAATAATGCACTCAAAGAACTTTTTGAGGGTTCCATTTCGAGTTGTCACCGTTTAAAGTAAAATGCATTAAAGTTAAAACGATTTGCTGAGGACAGACAACTTCTGAAAGTAAGGGCTTTGACTCAGTATAGTGTTTCCAGTACAATTTGGCGAAATTTCAGAATAATTCAAAATATTTAACCAATATTCCAATAAAAATAAGGTAGCACAGGCGATTATTTTTAATTTCGTTGACATTTGATTGTCTTATTAGAATAGAACAAGTATACTGAATCGTTTTCAATGTTTATTAATCAAAAATATACAATGTTACAAGAAAATGAATGCCAATTGCATGAAAACCCGTATTCAACAAGATTGGAGCCAACGGTCCTTCGGGCTAGTGCTTGGTGGATAGTTTTGGTGGTATGAGCCACCGGCCATTGGCTTAATATTGAAATGAGGATGAGGATACCTCAAACAAAGAATGACAATGTAATTGTTTCGACAATCTGAAAATACGGATCATGGGCACTCCACGTTGGCACATATTTGAAGTGATAAAATTGCTGATCATTAAATTGGATGATTCAATTGTTCAGACCAATAATATGTCTGGTCTTGAAGATTCATTTCCTCAGAAAAAGATGTTGAGCATGCATGTTAATGAAACTCTTAGCAGAAATTGAGACTCATTATGAGAACATGTTGATTCGTGATTAAATGATTGTAGATACATGTTGCGATAGTCTTTCTGGTTTTGACTTCGGCTTTGAATCTTCTGTTCGCCGACCAAGTCCAAACAAAACGTTCTTAAATCTAGTTCCTAATGTACAATAAAATAATAAATTGACGGAACTATTTATCCGTGAAGCAACTTCCGTTGGCCCCGTAATATTATCAATAATAAGTTTTGCTGCGGTATACTGACTTCCGGGTTGCATAACGATGTTTCCGGAAACTGGTACTGAAACAACATAGGCCAATGAAATTGCCCGAACTGGAAACACTAATAAGGAACATAAGGTCATCAATGACACGGTTACAGTCATTTTATTGCCAGTGTCATCTTGATTAGAATTTAAACTCCTGGCAGCTCGTCTCATCCGACATAAATGTATCAACATCCCCGCATTCACCACCAACATCACAAACCATGGCAGACCATAGAAAAATACTATGATGCATCTCACAGCTATCGTCCACTTCTCTACTGAGGGGAAAAACACAGCACCACTAAATGTGATGGCTAATTTACAGATTACACTTATTATAAGCGAAACTAATCCCAACCAAACACACAAATTTACGGAAATAAACGTTTTTGCTTTCAGAGGTCTGGAAATGGCAACAAAGCGGGTAATTCCAATGGCCAAGGTGGTTAAAAACGACATATACTCCATAGTTAAACGTATAAATCTCACCACAAACTTGGCATCTATTCCTTGATAGTGGAAGTAAGAATCTGGAAATTCTATAAACTGTACAGTATATTTTTGAGGTAGAGAATAGAACATTTCAAACGTCTGTTGGTAATTTTTAGCATAAAGAGAACACACAAGAGAAATACAATCACAGAAGGAGAGTATCACCAAGAGAGGATATATTGTGGTCTGTTTCCGAATGATGACCCACACTATTAGAGCCAGAATATTAAAGATGATACCAATGGGTGCTATGACGTACGAACTTGTTGTCACCAAATCGTGAAACCGTTCGATGTCGTTTGGTATTTCCGTAGTCGTAGATGTAGAGTTGGTCATCGCGGTTGTTATCACATAAATTTCCATTGCAATTGATTCAAATTAGAAATTTTTCGCCTTAATATACCGACAGCCTTATTGATTCCAATTCAGGATTGGTACATAATATTATGATACACAACTTATAGATCAAAACAAATTGGATATCAATTCCCAGTCCCATTATGTTTGTCCAGTTGAAATTAATTTGTGATGGCAATACGAACAATATTTCAGGACACAAAACTGATTTCAGAAACACGAATATGTAGTTGAAAACTGTCACCTTGAACGAGTTACAAACAATTTGTTAAAGGTAAAGATCTAATGGTGCAAACCTTTGGACAAAATGTGAATTTTACTTGTATTTTGCACTATATTTAAATCTTGTACAGTTTAATTTTTAAAACTATTTTAAGTAACATTTACGCATACAATTATCCATCAATCACACTTAAATAGTTCAAAATGAGGTCATTTCAACAATTAAGTTATATTTTATTGATTCCTTTATCACTTTTAGTTCAAAATATATATTCCAACGTCAACAGTAACTATTATTTTCGTAACATAGTCTGACATAAAATGAGAAAAATCGAAGTAACAATACATTATTCCGTGATGCTATCTTTTGTTCATTTGTAATCTAGGTAAAATTTCAATTAAATAAATAGTTTTCTGCTTACTCGTTTATTTCAATCAATCTACATTTCACATGTTCCAATATACAAATGTCGACTAGTTCTTTCTAAACGATCTCTTAGCTGTTAAAAACACTTTACCAGATCGTTTTGCATATTTCTATCACACGATATCTAGTTCAGGTATTTCAAACATTAGTTACTCGCCATAGTTGTTGTTGATTTCATGTCATCCAAGCGTTCCGATTACTTAACACATCGAACGTCTTTTCGGTGATATTGTAGGCACCTTTCACTTTCTGATGCCAATATCAGAAAACGTTCCCTGGCTTAGACACTGATGATGTATTTTTAAGACTAAATTATTTCAGATAAATCCTTATTACTAGTGTCCCATTTTCTGGTTTTCCAAATCCCTGTACCAACGTTCTTCGAAATGTAAAGACTAATTAATGATGATAGAATACAAACTAGAGAATGCTATATGGAAATATTGATGCAATATTAACACATAAATGTTATTCAAATAAAATGACAGCAACGTTCCATAATAACGTACGACTTCAACGTCAAATGTGACTTTTTCTTACATTTTCTAACGAAAAGGGAAACATAAATTTTCTATTAGAACGTGCCGCAAAACAATAGTATATGAATGCATTATTTTCATTGTTTCAAATGAATACATGATAAATTTAATCGTAAAAGCTGTTTTCTTCTGTACAATGAATAACTTAGTAACAACGTAATACCCGGAAAAGTACAACAAAAAAAATAACAACATACGTTAACTGAAGACTATGGGTAATATGGTTTAGAAACAACACGTTTTAAATGAAAAGTTGGTGTTTCTAGAAACAATATCAAAGGTCTTTTCCAAATATTTCTTTCAATATAATAAAAATTATTGAAATTTTTTCAGGCAATCTCAACTTGAAACGAAAGAAAGTGCATACGAAATAAAAAAAATGGTGGTAGGGCGCGTTTTTTTTTTACTTAAAACACATGACCTAGAAGTGGTTTTCAGCTATGCATTTAGAAATCAAGATGAGGACTATAAATTCTCGGCTCTCTAAAACATCTCGCAAGGGTTGATACCTTATTTAAGTATCAGACAATTAGCGAGGATTACGTATCACAAATGCAAGACGATATTATGGAATAAGCACACTTAACATAACGTTTCAACACGACATGATGACGACACAAACTGCACAGTACAGTTAAGGTGTGCAAATACTTCAACCAGACAATATACCACATAATAATTATGTTTGATCTGCATTTTGGTTTGATCTGCATTTTGGTCCTATCTATTTTGACATGAAGCCTCTGTATCTCGAACAATTTACTGAACAAGATTGTACGCAATCGAGAGGACCGTAGTTACAAGGGCAATTATCCCCCTCCCCCCACCCTCCCACCACCCTCTTTCAAAAAAAATTATGACAACCGACCAATTCCATTTGCGCAAGTAAACACCTACATCATTGCCCCTCCGGAACTATTCCTCTCCCCCACCCCCGAACAATCAATTCTGGCAGTCGGATCAAATCTTTATATAATAATTGTTTCCTGGGACCACTCAAAGTTTAAAAATAGTTTGTTCATGGGTAGACATTAAATAAATAGGAAGAATACATCTTATAGAACAAAAACTTTCACAAACAAAGACTGACAAAAAAGATCTTAAAAATTAAACACAAGAAACCGGATAGACTTTGTTTTATATCCTCAATAAATATATTTAATAATTCTCTTTGATCTATATCTTATTGTTCTATATTATTTGTTTGCCATCTCTTATTTCAGACCGAAATGTTAAAAAAACGATGTCCACAAAACCTTTTTTCAAAACACAAGTTCACCAATATTACACGATCTGGGTGTTATGTACCTATCTTCACTAGACCATGTACATAATCAAATTTGTTCTAAACTGTTCTTTGCATTTAGATACATGAAATTGATCGTAATCAATCGTTAATATTTTAAAAAAAAAACTCAATCCTTAAGTCATTTTGTTTTACTGGAACATCTGCAATTATTCTTAACTGATCACCGAATATCAACGTGTTTAACACCAACCAACAAAGACGCTGAAAATATATATATATTATTATTCATCTATTTATTTCCCAAATTAGTTCTATCTGTGCTTAAGATGTGGACTATTCATGTTCTCTTTCCAAATACATAATTATTTTACTTTCGATTTAATATCAAAGTGGATTTGCCTATTTACCATGTTGTCTTTTGACAAGAAATCACGTCCTGGATTGATCGAGATGTTTCTTTAGCGACAATTAGGTTCAAACAAGGAATTGACCAGTCTTATTAGCAGTGAATAATTTCTTATTATTGTAACAAGGTATATAGACATATGTACTATTATCAATATGGAATCGAGATGTAATGAGAAAGCGGAGGGTAATGAACCCCATTGAAATGTTACTAATAATGTTAACCAGAATTGGACTCGTTATTGGACAAAACCATAGAAACATGTTTTTGAACTGAAAGCGAACTGGCCTGTTGTTGCAAACGCCTTCAGACCACTGCCGAATCAATACCATATTTATTGTCAATCGAAGAGGGGCTGAGATACCCCCCGTACGCTTATGGACGTAAGTTTAAATCAATTGAAAATGGCAATTTGACAGTACCATTGAAAGGCAAGCACAAAATGAGTAACGGACAACTCAGCAGCATTTTGGCTAATTATGACAATGTTCTTCTCTATTAAGATTTAGTACCTATTAAACCCCACTTCATAAAATATTTACCATTGATATATATTGACGTATCTTTATATACCGGAAAATATGCATATGAATTATAAATAACCATAGGATAAAACGACCCCCAGTAGAGGCAATGAGGTCAATAATCGGGTAAATACTATTAAACATAATTTATATAGATACATTACTTGGGATGGTTTAATTTTTTTATGTCATTGTACGGATATAAGTTCAATTTATGAGATAATTCACATTAATTTCTGCCTTTTAAATACATATATTTTCTCTTTTCTTTTTGTAAAAGCTTTCCCTCCTTATCCTTTAATTATAAGGCTACAAAAGCCATTCATACAAAATTGTGAGAAATTGTTTGTTAGTTAAAGCTAAATATTTTATCAAATGAATGAGCTTGTTAAGATACGGATAGACCTTTTTCGAGAGTTTTTGCAAAGGTTCAGCTTGTATTCTCGGAACCAAAGTTAGCACATTTGTTCACAACCTAATGAAATGCAGATCTGGTTGTTTGTACTGTGTTTTGGCTGCAGATGACTCCACTTGCCACCCATGATCTGACGAAATTGTTATGCATATGATATTTAACTAATCAAATGCTCTGTTGAATAAAAGATTCATTACTCTTTGTGAGGAAATCTGGAACATCCATTGCTGGACATTGACTGATATTTTAAGGAGATTGTACCTCGATCAGGAAACGAGGAAAGGTGAAAAAAGCATATGATGGGACACATATACATACATCCATTCACGCATATTTTGAAGAGTATTCGAGTTTTAAAATTCATCACCTGGACTCTGCAGTTAAACGCTATTAAAATGTCATAAATATCTCAATAAATTTTAAATGTATCCTACTGACTTTTTATTACATTAGTTTAAAAGAAAGTTTTATTGTTAAAGATTTAAAGGCAAGGGTCAATGAAATTAAAATTTATTCAAGCATAAAATGAGAATTTAAATTTTCTGAGTTTTCTGTCGGTCATTTTGTGTAGAGATTGTGGTGGACAAGGGTTGATTGAAGAAGGCTGGTCGAGCCAGTTCAGGTAAGACAGAGCTCTTAGGAATTCTCACTTTTCATTATATCATCAGCTTATACCTTGCGATAATCATTCACATTAGATTAAAACGTTACACACGGCGCATCTGCGTTTTTGTTCTAGTTTGGTGTAACTTGATAAAAACAGGAGATTATCTAAATATGTTTAAAAAAATGAATTAAATAAAGGGAATATCTTTATTGTCTTTATGATATGGTCGTCTGGCTTTAGAGAGAATCTTGAAGGCATGCCCACAATTCAGGAAAACATGATGCCGATATCTGACTCGACATTTGGAGAGCGCACATAGCTATTACCATTTATAGTGTACATTTCCTAACCAATTGAAGGGAATATTTTCGGTGCTCCAACTCGTGATACATTCTGAAAGTTGATAATGAGATTTTTAAAATTAGATAATCCAGTCTAGGGTAGTATTATACTGAACAAAATATCGATTTCAGGAAGATGGTTATGAAAGTTTTAGTGGCTGTGGTGTTATTGGTTCTGCCAGTATCATCAATGATATTTGACAATTCTGTTGATGAGTATGGTAAATATGACTATTTCTGATGTTCTGATGTTTTTAATCCTAGCTACAAATATTATCTGAGAGATTAGAAAATAGCAACCCGTCTCACAAACTAAGCACGATGAACATTATTATGTATTGAGCTTTTGTTGCAAATGCACAGTGCTATCTCAGGGAGTCCGATAACTTGCTTATCATTTCCATAAAATTCCCAGGTAACCCAATCCAAGATGATCAACTGGCCGAGGTTGCTGCTATGAAATCAACTGGTCTTGGTTATGGCATGGGAACACAATTTTATTACAATTTATCTGGATTGGTACAGGATAATCCAGCTCCAAGACGATTCTCTCTTCATCAAAAACAACCATCCTTCCACCAAGAACCATTCTTCCCGCAGGGACATCCTTTCCAACAACAAGGTTTTGGCTTGAACCAGGATGTTCATCAAATGCCAAGGACTCCATTCCCTCATCATCTTTTCAAAAGACAAGCGTAAGTTACCAAAACTACATTAAAACGTACTCAGGATATTAATAAGACATCTATTCCTAAAATAATGTACCTATGATAAATGATGAAGGTTTATTGTAATTTAAGAATATTTAGCAAAAACAGTAATAATATTCCGTTAGATTTATGAAATTCATAATATCATTCGATACAAACATACACTAACCCCATCAATAATCGACAATAGATCCTGTTTTCCCTTCCAGTCCAGTCGATCCAGAATATTTCAACCAGGAAGCTTTCAGCAAAGATTTCTTAGGGAGTAAAGATTTTCCCAGTGAAAGTGGTTTCTCTCAAGACTTTGGATCTGATTTTCAAGGAGGCTTCGGAGACCAGTGTTCTGATAAACCAGTAAAGTGCAGCTCTACCAAGAGATATCGAGATTACAATGGGCTGTGTAATAACATCAATAACCCTTACTGGGGATCTACCATGCAACCTTTAAACAGAATGTTAGCACCAAACTATATGGACAGTAAGTACTTCCATTTGAACCTGAAGAATTTAGTACTGAAATGATTGAGGTTCTTTTTTTTTCACTCTTATTTGTGTTCATCGTCCGCGACAAACGGCGTTATGGATGATCTAAGCGAAAACATGTATTGCTGCTTCGAAGATCTTGAATAAAGGTTTGTCCGAATTTGCATCAATGCATGATTTTTCGCTTAAGAAAGAATTAAAAAAACACGTCCTTATGAGATGCTATCATACTTCGCCCTATACAAGCTTCTTTGCGATATGGATCTCATGGCTGGAGAGAAAAAAGTATATCGGTAGTAATTAGTTGTTGTAACATCCCTTTTCCAGATCAAAATCTTCCACGAGTTCACTCAAGAGTAAGTTTACCCAATGGAAAGTACCCCTTGCTCCCAAGTGCCCGTTTAGTGAGTAGAACCATCCACACACCAAGTAGAGAGGACAGAAAGATGGCTGACATCAATAACATGTTCCAACAGTGGGGTCAGTTTATTGACCATGATATGACTGGTACCCCTGTACACAAAGGTTAATTTTTATTTCATAAACATGTATATAATTCCCCATAACATCGTTAAAGTAACAAATCTTTGGGGAGCAACTTTTTGATAGTAAATTAAAATTTCATTTCGTTTCCCCCCATTGTACACCTCTATCAGTAATGCCATTCGCTAACTGATACAAATGTCTCTGTTGATGTTTGAAATTATCTGATAGGCGTATTTTAATTTTACACTTTTGTGTTTACCAACCTATACTTGAAGAGTCCTTGTCAATTTATTATTAATGTTTTAGATGCCAATGGTGGAGATTTGAAATGCTGTGATGGTGTTTCTTTAACTAATAGATTTCCATTGCATGATCATGTTTTCAAAGGGTAGGTTTCTTCTTTCCTCTCAATAATATCCCTGAAAATTTGCCGTGTGTGTATAGTCATAAAGACATCGCTACATTTCCAATATTTATTGTTTTACAGTGGACCATGTTATCCAATTTACATTCCTGATGGCGACCGACATTTCTCTAGATCCTGTATGAATTTTGTACGATCTCAGGCCCACGCTAAAAGACAAGCTTGTAAGCAAGGTAAGAATAAATGTTATATATAGCGTATCAACTTGAGTAGAAATAAATCAAATTCCTAAATTAGAATACAGTGTATGGCATCAGTTGCCGTTGCTGGTGTTGTTGATGACAACCACGATTCCAATTGATGTTTATCCTTGTTTATATATGTAGGTCCCCGAGAACAGATGAATATAGTTACATCCTTCCTTGATGCATCAGCCATTTACTCAGCTAAAGATTCTGGAGCTAACGATCTCAGATCAAAACAAAGAGGTAAGAACTATCTTTTTACATTATACGAGTCACTATTGTCTCAACCGTTATTTGTCCTGAAAGAATCAATGCAACCTTTTTTGAAAGTTTCAACTAAATACATCTAAGCCATGTTTTAAAGAACGCTTTATACACCAGAAACCCAGAAAAATGATAATTCTTCCTTATTTATAAATATTGTAAATGGTATAATATATTTACAGGAAGACTGAGAACACAGCAGTACGACCTTTTACCTACAGATGAACAAAATAAGGATTGTGTTAAAGATACTGATGTCGAATCTTGTTTCAAATCAGGTACACTATATTCTTTTGTAAGCTTCGTCTGTTCCACAACTATCCGGTTGACCATTTATCATCTCATTCTCGGCTGAAAAGGCTTTCAGAAGGTTGTATCCTTGTATGAAAATCTCATCAGAATACCATACTGGTATGGTGCCGTTGATCCGTTGACGTATAAGAATGTCCTTTTACCCTTTTTACAGGTGAAAAACGAGTTAACGAACACCCAGGCTTAGCAACCCTCCACACTATGTTCCACAGGGAACATAACCGAATCTGTGGTTGGTTATCCCGTTATAATCCTCATTGGGGTGACGAGAGAGTCTACCAAGAAGCCAGGAAGATCAGCGGTGCCATGCTCCAACACATTACTTACAGTGAATGGTTACCCATTCTGCTTGGAAACAACTATATGTCTCAATATGGTCTTCATGTTGATTCAGCTGCATCCTTTGATGGCTTTGGGCCACGAAATTGGTATTATGATGATAAGCAAAATCCTAGAATCATAAATGCTTTCGCTGCTGCTGCTTTCAGAATAGGTCACACCTTGATTCCAAGAAGATTTACTATTGGTAATGAACGGATTGAACTAAGAAAATTATTCAATAGACCCAAATTTTTATACCAACAAGAAGGTCTTGGAGTTGGTATGGTTGGTGAAGGTTTAGTTGATGATGCTCTTCAATTTCCCGATCGATTCATCAACATTGAATTAACTGATCATCTTTTTGAAGATTTGAATAATAAAAGTATGGATCTTGCCTCGTTGAACATCAACCGAGGTAGAGATCATGGTTTGCCTCCATATAATGAATTCAGAGATTATTGTGGTTTGGCAAAGTTTACTGGATTCAATGAAATGAAAGATGGAAATGTCTTTGCTTCTGTCTATAGGTAAGCAGAATACAGATTATTCAGCTCTATTACCAATTACTATATGAACAAGATATATACAGCTTGATTATAATTTTCTCTGGTAAATGGCTACTGATGCATGGAAATGAATGTCCCGTTTTTCGTGACTTACCACTCTTTACAATAATGATCCTCGGGGTTTTTTACCACCATAATGCAACATCAATAAATATATACACACGTAGAGACGGACTGAATATATCATAATGTTCTACCTATCATTGGTTTTCTCGTGTAGGCATGTTGATGATATAGATTTATTCTCTGGTGGAATAGCTGAATCATCTGTATCTGATGGTCTTGCTGGACCAACCCTAGGATGTATCATCGCTACCCAATTTAGAGCAATCAAGTATGGTGACAGATATTGGTATGAAAATCCCGATTCTACCCTTGGATTTACACGCAGTAAGTAAATCTTTACTTTCCGGAAATGAATTGTACCTTAAATCAAACCTATAACTTAGTTACCTATTAGCCTTTCCCAATTACAACGGAGGATGTCGCTTATCAGGGGTACTCTTATCTCCTTGAATCATGTCAACTCGACTTTCTCGACAAGTTAAATATCCCAATGCTAGCATATATCTGACATATTAAGTGCCCTATTAAGTAACAATGATTATGATTAACTTTTTCATTTTTTTCCAGATCAACTACGTGAGATAAAGAGAGTTACTATGGCTAGAATGATGTGTGATGATACCAATGTTAACGTCATGCAACCTAAAGCTTTTATTCAACCTTCTTTCAAGTAAGTTTTCAATTAGTGTATGCTATATACGGCCTAATCTTCAAAATCTACACCATAAGCTATGGTATTTGTCACTGCAATTATCCCAGGGAGTTTACGCAATTTTTCTGAAGTTGACTTCCAAGCTCGCACTCAACAGTTCTGGTCTCTACGAGATGAACTGGTGCTAGTTGAAATGTTTAAAGTACTTAAACACGGATGAACTTAAATGAACTTAAATACGGAGCATTAAAAACATACGCGGGGATAATTTGAGAATAACCTGAAGACAGCGTGATGATTTACTGAAATAGATAACAGAAATTCGTATCATTATGTTTTTTCTAAAAGTATGTAACCTACATACTTAAAGATGAGTATATAAAGTGTCCATTGGTATAGCTGTTTGTTTGTCAGGGAATTGTCATTGATCGTAAGCTTTATATTTCTAAACTAATATTGGATTTGAGTTCCCTATCTATTCATCTTGTGTTTTTATTTTCAGTAATCCAAAGGTAGCCTGTAACCAGATCCCAGCTATGGATTTCTCTCATTGGGCTGAAGTGCAGAAATAGATATTGAACTCCGTATTACAACATTTTCACATATTTTGATTTCATATTAGTTAGGTCTTATTAGTGTTAGGGTCAATGCAAATCCAAGAATACAGGTCTGTCAGTGGGAGGTCTAAATATTTGATATTTTTTTCAGGGGACATACTTGAATAAAACTTGTGTGCACCTGTGTGCATGTTTGAACTTAACATTTAAAAGGCAGTTTACTACTAACTTTTCTGAACTCTTTTGCCGAATTCTAGCCTTTCAATCTGTAAGGATACGAATCAGTCAACGATTGGTGCTGCTTCTATAGGGATATGAAGTCGGTTCCAATTTTGAAGCATTTAATTTGTAATTTGTCACGGTTGTGGGATCTGAGATTCACCTAATAAACATTTTGTATATTTTTCATATTATCTGTATTCGTTTTATTGTTAAGGAATGGCAACAAATTTGTACCTTTTGTAGCAAATCACTAAGGAAATGTTCCCCCATTTGTCTGGTAAAACAGAAAGATACCGAAGGTCTTCTCATCTAATTTGTAAAGATATCAAATTGCTGCATTGCCATTGGGTCAAGAATCTTCAAAATACTTACAACTCAACTATCAATTATATCATATTTTACTCTTATAATAAATAATTCATTTAGATATTCATGTAAGTTTATTTACAGTAATTTACATCAGTAAATATATATACATACATTATGTACATCTTAGCACTTATAGAACATATTAACAGTAAATTTGGGATCTCATAGATTTCATTTAAAATGTAAAAAATGTTCGCCAATAAAAACAACTCAGATTCTTTGAGAATAAAAATGGACTGTGTATTCACATATCCAACTAGTACTTAACAATCTCTATGTAATAGTTTTATATTGTCAACCGAGGGTCGCAATGTGCTATATAATAGTTTTTAGTAAAACAGTCTCTATATAATAGTTCCATACTGTTATTTGATGAACACATAGTCCCAGTATACTATATAATAGTATCATAATGTTAATTGGTGCACACATAGTCTCATAATTACTGGCTATATCCCCTACTGTTAGCTACACTATGGTCCACAACCGTCTATGTACACAATTATCCATATAATGATGTCCTCCATGGAGTAATAGTCAGACCTGGTAAACTGTAATAATCTTTACATGATACTCTTCTGTTTCCCAATCTGTAATGGATATTGTTATGATATACATTATTTAAACCAGTCTATCTGGAAGAATACTGGAAGGCTATAGCATCTTACAAATCCGCAACTAATCTTTTACCAAGTAGTAAAATTATCTGATCCCAAGAATAAAATTATCTTATACCAGATCGTAAATTCATCTATTGACTCAATAGTAAAACCATCTTATACCCAAATAGCCAATGTAAGATTATTCTTTACCAAATATTAAAATATTCATATAACCAGTAGGGAAATTATCCTATACCCAAAGTAAATGTGATCTTGAAGTGACAAATTAACACTAATACAGGTCAGTTTAAAATGAAATAGACTTTACCTTGCACTAGGATGGAAGAAAGCATATCTTGGTACATATTTTATATCTGTCGTATCACACAATATTCTAGCTATGCTTACTTGTCTTATAGCTTGAATTTGACCTGAAAATTTAAATCATAATATTGGTCGGTAACAATATAAGCAGCTATTCCTTATACATTTAGCCGCATTCAAATACTAATATGTATTCCTTAAACTAAGTATAATGTATTTGTACATGAATTTGTAACGACAACGTCTAAGATTTCAAAGTATCTTATGACAGTGATTATTCTTAGCACAAGTAGGACTATGAACTGAGAGTCAAGTTCCACCACTGACAATGTATTTGCAAATACAAACCCTTGAACAATTTTAACATGGTTGTATAAGGCGTTCATCTCGGCGTGCGATTTTACACTTCAAGAGTATTATGGTAACAAAATGTTACATGGATTTGAGCTACAAGACGAACCTATTGAGAAGGCAGCAGGATTTACTGGTAGAAATGGCGAAGCTTGTTGTACATTCTCAAACCAAAATCTATCACCATATTTCAGGTTGTGGAACTGTGATGCTATCAGACAGGCGAATGTTGGACCAACCTTTCCATTGTGTACAGTTGGTTCTGTCATTCCACCAATAAATAGATCTACATCATTTGGATGTCTGGAAAATTAAACATTTTAAAGTTCAAGTTATTATAATAATATTCAAAAGAGAAGGATAGAGGTATCCAAAGAGTTCACTCCTGATGCCTGATCATGATCATGGGCAATGTCTGAAAATAACATTGTTTTTGGATATCATGTGAATGTATCTGTACAAAGATTACACTTACAGAATCTCCCATGGTGAGTAAAGGATGTTTAAGACCAATAATCAAATATGTACACTACACAGATCAGACACAAGTGAAGGCTATGATGTTCTACGGATTCCTGGATTATGTCTTTGTCATGGGACCAACATTATAGTAGTGATACTTACTTGTAAGCTTGAGCTAATGTCCGGATCTGGTCTGTACTACCATCAAATTTCTCAATAGGTTTCAATCCACAGTATTCTCTATAGATATTGTAAGGTGCCAGACCATGATCTCGACCACGTTGTAAATTCAGGGCTACTAGATCTAGTCCAGGTACTTTAAATGTTTTAAATAATGTATTACGAACACCATTACTAAAACTTTTGTCAGCAGGTTGTGATGAGTCTTTTACCATACCCTCTACGATCATATCCAATCCTTTACCTTAAGAGGAACAAAAAGCATAGTTATTTGATACAATAAAATATAGTAACTTATCTTTAAATGATACATTCGGACATTAAATTGCGCTCCTGTTCATTATATCGAATACTGCGCCATGAATATAGCCTATGAATATCTATGACGAGGGTTTCAAAACGAGTTGGCTTACCTTTAAAATCTTGAATGAAAAATGGGCTGTTAAACATGGCTACCAAGGGAACCTTTTTATCACCGTAACTCCACTCATTTGGTATAGAAGAATGTCCATATCTAAAAGCTGCTGTTGAGAAAGCATTCATTATTCTAGGATCAATAGAAGACAAGAATCGGTGTTGACCAGTCAAACTGGATTTCAATCTGAAATATAAATGATAAAAAGCGGTTCAACAACAGAGTTTTATGTTGTAATAGACATACTAAAAGGAATCTATTTCTATGTTGTGATCGTAGACTGTTTCCATCTTACTTTCTCATTTCTGAGTTATAAAGTAGGAACAAGCCTTAAACATTCATCCTCAGACCCTGGTGAGAGTATAAGATCATTATTTGCCACTTGAGAATGTGTCTTTCGATATACTGCAAAAACACTGCAAAAACACAGTAAGAACACCTCATTTAGAAAAAAGAAGACTCAAGACGGAAACGGAATAAAAATCACAAAGAAATGAATCCACTGACTTATATTTTATAGTAGCAACATCTCCAACTAATTTAGGTAGATATTCATTGTAAACTATATTCTGTAGGACTCCATTCACAATTTTCTTCGTTTCTTGATATATTCTTTCATCATCCCATAATCGGTTTCTTCCATTGAGTTGTTTTAAATTCGCAGCTATTTTATTGTGATATCTAACGAATATAGCATGGAAGGCCGATAACCCTGGATGTTCATTTACTCTCATATCACCTGTATTGATAGAAATAAAATGCGACTTGAACCCTAAATGAATATTTGAATAATGAATATTGGTTGTCTTGGTATTGATTGACTTATTTAGGAATCCAATGTACTGAACCTTAATCACCATTATCCACAGAATCCTTTAACTTGGAAGGTGGTATATATTTACAGGCATAGATTCGGAGCATCCCGCTCAATTATATACCTTTTGGCATATTAGAAGCACAGGTTATAGATAAATAAGACAATTTATGGCTAGATACTGCTAGAATATTTATTACTTCTACGTTTCAATGTGGTTCTCACATACCGTCATCAGGAATATAATAATAGAGGTGATTGTCACTTGCGTTCAGAGAACAGTAAGGAGCATGTTTGAAGACGCCTTGACAATTTGATATTTACCTTCATATACATGTACAATTCCTTGTGGAACAAGGATAAAAGTTTTACGGCATAGATGAATAAATCCGTGCAAGCAAATTCCGTGTAGGCAAAATAACATATAGTGACTCCTTGGACCGTGAAATTGAACTCAAATTATAATATTTCAAAGACACTTGGCTGCTGGGCTAACCACAAGTGATCTAAATTATATTACCTGCTAAGAAACAATAATCAGATGAATTCCTCTTCTCACATTCGCCGTTTATATTTTCTGGTAGTAAATCATAGGCACTTACTTTCATTAACCCTGAAATGATATTTATAATACTAATTACTAAATAATTAAAATGAGCTTTACATGGGAATCTGTAATCTTCAAATGAATCCAGCGATTCCAGTTGTATTTTTAGGGATTTGGAAAAGGATCACACATATTGAATGTGGTATGCCTGTAGACTGGTCATTGATAATGACAGCGCTGTGAAAATTGTAATAGCATACCTCCTTTAAAGGTTCTCAGTTTTTTTCCATCATCTACAGTCAAACCATAAATATTAGAAGCATCAATAAACGATGTTAATTTGTTCATCTGTTCACGTGCAGCTGTAAGAGAAAATCAATTCCAAGATCAAAAAGAGATAAATAAATGAGCAAATACACATATGACATCTGTAGAAAGCGACCAAGAGAGATAGTGATTTTACTGATTCTGAAGAACCTACACAGATTCATGGACATCATGAACGCAGTTGACTGCTAGATAACATATATGTCCGTCCCCCATCAAAGGTGGTGATAGATCCCAAAAACTCCAATGCTTGTGAACATCTTTACAATCACCCTAGTTAAGAAGAATCATGATCACTCAATTCTTACCTGATCGACATTTTTTCTGTTTATCAGTCACTTCAATAGATCGCACAAAGTTCATACATCTACGAGGTTGGAAGAATGGATCCTTGGTCGGTATCTCAATTGGAAAACATGGACCTCTGGCATAAAATGAAAAAGAATGAAATTTAAGGCTCTCTTCTGCATCTTATTAGGCAAATGAAGACAATAGCATTTTACGTAAGTCTTCTCTCGTGTAAACCTACAGTCTATATATAGCAAATGGCACACATGTGAAGGTAAAAACTAACCAATACTTTAGTGATGGTTTATGAGTAGCTATTATTTTACTTTTTATCCATATTGGCCCATGAAATGATTCCCTTCTTTTTTACAGAAACTCTGTGCCAGAGGGAACTTTGCGTTTCTAACAATCGACTTCTTCCTTCATTCGGTGATTTTGCACGTTTGATCAGATTGCTAAAATGCCACCTTACCCAGTTTTTATGTCAGAATGTTGACCACCATTTTTAGTGAGCTCTGGTGTACAACACTTAATCTTCTTCTTATCCTTATCTGAAAATAGTAAGATCGTTAATTAATAGTCGCTCGTGATGAGACATAAGCTAAGCTAAAGCTAACTAAAAGAAAAGTTCGTTTGAAGGAACACCACAAAATAGAAATATTGTAAATAACACAAAATAGGCAGTGAACTGAGACGAAAACCTGTGAAACCCAAAATACCGAAATTTTTCCGACATTTGCCCCTTTCTAACAGACACTTAATCTAAATAAATCAACTCACCTAAAATATTGGGTGTATGGCCAATATCATGATCTAAAAACTGTCCAAAAGTTTGATGTAAGTTGGTGAAAGGATTTTTAACATCACCAGTAAAATCAACAGAAATGGTATTAGATATGTATCTGACATTAGGTAATTCATTATTATCAATACCCTTACTTCTTGGTTCAGATATACCTAAAATAAGCCACATATAATTATGTTACATACATGTCCAGTTATCTCTTTATCTCAGCACTTGGTAAATTTTGTGCGAAACTTGCCATTATCTTGGCGTCGAATCTATTGCATTTTTTTCTTTATCAATTTTCGCAATTCGTCATACTTTTACTCAATACGACAAACACAGCCCTATGGAACCAATCACTTGTTAAAAAGATTATTCTGCGTATTGTCGAATTTCTACACTCGATCTTTGCACATAGACGGAGAAACACTTTAGATGTACAAAACTTAAAATCGTGTCTATATAATTATATATATCCTTAAATTTAAACATTTAAAGCTTTCATATTACTCCATGTTATGGTTTTCAGATACCTTATCAGCATCAAAGTAGTAAGAGATATGGAAGCAAGCATTGAATTATGGGATACAAACATTCAAGACCCTTACCGTCATCATAATAATTTCGCACAATTCGTCTTAAACTGGTATCAGTTGCTCCCCAATATGGTGCTGACGGATTGTTACAAATTCCATCTGGGGATCGATATCTGTCGAACGGTGAACATTTCAAATCAGGATAGTTACACAGCGAGTAGATCTGACTAAAAATCAAACATATCCTTGAAATAATGTTAAACATGATGTGTCGAATTTTGTTGCTGGTGGTCGATGTTCTCTTGTTGCGTCTTCAGGTTTCAACTGACTGTCCAAAATTTCTCTGCCTTATATACAAATACTTCGAGTACTTTTGTGTTTATGTAACTTATTTTAATCGCCTTTCACAGTGTGAAAGTATACAAATAATGCACCTGGTTTTATAACAGGTTTAAATTTGAAATATTGAAACCCATTACTTAATTAATATTTTCACGGTTAGATGGGTAATAATAGGTATAATGAAAACATCCAATTAGGCCGGACCTGATTTTCACGGATTAAAAGGATAGAACATGTCTTGTCTACTTTATTATTGTCTAAACTTGAGAATTTGTAAAAACACGACATTAATCGTGTATTTACAATAGTCCAAACATTTTAGAAGTGCGGGGGAACATTATTGTTATTTAGGGATTTAGGTTTCAGTTATACTTTCCATCAGTTGATTACTGTTAATATTTGAATTTTCACCAGATAAGAGCGGCAATCAATAAAGAAATATTTCTCTGTTAGTCCGAAAACTTTTACAATTCACACGCATTCAATAAGTTACATTAATTGAAATTATCTTATCTTTTCTGAAAGAACTAATTGTAAGACCAATAGTTGCCAAATATCAGATGAAAGATTGGCCTTATTGCCTTTTGAATTGTAGTGTTCTAATTCTAAAATGATGTATCGAGCTCAAAGACACTCTCACCCTAATACCACTTGTTTTCGTAACTTACCGGAGTCTTGAACGATACGAAAGGTAACGCTTGGATCTATGACCAGTAACATTCTGGGAATCTGTGAGCAGGTCTGAAAGAAAAAAAATTAGTGTCCAGAAAATTGAAAAAAAAAAAAGTATCAATTTGATATGTAAGACGATGTCAGTTTATAACGTGATGAAAATAGGTCGGCTGGTGTTTGTATAAAATGGCGTGTACCTAATTAATTACTGAACAAAAAATGAAATGAATGGAGTTTTACGGCCTTCTTTTTTGCTCCATGTGTGCAAATGAAGACGGGCATCGCCATGCAGGGTACAACGAGGGACATTTTGCCAGGACAGTGGCAATTACTGAACAAAGAGGTTGTTATTATCATAATGATCATGATTGTGATCATAAAAGATTTGATAACCGACGAAGGCAATGTTTTAATCAAAATGATCAAGTAAATGAAAGCACAATGGTAGCTTTGCTAATTCGATTTGTAGTGTTTTAGTAAACCTGCATCCTTCTTTAGGTCTCCTGCAGACGACCGACAGCGAACAATGACTTGGCAAGCACTGTTCTGTCCTTGAAAATAAAATACTTTTGTTTTGTTGAAACTATCAGAAAAGGGAGAAAATCGACATACGACTTTGGACGAAGTTGGTATCCGAGACCCATATTTATAAAAAGTGTCCAACAATTGAGAAGAAAATTGTATCTCCCCTCGACGAGTTTTCACATCTGATACTGAATATCTCCACAATGAATTTGATGGACCGACAGAGTAACAATTGTGAAGACAACCTTCGATATCGAAGCTTCCATCATATATTTTTAGTACAAGAATTGTTTCTTGTATGAAAAGTGACTTGGTATGTTCTGTTCACGTCCGTAAAATGCACGAAAATATTATTTACGATAAAAACTTGAGATCAATAGTTTTTTTTTATAGCTTTCACTTACCCCGAGAACAGGTCCACTCAAATAGAAAGACAATCAGAATTATTAAACTGTGAGATCTTATTGTCACCATTTCTATCAGTTCGCCGATAAAACTCTACTGCGACAGATATCATAGTTTTCAAATGTTTTATTCTAGAGAATAAAAAAAATGTACATTTCAGACTAAAATTAAAAATAAAGACGTAATCAATTAAACCCGAAGCCATAAAACTAGTATTCAAATAAAATAAATAATTGTAGCCTAAAGCTTTTATTCAAATATAGACAAACAATTTGATAATCAGATATCTAGAGGATTCAGGAAGTCCCGAATTTCAATATTCAGATAAAGGGAAATTATTTTAAAGAACGGCGCCCTTGGTGACTTTTAGAGAATAAGACAGACCACTGACGTTGAATTTGGGGATTGTCCCAAAAAAGAATGTCAAGATAAATCTAGACCAGTTGGTCAAGTTAATGACCTATTAGATTTAAAAGCCCTTGAGCCCAAGTCCAACGATTTAATACAAATTCAGCTCAATTTAAATAGGCACTGCGACTGCTTTGCTAGCTCGACAGGACATGTCACCCTTCTAGAACATCTGATGCCACTCTGCGATTGAGTGTTAAACTATCGATTTCAAAAATTCGACATTGTTAAAATTATCTATTTGGCATTGTTGGATTATAGCATGCGTTTGCAACCCGAAGTCGCATTTTCATAATGACAAATGTCAGTGACAAAGTCGGAATGGCAATGGCTAAACCATTTTATCAAATGGCAGAAGTGACGCTTTAAATCTCAATCAAGATCTGAGTACAATTTGATTTAAAAAATTTACAATTTGACAATTTGATTTGGCCTCAAAGTCAAAAGCTGTGTAGGTGAATCATCTTTTGATTGCTTTTCTTTCAACAAGGAAAGATATTTAAAAAAAAGAAAGTAATTCGGCATTCCCCAAATTACTGATTTGTTAATGATAAACTCGTTTACCCTGATGAAATTAAAAATGCCCACTGTATATTAATGATCTATATTTTGCTGTTACGAAACAATACATTTGGAAAAAAAGTGAATATACTATGTGACTAATAAAAATATCGATGAAGAATTTCCATCCTTTATATGCTTTTTAATATTTTTTTGGGGTGTCAGTCGACAATAGACAAAATGAACCGAAGATATTGAAGATGTACTCAAGAGATACACTAGAGAAATATATTTGATAAGTTGCTGATGTCCAGAAATGCAAAATATTGCAAAATGGTTAAGTTGTTAAGTAGGAAATAGTCTACGAAAGATTAAAAATTCTAGAAATATAGTACCGGGAAGTGAGATCCAAAAGGTACAGAGATAAGTAACAGAGATTTGGAAACTGAAAAATGCACAGATAAATACCATACATTAAGAATCAGAAAATTGCACAGGTGAGTATTAGCAGAGATTATAAATCGGTGTGCAGAGGTAAGTTCCAAAGATTAAAAATCAAAGAAGTGCAGAGGTAAGTACCAGAGATTTATAATCAGAGAAATGCAGAAGTAAGTAACCGAGATCGAGAATCGGAGAAGTGCAGAAGTAAGTGACAGAGATCAAGAATCGAGGAAGAGCAGAGTTATGTGCCACAGATTAAGAATCGAGGAAGAGTAGAGGTAAATACCAGAGATTTCCACGGGTTAGTGCCAGAGATCACGAATTGGAGAAGAGCAGAGATAAGTGCCAGAGATTAAGAATCAGAGAAGTGTAAAGGTAAGTACTGAAGATAAAAAAATCAGAGAAGTGCAGAGGTTTGATTTTTGATATTTCGTTCGAATCGCCTTTGATAATTTGATAACTTTCTTTGGCAGAGGTATTCGACTTTGATTTTGGCCATTAGTTACAACTTATTGATGGTTTAATTATAAGTTTCAGAGAGATGAAATCAAAGTACGAACTTACAGCAATGGATATAATAAATAAGAAAAGTAACAAGGATGAATTAGAGAAGCACAAAACCCTATGGAAAAGATTCCAAATCTGGAATAGTATAGAAATAAAGTAAAAAAATATTATAACCAATAAATGGTACTGAGAGGATACGCCGTGAATAAAAACATACCATTATGTTAAAGGATACTTACCATTATGATTTATTACAATATTTTCACAATGGATAATTATCCATTTATCACTAACGTGTATCTTGGTAAATCCATTATTTGATCAATCACTAATTTATCACAAAACCATAATATCAATCACTTCTTTAACAGAGGAATATCCACCCAGTTCATGTTTCGCCGAATATGTTTTCCATCGCAGTAAAAGTCAAATTTGTGATCTTGCTATCACTGTTTTTTTCTTTCATGAACTTTCATTGGATGGAATGGGTTGAAGACTTCCTTTATGACGTTCGATTCATCCTTCATAAAAATTTTCGCGCGACAAGACAAGGTCAATTGTGTGATTACATCTTATGCCGTTGTCGAATACGACACATACGTATCACGTTACACGTACGCCCTAGAAGCACGTGAAAAATTTCAATCCTTTGGCGTTGGTCGTGAGCTACAAAAGTATACCACTGTATATTCAGGCGATTTCTTTTAGGGAAGCCCAACTTTAAATGGGCAACAAGTGGGTATGGAAATACTTAAACAACGGACCACTGTAAGTACATTGTTAAGTAATGGGGTAAACTGTTGACATGTAATATATTATATCTAACATATCATAGGCCTATACATCTTTATAAACCTTACAGGTGACAGCTCTCTTAATGCGAAAACAGTGTTAAACCATTTGGCCATTATCAGGTTTTATATCACTGATCACTAGATAAATTTGCATTGGTAATAATTGAACGTCTATGGTCAGATTGTTCGTAAGAGTACTATATCTGAACAATTATGGAGATATCGGAAATCATATTTAAATAACATTAAGTTTCTGTCACATAGCTCCTCTGAATTGACATGATGGACCATAGCTTGTAGACTGTGCCAGTTAACTACCTCCTTGATCTATATTTATTTATTGCAATAAATCTGATCTTATTTTGAGCAGAAGACAATAAACCAAACATTTAGACAAGTCTTTAGGCGTGTATCCAATGCTATAACATTATATAACATATTTATATATTCTATTAACTAATTTACATCTGTTACCTCCCTTGAACTATAAAATTGGATCAACCTGTGCACTCTTGTATTCACATATTTGTGTATATTGAGGAGCAAATATTAAACTAGACACCCCATTACCACCATTACGAAATACTTCTTTTTTATGAAAGTTCATTAGCTGCAAGCAATATAGTACCGATATGTAGTTTTGGGCTAGGTTTTGTGGTTCGGATCGTTAGTACTTGGTTTTTACTTGAACAATATTTACAGGTGCATAATCATAAATTTATTGAAATATTCATATAAAATTTATCATACATTACCATAACTAATATAAAGTGATACAATATTAATGAACAAGTTGATAAAGACAGAGGGCGTGTGGAAGAGAAGTGGGGTAGATATCATATTTATATATTAGGCTAAAGTAATAAAAGAATACGAGAACCAGCTCGTATTCAAATAGAGATACTTTTGGACAAGTAAAATATCAACAGTAATCCTTTAAATTATTTGAATAGCTTTGCGGATTAAAGCAAGACTAAATCGCTGGTGTTCCAGAATGTGTTTCTTGCAATTATATGCTTAAAATTTTAACTCGTTTAAAATGTATGGAAATACGAGTAACTGTTAACAGAAGGAAATAAACTTAGGTGTTGAATGAACCATGATATACACATGACAAATGACATAAATTACAAGAGTGAAATGTGCGAATAACAAATATTATTTTTAATGCTAAAAGTATATCAAATACACGATTTCTGAAGTAGTTAACGTTAATTTTTCATACACTTTGTACATTTCAGAACAAAAGGGTTAATTTGAATCAAGGATCTTCTCTTTTTTCTTCTATCACTAATGACACCAAAACTTAAAATGGTTTGATTGCATTCGTTTGTATTCTGATCTTTTGCATGATGTTAAGTGTAAATTGTTGAAACTTTTAATGTTAGTGTAAATTTACCCTCGACATGTTACCAAGGGCTTTTAAATGCGACTTACCTTTTAGAAATTTCATTTGACATTATTCAGAGATCAGACAAAATCGAAGATGATTAAATATAATTATTATCTGTACATGTTTTAACATTTTAACATTACCGAATCAGAAACAATAACAACATTCGACAACGTTGGTGTATTACATTATGCGGTGCGAATAATTTTAAATGCACACATTTGAGAATATAAATTTTGTGAAATGTGTCAAACAAGAAATTATAAAATATATCTTACAGTTTAGAATACATCAATGCTTTATACTACGCAAATATACAGCGAAAACACTCATAGCTTCTACACCTAACAACTTGAATACGTCTTGAAACTAAACATCATATTATGTAACATTTAATAGTATCTTTACATGCTGCCAAATAGAGAACATATTTATTTTGGCAATAACTGAATTCAGCTAGCTGCTTAGATTCCAATCTTATTACCGGAGTAAAGTGTCCGGCTCAATGCAAAACATATTAATGGCAAGTGTATACAGTGTTGTCGGTGTAGCCAAGTTGCTGCTGAACACATAAATCATGGTCAAATTCTCTTTTAAATCTGAGATTATCATCGTCGAATTTCGAAATGGACTACGAATTTATACAATAATAAAGAAGATATAAATAAATACACACAAATCACATTAAGGATCAACAAATACAATCTAACAATAAATTGCACTGAAATATTATAAATATATGGAATAATATTGCACTAAATGTTGGAATGAATTAAGAAATTGTATTAAGATGAATGTATAAGTAATGGATAAATTAAGTGAATTGGTCACGTCATAATGACAGCAGTATAAAATTATAAACAATGAATTTCTATCAAAATCTATTTTACAGTCTGGTTTCCAAACGAGTGAAGTCTCCAGAATTACCACTTTCAGCACTTTCTGTATCTCTACTAGTGCTTCTCTGAGGTTCCGGTGGATCAATCAGGAATGGTCCCGTTTCAATGGAATCAAGGTAAGGATCAGGTAGTTGTCCAGAAGGTGGAGCATCTCGTAAGCTATGAACAGACAAGGAGTCGGAATCCGGAAAAAAGATTGATGCTCCCCGAGGACTCGTTGCTCTACTTTCTACCCATTTAGGACTAAGCATTCCATAATCTCGAGATGGCTCACGTCGAGAGTGAACGGGGCTAAGTCCCATTAAATCCGGTTCACTACCATGTCGTGATCGAGATGGACTTCTGGTTCGGTCATCGTAACGAACTGGACTTAAATTACGAGGGAAAGGTTCTTCATCATACCGAGATGGGCTTGAACCTCGGAAGTATCTTTGCTCCGTTGAATCGTGTCTTAATGGACTACCACCGCCACCACCACCTCGTCCATGACGACCATGTGAAGAAGCTATACTGTGTTGACGAAGAGTAGGGCCCATATCAGCCCTATGTTCCCCTCCCATACTGGCACGACGAGCCACTTGTTGACCCAGTTGGGCCAACTGGGCTAAGGGGCTCAGTTGTAGAAGTCTGTTGCTTTCATCTAATTGTCCTGAAGCACCCTGAAGCTGCATCAAAGGATCGGGTTCAGTTGGACCAGGCAGACGAGCTTTACGCCTGAATGATCCCAAACGATGTTTCTGCTCCCATATCTTTTGACGCATGCGTTCCTCGCGCCGTTTCTTCTCCAGCTCCTGAAATGACATGAAACCGACATATGCATGAAATTGACAAAGAGTCCAACAAAACGAACCAATCAAGAAGCACTCATTCAATGATATCCGTAGATGAAATAACTGGCATGTAAAGATTTTCCGGCCCATACACAGAACACAAAACGAAGATAATACATGTAGTATTAGATTTAAAGATTTAAAGACCGGTGTACGTACCTCCACTCTCTGTTTTTCAACTATAGTAGTAACTTGGTATAAGAGATCATCAAGTTTAGTTTCAGTAGAATCTTTACCCATAGATGATAAGGATAACGCACGATCCAACGGGAAAAAATCAAAATTTTCTTTCTGAAGCTGAAAGAGAAACATTTTAAAAGCATTCAGCATTCAGATGCTATTTGCATTGTACATTCCGACTGGTTGCTAATAGCGTCAAGCATATTACTAACAATTGTATATTACTGGTTTTTTAAAATATTCGAGAACTCATAGCGTATTGAATTAAACTAAGATAACAGCTAGTACAACATCCGGAAGTGGAACTCTCACTCTCGTCCAGATAAAGCTTGCTCGTTCTAACGAACAATTCAAATAGCAATACTTACTAGTTTATAGACATACATCTCCAGTGCTGTATAGTCATTGACTTTAGTACCATTTAGATGTATAAAAAAGAAGATATACGCCCACATGTTATGTTCATATCTTACATGGTGATCAAAGCCCTGGAATGAAGTATTATGATTTTCAGACTCGGAAACATTACCACCATCAGACGAATTGTAAAACTGAAGCGATTTAATGTTTGGATATGAACAAGGATTAAGTAAAAATTGCATAGATATGTTCAAGTCGAAGAACTGTCCAGAAATACAAGCATTGCATAATTTACAGGTCCACATCCCTAACTTTGAGTAACCTGGAACTCTCTGTAGGGATTGCCTTACCTTCCCGTGATGTTCAAAATCATAACTATTTCTACTGCAAATAAAACAGATGTCTCTCATATCAGATTCAGCCGTCCACTGTAAAATACAAGTAATATATTTTAAGACATGCATTCAATACAGAGATGAAATGAACCAGCATAATACAGAACAATCATCAAAACACATTGTAACAATTATTAGAGTCTACGCTTAAAATGAAACTATGAAAGCTTGAATCTCATTTAGTAAATATGCTGAAGGAAAATTAGACCAATCCTAAAACCTGATCAGGTAACGGAATAGTAGTGGGTGAATCTTCCAGTGAATTTGCCGGTTTGTGACATTTCAAAGAGGATTCGAGGATACCTTACCTTTAAATCTCGAAGTTCTGAAAATGTATCCACAATGATACCGAAGATAATATTCAGACCAATGGTTGTAATAAATATAAAGAATGATACATGATATAATACAACGACTCCAAATTTCTCAAAGGTTTTCTCATTATCATGTGGATTCATCACCTGAAACATAAAATAACGTCCAATTCAGGTTATTATTTTGCTACACAATCGTGCATGCTTATATGTGAACCTCATTAACCTAAATTTATAGACATGTTCCATTTACTCACCTCGAAAAGATCTCCAATAAGACCATATCGTACAACAGTTATAGTACATTGCCATAGTGTATTGCAATATAAATAGTCTTTAGGGTCAAACATACTCCTCATTAGAGCAAAACCAATAATACCATACAGATAGAAGACCACCAGCCCCAATACAGCTACCCATAGTAATGATTTACCTAAAAGCAAATGAGATGAAAATCAGTTGGACCAAAATTGCACGAAATCAAAAATTTAAATGTTCAACCATTATCAAGAGCCCTTAGAGCTGTAAGTGAAAAAATGGCTATGCTTCATGCAAAGCACTCATAGAAAAGATAGATTGCACTCTGGTATCGTATACGACAAATTTCGGAGAGGTTTTGACAAAAAACGAGGAAATTCAGAATATATTCCATAAGCAGTAATTCAAGATTAGTCTCTAAATGAAAGATTACCGTTCTGAGTGACGGCTTTAATAACTCCACTAAGTAACTGGTTATTATTAACTATATTTAACAGATGGAAGGCGAAAAAATAACCACTGGTAAAAGTCCCTCCAATTGATAAAGCTAAAAATACCTGAAACAAAACATTGGAAAATATTTCTCCTTCTAAACTGAACAGAACTTCTTTTACAAAGTATCAAACAAAAGGTCCCAAAACACTACTGACAAATTACTCTACTAAAAATCATCGTTTTACAACTGCGCTGTCAAGGGGTTTGTAACACCACTCAAAAGACCACAAAAATACTAGTTGATGAATAATATATTACCATATAGTAAAAGGTAGTAAAGCTGAAGAACTGGGCGTCTAATTTAGACTGATGTTCTTTCTTTTTATCAATTTCATCATCGTCCGATTTCTTCTTAAATTTACTCCTGAAATTTATTATTTATCATCATTGAACATAGCATGGTGAATGGGAGCAATACATATTACAGACATGTGTTAGCAAAACGCGTTTGGGTGGAATTTCAGGAACCACGGACGTCTGATTGGAAATTTTAATGGTATAAATCGATGCTATCAGTATCCAAGATACACAAAAATGTTTAGAAAATCTTTTAACTACCCTTTTAATCTAATGACAGCATGTGATAATCATAAAAGGATGCCATCATTTACTTTTAAAGCTATCATGAAGCAATAACACATATTTAAACTTACTTGCAAGAAGTCATGATGCTTTTAAAGTCAGGCAATCGTGGGTGGTTACAAACAAAATAACTAATAAGTACTAATAAGGAAAAGAAATTGTGAGCTCCTCCCAAAGTTTTTATTGTTATTTCATAACTCGACTGGCCCAGATTTATTATAGATGGCACAGGACTGAAAACAAACAAGGTAAGATGGTACAAAATTCAAAAGCTTTTAGAATTTCTGGAGTCGGTACGAAAGTAATTTAAAATAACCATGTGCATAAAGATTAAAGAAGTAAAAAAAAACTTTGCTCAATATTTTTGAATGATGGCATGGACGCAATAACAAGTCTTCATTAAGACGTTTACGTCGTCACCCAAGAACATAAGATTTAACAGTAGTACACTTCAATATCAAAAGAATATAATAGATACGAATTCTTACTCGATAATGGCATGAGGTATACCAGTAGCATTATCCATTATCCCAGGTGTTTCTAGTGATCCTTTAGCTTTCCATGTTACCAACATTAATATATTGATAGCAAAACTGATTATGGTGACACCATGATTCCAAAATAACCTATAAAATAGAACAGTAGAGGATGAATTTAATTTTGCCTGTAATACACATTATCCATATTTTCCAGAACACCAACTCGGAGAGGATCATTGCTATTGTGTTGGTCGTCGAATTCCGCCGCATGTATTGGTAGAATAACAACGACGCTTTGAAGTCAGGGCGTACTCACCATCCCTTTGTAAGACAGATTGCAATAAAATTACTGAGTATTCGTTGTTGATAGGCGATGTCTTTCATAATGTCTTTAGTCCAAGCCATGAGGTCTCGTATTTTGTTACTTGGTGATGATCTGTTCACACCCCATTTTAATTTTTCCTTTACTTCTTCTCTTAAAACTCTCTGTAAATACAATAGGAAAGGAGTCGTGGTAAGGAGTATTTGAAAAAGTAAAAATCGTCCACTGGTGTGATGCATTAACACATCCTTGTATCTTATCTACTTCTGCGAGTGGTAGCAACTATAAACCACGGACGGGACAGTTATGTCACTAATGTATATTCGAGTGTATAGCCTAAAAAGATGTATTTAAACAATATATTTTATCAATACGTTACCTTATTTTTGACTCGGAAGTTAATCTTCTGAAGATCATCTTCTTTCACAATTTCAATTGACATTGAATTCTTCTTGTAGAAATTAAAAGCTTTTTGTTGTAATGGCTGTAATTTTACTGAAATGATTTAAATATTGTAGTCAAATTATCAACCTGAACTGTCTATTAAAATTTAATAACTTGCCTTTATACATTCAATGCACTTCATCACAAAATGTCGATTGGGGATCCTGAGAAAATTTGAAATGAAGTAGTATACTTACTGTTTTCAATAAGTTTAGAATCTGTATCATGCATTCTATTTAATAATAAATATAAACTGAATCCAACATCCATATACTGTTCAGCAAATTCATTTTTCTCTTTTTTCTACCGAAACATAAATAAAGGCAATTAATCTATGAATTCGCGGTATTTTGTTTTATGAAATTACAGTCATCTATATTCAGCGTGGTCTTAACAGTTTTTCAGTCAGGATAATAATCTTCTTTCTAGAAAGCTGCTAGAACCTCACACGCCTCTGTCTGTGGTAATATTAAAACCACCCTTGGTTCGAATGAGTTGACTAATATATATAAAGCTTACGTCACTCACCACAACCCCTTGAAGGAAGCTACCACCAGCCATAGCGAATGTTTTAGCAGTAGACAGAGCACCAGTTGAACCTCCACCAGCAGCCATCATTGCTAGCTTCATGTCTTCCTTTCTATTTTTATCTGGTTGATGCATCTCATAACATTCTGTCATTAGTGCTACCACAGCTTTCTTGTCCAATGTGTCTTTCACTTCCTAAATTACAATGATATCTAGATGCTACCGATATTAGTTTATCACGTACCACCTAGTTCTAAGATGATGCAAGCTAGAACTGTTGCAGATTAACTGATTTCGTCTTGGAGCTTTTATGAAGAACTAGAACGAAAACTTATTCGGTCAATAAATAAAAGAAAAAATTCTATACTTACCATGGCGACCTGAGAAGGACCGTCGCCATTTTCTTCTATTAAAGACATGACTAGGTTGGCTATACTTTGTCTGAGTTCTAGAATCTGGAATATTACAAAACTTAGTCTTAGTAATGGAATTTCAAATTATATATCAGATATCAGTCACCAAGGAAGATGAAAAATCAACATAGGCCCAAAGATATGAGTCCTGTTTACAGTTACAACCAATAACAGTTGCAAAGTCACCCGCTATTTTAATTAAATGACTTGGTATGGCCATATTTTATTTCGTCATTGGAGTAACATCACCTACCTTGTCAGTGATACAATTATCGAAATCTCCCGCTCTCATGATAAAATTAATATAATCTATTATCTTATTATCATATATTACTATTCGGTTTTCTTGATTGCCCTGAAAAACAACGTAAATAAAACAAATAATCTATTTCAGCAACGTAAAAACTAATGAAAAATACCGAACTTCCATTGAAGCCCAAATACATCACAAGATTGGAAAGTGTTTAAAAACGTGTTTAAAAATCGTAAAGCATTACTTACCGCTGTAAATTCATTCATGGTTTCAAACAGTTGTATAACTAAATCGATGTTTTTACCAGTAATATTGGAGTAAACAACGTTCAGGAACCTTGTCACTTCAGCAATTATATCAAATGATTTAACATTATCCGGCTGTTCACGCAGATAATCCTGTATGGAGAAAAAACATGATGGTTTGCTTAGTGATTTCCTTTATCATATATACCTATTTATTATAATTTCACAATTCAAAGTTTCTATTGAGTACCATCCTACCTGAAGTTGTTTATTCTGGCCATCACACATCCTAGCCATCACTTTAAGCACTAACTCTATATAACCATCATTTCTGTATTCTAACGCTGCATTGGTTTCTTCTGCTTGGGCCGGCTCTGGCTCTGGTTCAGACTGAAAAGAAGTTCATCGTCTGTAATTCCAGCTAGATATTAACGCTGCTATATTGCCATGTGCCATAGTCCGCAAGTCCAAAATGTGATGATTACCGTAACTGGAGAGAGCTATGGTTCATGAAATACTAATTCATTCTTCGATGTTATTTACGTCCTACGCAACGATTAACTGAAATGTACCTGTCAATGAGGTACCAATTTTCTTTGCTCTCCGATTTCCGTATGTTCAAGTACTGTTGACTCACCTCAATCTGTACAGCAATCTCCAATTCGTGTTCTGGAGGATCAATCAAAGCTTGATCTTCTTTGATTACTAATGGATTCGTAAAATTCACTTCTTTTTTCAATCCATTTGCTTGAGTTTCTTTCTTAACCTTCTTTGGCTCTTTTCTCTTCTTCGGCTCTTTTGGCTTCTTTTGTTTTTTCTTCTTTCCGGGTGGCTTCTTCTTCGTCGCCTGAGGAAGAAAGCATTAGTAAAACCAATGGGTAAAGCACGGACTTTTCTGTGGCAAATCATTTTATCTATTGAGGAGGTGCATACTGCGAAACATATTCAAAACACCATACTCACCCATCCACCTATTCTTTGTTGTCGTAAAGCATCTTCATAAGCCTTGATTTGCTGAAAAACAAAGTGAAAAGGTAGCAGTATAATAACTAACGATATAGCATCAAATATTCATTTCAGTACTGTGTCAGATATGAGCAGTAATAAGTGTTGTAGGAGAAGATCGGGTTACCTACCTTCAAGGCCGCCAAACTAACAGCAAATGTACTAACAGTCTTTTTACCGCCTGTTGGTGCATCTTTAAGCTTAGCATCTTGTTGAGCTTGTAACGAACGTCTAAAACATAAATGTTACTCATATTATACTGCGAGAATTTTAAATGAAAGATGACAAACATACTTCGACATGCCGTATACAGTTGAATTGCTAAAGCTGTGGCGATATTTAACGTGTTCGTTTTAAAATTTAAAATCTTCTAAGGATGACATCCTGTACCATTTTCCTATACACGACTGATGGGATAGCTGATCTAATGAATTTGTGTTTATCTTGGAAACATGATGCTGCGAACATTTATGCCTTTTGACAACGTATGTTACATTTCCCCCGTAATCTATTACATACTATGACAAAATGAAATCTTACTTTTCTTTGATGGAATTTGTACTGAGGGCCATTCTGTCTCTGACTGCCATGAAGAATACTTCTTCTCTCGTCGACAAGAAATATTTCAACATGGACGATTGAACCACTGCATTAGCATTGAACAACATAATACAAAGGAATGCTAAGACCTCTTTAGCTATTTCATCATTTCGGGAGGCAAGATGAGGTAGAGATTTATTCATTGATCCTCGGGCATCGTAGAAATTCTGGATTGTTGAGATAATCTTTAACTGACTGTAATAGTAAATGATAGAATAATGTATAGGAAAGCTTGTGTTCCATAAAAATGCTCCCTTCGCCGTGAATGAACCAATGAATTTGAAGACCACATCTTGAATGTTTTGGATGAATCTCATTCGTATAAAATATCCTGATGATTTTATCTTATATACGTTATCTAAAACAGATGAAATCTCACAGTACTTTCCTGTTGTCTTGTATACTATTTTTATGGTGTCAATATACTTACGCCTGGATCTTCGGTTCTGAAGTTCTGGTTTCCCAGTCTTCTGGAAGTTTTCTTTCTTCATTATGAATTATAGCTCGAAGAACCTGTAGACATTTTATATTCAACTCATCCATTTCTTGTTTAGCTGTTTCTGATAGCCGTTTACTTTCTTGGCTGATACTAAAATGAAACATACTTGAATTGCACACGAAAAAATAGTTCAGGAGGCAGATTTGAAAGCTAACGCTAATTTTGCAGGCCAGTTTTCAATTAAATGATTCAAATCTGGATGATCTGAATGATCTTCTTTAACAGATTTTATCCATCATCAGTTCAGACTACAAAGACTGTAAATACTTACTCTAATTGTTCGATAAGTTTGGAAGCAGATTCAACCTTTTTGGCGGGTTTCTTTTCATGGGCATTTACAAAACATTTGACCAAACTTTGGAATTCATCACCCAATGGTAACTCTTCGTCACCACCAATAATAGTATATTCTCTTTTAGATTTTAGCTTTAGTTGAGCATTAACACTATTATGACCAGCAAACACTACCGCTGCTGATTTGGCAAAAAATCGGAATTTTGTGTTGAGGTCCACTTCATCAGCATAGTATTCTATGTTACCCTAAAATAAAACATAAAGTTAAATGGTCACTTTTACACTGGCTGATAAACTTTACGGAACAATGAATTGAAAACATATTGACTAAAATTTTAATTTGATTCAGTAAGAATACATACCCTTCTGATAGCACATGACGTATCTTCCACTGTTATACCAGAACCAAATCTCTCCAATACATTTTCTAAGCTCTACAAATACATTGACAATCATAACCAATTTAATTCGCTTACAAAAGACTGTATTTGTCTGTCTTCTTTCTATTTAAATTCATTTGGAATATATTTACCACCCGAAACGGTGCAAGTTCACTGATAAAAGCGTATAAATTGGTAATATTCGTTGAAGTCATGTAATATTAAATTACTTACCGAGTTTGAAAGGTTTGATATTGGTATCAACACTGTCAAGGCATTCACCATGTTTTTCATGTGGTTTGGTTTGTAAAGTAATGGTCCGGTTGTTTCACTAAACACCTAAAAAATAATCACAGGAAGAATATTTAAAGACACTGCGTCATGACATCTTTAAAGTACAAAATATAAAATTTATTGAGGTGTGTAAGAGTTTGAGATGTTAATAATAGACACCGGGTTTAAGTATTTTTTTTAATTATTAATTACATGTCCCCATGAGAATTCCGTACCCAATGGACGTTTCGGCAGAATAAGATGGATAATCGATCAATTGCATTAATGAATCATAAGTTTGCTTACCAGAATTGCTTTAGCTAGCTGATCTGTTATCTCTATCTCATTACCATTGGTAGAATGATCAGGAAAGTAAAACTCTTTAAAGAAAGTCTCGAGGAACGGAAAACACCCTTCCAACATGTAGAGAACTGTACCATAAACTGATGATTCTGAATCGGCAGCATGGAATCCATCACTGAAAATGGACATTGTACTTTTCATTCATTGAACGTACAAAACCGACTGAGAAGTAGGCATTTTCGTTTTGAGATTTTGAAGATGTATATATGATGTTCTTGTTTTCATATCTGTGAACCAACACCCTTTATATAAAGAACTGACTAAATAAGCAACACGACCATACTTACCCTCCTGGTTTTGTTGGTGGTGATTTGAGGTTAGCTGCAAGTTTATCTGGGTCTTCTTTAGCTGTATCGGTTACTTTATTTAACTCAGTCGTTAGAGATTGAAGATATTCCCATAAATCGCTGAATCAAAAATTAATATTAAGAGATAAGTAATTCTGGGGCACATATTAACCGAATAAATTTACATGTATAATGAAAAACATAAGCATGACTTGAAGATTACAACACCTTTACTAAAGGATTAGCTGGACACTTCTTGCCCTTCCCGTTTCCCTGATTGCGATACTGAATAGATATGAGCAACTCTTATAAATAGTGACATTTTTGTAACTAGACGTGCCGATATCCTTATATCAGACCCGAAAAAAAATGATTTTGTTTTTTTGGGGTTACTTAGTGCATGAGCTGCTACATGTAAAATACACATTTGTTGATATTTGTAATGATAATGATATGTGGAAAGAACAAGATAATACATATTAAATATAGCAGCTATAAGGCTAGGTATTGGTCGACATTCATCTACGACTAGCCATATCTAAAAGCACAGCTCTATCTATTGTCTAGTTCTACGACCAAATATGTACTTGTATGAATGGTATGTTTCCTTCCAATCTTTCCCTAATCACAATACATTAAGCTGCTAACATCAACTTTATCATAATACAGTGTACCAGAAAGGGTCTATTTGGACCGAAACCAACAGCTTCGTGTTTGAGTCTTTCAAGTAATCTTATCTAACATATAATGTAGCATCGGTTGAAGATATGGATAATTTGGATGTTTATTTTGAAAGCCAAAATACCTGTCTGGTACCAAATCACAATCTGCTATATTCATAACGAAAGAAACAACACAGCACTCTTTCAGAGAATTTCATAGCAAAATGTTAAAGAGCAATAGTCCAAAATAGCTAGCATAGGTTAAATCAGCATAGTAAAATTTGAACTACAAAAGCAATAACTATGTTATATTTGGCTATGCTGTTAGTATGAGCAAAATAAATGCTGAAATCTTAATCACAGTAAGTAGCTTATTCCATGCAATTAGTGGCTACTATTGAACACAATACGTAGGTTTACCGTCGGTATTGGTCATGTACAGAAACATCAGCAGCTAAACTGGGGGAAGAAAGGTACAAATAGAGGTTAGAGGTGGATATCAAAGTATATTGGTTACAAGCTGCCTTTACATTGGAGAATCACACAGGCGAGGAAGTAGCAAACCACATTTGACTGTATGGGAAAGGTTTTGTGATAAACATAGCTTGATTGAGAAATAGCGGGTTTAAGAATTGGTACATTTTAGCTGCATATTTCAAGCAAAGAAATGAAAAATTCGTGAAGGTGCGTCAAACATGCAACCTCGCCACTGGATCAAACCCATTTATAAGTTGATAATCTTTTGAAGAAATTTCATACATTATTAAGTGGATACATCACAATGACAAGACAGGGACGGAAATAATATAAATACATATAAACACACAACATTTTGGATGTCACTTCTAATTTGTGAACAGTTCATTGGTGATCAGGCATATTTTTTCAAACCAACTCTCTGATGATGTGAAAAATGGCATTCAACAACGACTTAACAACCAACAACTCTCAAAAGTTTGGAATGGGATGTTACATTTCAGTGAGTATATATTGGAAATAGAAATCATGGTTCATTCGGGTTCAGATCTTCGAGCAAGTCAAACCATAATTAAGAAAGAATAAATATTTTCAATCATTGTGAAACAACAAGGGTAAATATGGGATCCTTGGCTTACCCCATTTGCTCAATAAATTCATTTGACTTATCTCGGCCGAGATTCATACGAATTAGCATTCGTCTTGGAAATAAATAACATGAATAGTTAATTAGAATATGTCCAGAAAAGAAAAACAATTAATAAATCTTTTTTAAACGTAATTCATACACATAGTTTATAATACATTTAATACTATACACTAATATTCAAGCCAATAGAGTAAACCAAAGATCTGATACATCCAAAACATTTATAAAGTACACAAATGACAAACGGAACTTACAAAAGACGAAAAACAAAAGAAACCAGGGTTGAGATAATAAAAGCATACCCGACTGTATAAGTACAGCAATTTACGAGTCATTACAATACATACGATAAACATTTTAAAACAATATTTGAAAAAAAGATCTGGTAACGTGACTTAAATATAAGACAAACTTCTACACTCATGAGCGACATGTTACATCAAAATCTACTCAAATCGAATACACAAAAAGAAAAATGAACCATGCAAAACTGAACTGTGTGATGACCTGACTGGTCTCACCTGCACCAACAAATTAACAAAGGGCAGGAAAAAGGACAGAATGTGACATAAAAGATGAATTAACTAAAAATGAGTACAAAAACGTTAAAACAAGACAACGAGCTGATTAAAATACATTTTCGACATCATTTTTTTATAATTACATGTAGATGATGTATAATGGTAATTCATTACAATGGATGGGGTCACGAAATTCCAAACGAAGCTACGGAGCTGTATTTTAATCAGATGGACAAGACAATCACAAATTAATATTACAAAGGTCGAGTGAAGAATAAGATAGAAGTCAATAGTATAAGCTTACCTATCATGTGGTATTTCACTCGTACTAACATCAACTGTAGCACCGTTACTTTTCATATAAACATGATGTAAACATCTCAGGAAGGGTTTCTTTAATAAATTCTCTACAGCAGGATTATTTAATACCCATAATAAATCTTCCATCGGTAAAATAGTTTGACATAATGACTCTATAAACATATTCTCACCCTAGAATCAAATATTCATCATATATTTTCATCAGAAACCTAAAAAAGGCACTTGCAAGCATGATACAAAACATAGATACTCCAGATAAACCTGATATGATACCGATGGAAGAGGAGGGTAACCTTAGACGGCCCAAAGGCCCTTTGCCCAAACGTTTTGCCTCCTACAAAAAATATATCATAGTTATGGCCCTGGTGCCAGTACGTACCTCTGCACAAGCTGCCAACAGATCCAATAGACTTAATAAGTACCGTAACGTTGATACTCGGTCTGTTAGGGTTAATATCACCTCTCTGAAAGCAGAATGTCATGAACTGTCAACTGAAATCATTTTAACCTTAGTATTATTGAGTATCTCCAGAAGCTCTTAAATCTAAGAAAGTCTAATTTATTAACGCACTACTTTCAAATTTCAAGCGAATAAATGGTTTCAAACTTTTTGATATATTCACAATTGATGTAGCATTTAGTGAAAAGAAATGTTCAACAATATTACTGAAAAGGGAATCGTACATTCTGAAAATCACACAAAGAAAGAAAGAAGCAGCTATTGTTTTTACACAGATAACTGCCAGATGGTCCTTGCCAAACCTCTTTGCATTTAATATCCGTACATATTTACCTGTTCCCCGGGTCGAATGACCTATTATTAAACAGTTGTGGACACCTACCTCTCTTCTTGGGTTGTATCCAAAACAAATGCAACTTTTTTGTAGTTCTGCATGATATATTTCATAACAAACGCTTGATTTCTTTTTAAAGTTAAACCAGTTCCAGTGACTTTAACTATCATTCCTAACAGATCTAGAAACTCGGGACCTCTCTCTTGTAATTCCGCTGCTCTATTTACAACTTTCTGTATTTGTCGTGGGTTTATTTTCAGACATGTGTTTTGGTTTCCAGAAAACACCTACAATGGTAGAATTGATAACTTTTTATTCGAATGCCTTTGAATGTTTCTGACGTCTCTACCACCTCACGGGTCTTGGGAGATGTCAAGACACCGGAAGTAGCATCATAGACTATTAAGAACTTCCATTGATGCCATTGTAGTGATAATATTTGCCAATCAGATTTCGAAATTCAATTAGTGGCAAAGCTCGTGGTGGACACCTAGTGGTGGACCCTTTTATGGAATTAACTAAACATTACTGCTGTACATACCTCCCTCAAGGCTATAGCCAGATCGGATTCAACAACTCGTACTTCTAACAAGACATCAAGTCTTTCAAATATATAAAATTGTACTCGTTCATTTTCCCTGGCTAGTAACTTTAAAAGGTAGAGAGTCTTCTTAAAAACTGAATTCATACCACTGTATTGTTCCTGCAGATGAAACTTAGATGAAAAAAGAGCTGGAATTAAAGGCATGCAATAGGTGATAGTGATAACAAACAACAGGACATAGAGGGGTAAATAGTGAAAAGTAGTGAAGGGAGGAGGTTGACATGCTATTAGTAGGAGGGGTCAGAAATATTTTGTCATTGATTGACAGGAGAGGGTTAATATAAGAGGTGGAAAGATATTGGCACATTAAGGCACCATTAGAGGACTGAAGAACGGCTATGCATACAATGCCGATAGGGTTTAATATTAGTATGTCACTATATCTTACTAAAGAGAAAGAGTACACCATACAGGATAGAAAGAATATAAGAAAGATATGGGGTTAATTCATTAGAGAGTAGAGATCGGAAATTGTCATCATGCATCGTGTGATATATTTTGAGGAAATATATACTTTAGATGAATACGTCCTCTAATTATTGACATGGTTTTCTCAAAATGAAAAATGAGTTTCATCTTCCAGTAGAACTGAGATTTTGTCACGAATTAAATATGAATTTCTAAACTTCTAACTAAAATGGTTGGATTTGGATTTGTATTATATCCAATCAGAAGTAAAAATGGAGAGAAATCAGAAGTAAAAAATCACAGGAACGGGTCGAAATTTGTTTTCTGTACTTTTTTGTCTCGATCGTTGCGTTTGAGAGGTTAGTAAAGTAAAGTTGTTTCATATCATTGTAAACTAACAAGGCAGTGGAGTTCGCGAAATAATTAGAGGACTCTATTCCTGCAAGTGAAAGCAATAGGTATATATATAATACTACACTTACAAATAGTTTGATATCAATATCCTGTACAAGAATATCAAATAATATATGTAATATACCTGAAAATAATAAAGTAGTAGGTTAACAACATAGTAATAGTTTTTTCTGCTTGTACTTCTGTTTTGATAAGTTTTAATTTTAACGCCATCAAGATCAGGAAGAATCCTGGACATACAAGAGACAGAAACACAAAATCAGGGATAACTGCTTCAGTAGAGAACAAATGTATCATTCTTCAGAATTAAGATGTGATGGCTTGGTGGTTTTGTTTCGAATCGCTCAAGGTTATACTCATTTAATTTGTCTTACCATTACTAATCAGTATATTTTGATTCATTGGATGTGGTTCATCTGGCGTCATGGGTAGATGACAGAACCTAGAATATATAACAAGTTACATGATACCAGTATTTCCTCCCTTTTACCAATCTGATCTAATAACTGCATACGATTTTTACATTAAGTTCATTGATTAAATCAAGTCTGCCATGTTCAATGGTTATTTTGTATTTTGTATTTCGGATTTCGGGTTTAGTATTCCGGTCTGGATGGTGAGTTCTTAGGGTTTTTCTCTTGGTATATAGTGTTATAGAAGATGGGTGATGACGTATTTCGCAATACTCACTCTGCCATGTCATCTAATATACTACACATTAATTTGACTTGTTGATCATCTAATTTAGCTCTAGCCAACCTCCTCAATAATGGCAAATTCTTTAAAACTTCTCGATGGACTCGAGCCGAATCTTGAGTAAGTAGTACCTATAATTATATTCAAATGCGAACACTATATCATTGATACAAATATTGCATTATCGTGGCCTGTGCTGAAATAATGCAAGTCTTGAGTAACGTCAGAAGTGAAATTTTATATGGAAAAACTATATATCGCTATTAACTTTATCGTAACGAAAAAATATGAACACATCCGACAAACCAAAAACCTGGTCTATGCCTCAAAACATTAGTACAAGTTACGTCCCTTGGAACAGAAAAATGTTTTACGTCCATCTTTAGCTATTAAATGTGAGTTTTGTTTATGAGTTTTTTATAACGTTTCGCAGGTGGTACTCGTGAACATCATCAGTCCAAAATGTAGATGAATATCTTTCAACATCGTAAATCTTTAATTAATACTTACCACAGCTTTAGTAGACAATTTAAACATGTTAGTTTTAGAAGAATAAACTTTATTTAAAATATTTAAAGATTTGGTGATCATCTTGTTATATTTATACTGCGATAAATCCTGAAATGTAAACAATTATTTCAAACTATTAGCAATAAGTTATTGTGTCCACTTTCACAAGCTTATTGAATTTGAGCTCAACTCTGAATAGTACTGCAGCAAGTGTCGCTTGCAGAAGATCTGATGCCAGTCAGCCCCTGTTTCGCTGTATAATGACGGTGGCGTTGTCCGGTGGATTGTACAGTACGGAATTGCCCATACAGTAAAAGACTAAAGAAAGGAATCTTGTCCGCGCCAAGTATTGAGGTGTACGTTGAATATTCGCTTTATCGACACTGGAACTCATCTATTTGCAGATGTGTCAAAACTATTAACATGACCATCGCATTACTTAGTGCCCAACACGCTTTTTAAGTCCCCCCCCCTCCCCCCTCCCCACCCCGGGATTTTTTGTTTTTTTTATTTATTGTTCATCAAATCGAATGGTGGTGACGCCGAAAATATGAGCAAGTCTTTATCTCATCACCAACCAATAACAAAGAATAATTTGTATTAAAACAAAATGATTTCCATGCTTAATTGAGAAAATTATAGAAATAAAAAATATTCCATATCCGTTCTCGTAAGGATTTAATATCTCTTCTATTAATTGGAATCGATTCATAGTCATCCGTTGTTTACTATAACTAATACCAAAGGTTTAGTCGTTAATCCTTTAACAATATACTATTCCTACAGGCCATTCCTGTCTCTTGGAGCCAAATAATGTACACAATTTGTATCAATATTTTGTTTTTATCAATTTAATAACATTGGTAGTAAGGCAATCTAATATTCACAGTTTGATGTACCGGGTCTATTGGGGACGTTTCGTACTCATTTAGTTGATGAAACAACTCAACCTAATACTTAGTAATACTTGCATTATCTTTCTTACGTGAGAAAGAATAATTACTGTATGGCATACTATAGGGATCAAACTACTATTTTATCATAGTAATAGTTATTAGTATCCATACAATGCGGAAGTATAGATATAGTTGATTAAACTACTTTTATCTAGAACTTTGAAAGCCACAATTCCACCATAGCGTGCAGAGTAAAAACCTGATCAGCTTCAATAAAAAATACTTTTCCTGTTTGCTATGGCTCTAAACAAAGGGAATTCTCGGAAGCGATTGCTCTACACTACGATGGAAATTCTGGAGACACAGTTAATTCGTCAGTAAATTATAAGTGTCCACAGTTTTGTTTTTTTGCACGACACGAATTGTTAAAATACGAAATCCAAACACACTGTCATATTGCCCGATTTTGGGCTTCGCTCTCCCACATTTCCTTTTGAGGCGTCCACTACTCTATAATTATTACATTATTCCCCCGATTTGGCCATTCTTTTAACGAAATTTTTGATTGACGGAATTGTTTTGCTTGTACGGATTTTTATTCTTACTTTATCAAGAAACTGGTTAACTTGAAATTAACATCATCTAAACAACTATGTAGATTCTAATGTAGATTACATTTATGAAGAAATTCATAAACCGAAACCTTGTAATGCTATACTAAGCATGTTTGCGTGTGCGTGTAGCTAACGATTATTATTATCATAAGCTGAAAGTATCATATTCAAGTAATGGATCAAACAATTAATATAGTTATTACTTCACAAATCAGGTCGTTTGATATTTGAACCTTAAAGTAAATTGTTCAATTTGTCTTCCCTTGTTAGCGTTAATTGGTCTTGGAGTTTATTGAGTAATAACGTACTACGGGTGTCGTAAAAATAAAATGAGAAAAGGCAAGAATGTTGGTCAGTAGATTACAATGTCGTAAAGTCGCTGATTGTGGTTATTTTGATGGAGTTCAATGACTGTTGCAATTTCAGATTGCACAGAGGTGGCTGCTTGAAAAACAGCAAAACCGTTCTTGAGTTCTTGCTACACTGCAATATCTTGGAGGTAAATTAGAATCGTTCAAGATATTATACTTTATTGGCAGCGATTATATATTGCACTATTCTTAGTTTCTGTTTTCATGTCTACCGTTCGATAAATCTACTTTAGTTCATTCCACTGACTTAAACATCGTTAAAATTATCTTAGGGTTGATTGTATTCCCTAACAGCTTAATCTTGACCTATTTTGTCTACAATTCGTCTGTAAAGTTGCATGATAAAAATCAAAGAGTGGTTTGTGTAATCAAGAGAAATTGAAAAAAGACGAAATTTATTTTTGTGAATTACATAAACCAACAAATTAAAGTCGACTTCAATCAACTTCGATTCATAATCATCAAAGATGGGATTTTTTGTAAAAAGATGGAATAATTGAAATTAGAAATTCAGATTGTGTTCTAGACTGAACTTGGAAGAGATCAATATTCTGCTAGTGGTCGGTAAAATACAGCTTGTATTCGGCTATAAAGTAACATGATTACAAGCATGTAGGAGTGTTCTTATTAATTTCTGATTCCCGCAAATTCTCTGCTATTTTATGCATGATTTCTTTCTATTTTTAGGGTGCAGCAAGCAGGTTTTCTTGATATCTGAGAAATATGAATCAAGCGATCAAAGTGTTGTAATTAAGAGGTTATCTAGTATAAATCTTCTTTCGAAGTATTACACAAATCGAAGTCTCAAACGCTTGATTTACAGAATCAGTTTTCAGATAATCTTGTGTACAAGAATTGTGAAAACATCTGATCGGCTTCGAAGTACAATGAGTGTAAATTCTGTACATCCTGGTTGTTTCATTCTAAACATAAAACAACAATTACAGATGCATAGAATTGAATAATATTTTGTGAATATCATTACTTACCATCAGGATTTTAGTCAATAATTCCACGTCAAATATGGCTGATGAATTGAACATGTCTCTTAATTCTTTTATAATCTGTCGTTGTTTCTTTAACGCTTTTCTGCAATATCAATAGGAAGGTATTCAAATCGAATGGACATACCCGACATTCAAATGATTATGACTGCAAAGTTGATAATGTGAGATCTTATGAAATATATGCATGTCTGAATTCATGAGAGTGTGTAGCGATAGAGACACAGTGCCACTATCAGATATCTGACGCTTTGTGAAATCTGAGGCCCTCTCTTCAATCATAATAATCTTTTCCCATAATTCTTTAAGCAATAACAATAAATATAACATTCGAATACAGCCAACTTACTTTGATTGGTCATGAGGATTAAACTGTTCATATAACATGGGTGTTAAAACATTCTGACGTTTTTGAGTAGTTGATATTTCAGCAATTTTAAACTTTCCAACGAAACTCTGAAATTAAGAAACTTCTTATAGACAATTGCAATAGTATACTTCAATGAGGTTCAATTGAACAAACTGTACGAATAATCCAAGAAAGATCATTACCAAGAGATGCTTGACCACAGTCCGTCCGATTGGTAGGATCAACGAAACCTACATTCTTATGGATGTTACTTTTGGTTGTTAAGATCGTGCAATTTCATGAAATAATGAATATGATGTTTTACCTGTAATCTTGAGTTTCTTTGATATGTTAAAAGTAAATCTAATACTTCTAATGCCCTGAAATTACATACAAATATTTAGATTTTCATATCACCATAAACTATAGGCTTACATAACGATGCTTTAATCACGCAATGCCTTTGTTGATCTACTTGTGAAACATGGTGAAAAGGAAGTGGTTCGTGGCATTTTTCTGTTGTAAGCATGATCTATAGAATAAATTTATTGGAAGTTTGAAGCATGAAGAAATGATTGGATAAAACTTACTGGAATTTAGCATTAACAATAGCTAAAGTTTCTGGGCAAACTAAGTATCTATCTACTAGTTGATATTGGGTTACACTCTTCATGGCATCTTTGGAATATCCTGAAATATATTACGTTAATTTATGGTATTCAAAGATATTAACTTAGATAAGCATCATGTTCTTGTTTGTTCTTCAGATTCGGCTGTATTTTATTGCCAATGAGGGGCTAAAGCATTCAACAATTCTATGCATAGAAACATGTCGAAGCTGATGAATTCGAATATGTAAGGAATAAAGATATATCAACCCACCCTTTTCTTTGTCTTGGGGGAAAGGATAATCATGTCTTCCATCTAGAAGGTTTAATAATGGTGGTAGAAGATTCCTGACATCTTCAGCATCCAGATAATATCCAAACTTCACCAGATGATAAAGTAGTCGCAATACCTATATAAAAATACATAGTCATATCAAACAACGTTCTGTTTCGTATTGTCCAATATACTTGCCACAAATATTTCTCGGTTCCTGCCCAATACGCCTGTGAATTTTGGGATTCTGTAAAGATGAACCTAGATTACCTTATTATATCTTAAAATCGAAAAACTATAACAAGAAGCCAAAAGAAGCCCGAATGATCATCAATTGACTATAGTAACACTTGCATCCAAAATAATTTCTGATTCCAAGATTATGCACACGGCTGGACCAAATCATAGATAATGATGCGACCGAATTAAAAAGAAATACCTGTTCTATCAACATATTATGACCTATATTACAAGCTATCATAAAACTGTTATCTCTAAGAAATTCTGCTATCCAATCTCTTAATACAGGGAATATAGCCACCAGTTCTTTGATCACCTACAACAAAATAATACAGGTTCAGAACCACGAGAGATACGTTACTGGTTTGAATATTGTCAATTAAATGAACAAAATGTCACATAACAGATGCAAATATGAACCAAGATCGATTGAGTTTCAAATTCAGGGTTTTTAAGACGCAAATAAGTTATGCCGGTATCCTTATTTGACTTGTTGCCACTAAATGCTTCCATATAAAACTAGGACCTTGGGGTTAGAATCACTAGTCTTCATGACATCATAAGTCAATCTGGATGAACTTCCAGTAATTATCCAGATAATGTAAACATTTTAACATTGTTATTAAAATAACTTTATTTTCCTATTGACATAGACAGCTGAATTTTTCAGCCATAAATTTAACTCTCAAATTTGCATTAAAGGTCGATAGTCTTTAAACAGTTATCCAACATCAGAATCATGTCTTGGTGAAGCCATTTAGAATTTGAAGCGATAGGACTGATGTTTGTGTTCCAGGAATTCAAATCAATTCTGTTATAATCAACTAATGATTATAAAATTGTTCATCGTATGGTCAATGCTTTTCTGTCATCAATTATCCAATTGTACGAATATAACTGTAAAGACGAGCATTGCAATTGATAACTGCCCATTCATACAACTGGACAGCTGATATTTCACCTCTGAGGATTTTGAATTCATCCCCGGAGGGTGCACACTGACCCCTGTTTACAAGCATTGTCCTATACCTGTGGATAACGTTGGGTATATATTTAGATCGATCAATGAACTTGCATTTGCATTGGAATTATAAGGTTTTCCTATTAACTTAAAGATCTATCTTTGGAATATCCTGGCAATTCTTCTATAAGGATTGTTAAATTTAAACAAATCAGTCTGAATGAAAAATGAAGACCTTATTTCACACGATTGTTATGATAAAGCAATGACAGATCACATAAATCAACCTAAATGTCTTGAATTAAAATACTTACAAAATCCCCTTGGCTCTTTTCTTCATCTTTAGAACCAACATAATCATAAACGAAGCAGATGTTCGGATGATCTAGTACGGAATAGTTATTACCAACGTCCACAAACAAACCTGAGAACAAATAAAACCAATCAAATAATAGCCGGTTTCAACTATTTATAGTCCCGTTAAATTGGGAATTAAGGAAATGAAATTAAAGGAAATAGAGTTTTACGTCCTACTTTTCTGTGGGAATTAAGGAACGCTGACCATTGGTCCTTCGTATTTCGCAATATATATGGACTTAGATTTACTAGGGATAACAGTCAAAAAATGACTATTATTCAGTTGCATACAACTCTCCGTCAATTGGAAGGAACTTTGGATATAGTTCAAACTGCTTAAAAGGCCAATAAGGAATTAATCATTTCTTCCCGGACGTTATTGATGCATTTGTTGCATTGACATGAAGACACGTTTTCACTTCCTCAAAAGAACCGATGAAAAGTAGGTCAAATTCATGTTTCCTCTTTGGAAAGCATCTACACAATTTCAAATACTTCTCTCGTCAATCAGGAAAAATTGATTATACCTCAAATTTATATTATATTGAAGATTTAAAGTTGATTTGAAAGGATGATATAGCCAATATACTATGGTATAAATTGGGGATATCAGCCATATACTCCAGCTATAAAGAAGGATATCAATGCACCAATCTCGTGCAGAAAGATATTGAAAAGGCATTTAAGAATGTTTATAGATATTGTAGTATTCTATCATGTGTTTAAGAATAGCCATGCAATTACTGTAAGGATTCCAATATCATCAATCAAATCATTCCTTTTAAAACTGATCTTTATGATATATCTCACGTCTTCTCGACTTGTTGATATTCTCCACATCGCATGTCTACACCTTCTTCTTACATAAAGTACAGCATCATTGCGATTCTGGCCTTTAATTTTCGAATGGAGATGAAAGAGCCGAGAGCGGTACAATTTAAGGCCATGATTTTACTGGTTCGTTGTGTAAATCTTGCTTATTGTGACACGGACTATACGAAAATTCATGCTTGGTTTTCAGCCTGCGTTTCCTTTTTTTCAGGCAACATGGTCTTGCTGTAAGTTAATTGCAATGCCAAATCAACAACTTTAAAGTAGAGAGTATCCCTATACAAAACGTACAATTAAAGCTTTCCAGCAAGTGGGTTAATATGTTTTAATTACAGCATCGAGCAATAAACTTATGAAAACATTGGTGAGTGTATTGTTCATGAAGTATTATTCTACTCTAGTGTCTGTAGCAAAGTCAATATACATCCATTCTGATAAAACCAATTGTTAATTTGAATGGAATCGTTTAATAATTCAATGGTATACAGTTAGTATAGCATTGGAGTGAACGATATAGATCTAGTATAATTTAAACTGTCTAATTCTAAAAAGGGCTGATTAAGTGGAAATGAGATTTCTCAATTCCAATCATTATTTTTTAAATCAAGTCTGTTTATTTATACCCATAGAAATGTTTACCAACGGCACCAATAACAGTAAATAATTCCATAGAATTTGGGCATCATACCATATGCACGAAAGTGTCAAAACATCCATTGTGTTTTTCAGAAAATGAATTATCTTTGAAGTAACATTTATGCACTAGTTAATAGCTTAATAACTGTATTAACTGTAATAGCGTCTAGATAGGTATTGGTTCATTCATTGATCATAGAAATTTTTGATTTGATAATTGGGAGAAATCTGAAATTGTGTCTGGGGTTTTTCTTGATATCCTTGACTTCCATTGATTTTATCAGGTAACTCAATGAAATACTTGACAGAAAAATTGTCTGCTATAAGATTTTTTGTGCAAAGCGCTAAGTTAAATTGTTTTGATTCATATGTAAGATCTAAAATCAGATTCTAATCTTCTGCTAATTTAAAGATCTAGAGATTAAATATTTCCAAAATTACGAACATTAATTAACCACTAGCTCCCAATACACCATACGAACGAAAAGTGTAAACATCCAATGCCTATGATTTTACACGTAAAAAGGCTACTAACTGAGATGCTTGAAATCCTCTAGATATCGTCTCAAGATATGGTATTTTTGATTAATATACAACGTTAAAACCATGTATTCTTGCTTTTTCTTTAAATCTGATTAGTGTTTTAATGACGGTATAAATATTCACAATATAACGGTTTATAAAGTACCTCGTGAAATTATCAATATTGATAGTGGAGGCGTATTTACAATTTATTCTCTTACAGCTCTACATATTGATCCAAGTGTTAAAAGGAACCATTATATCTACAAATTGCTCGGATTTACAAAGAGATAATCGCTGATGCCAAATGCAGTCAAATGGCGTAACTGAAGGTGAGAGGGCTATTTCTGTCTGTGTCTAGTTTGGGATTCGCAATGTGTAAATATATGCCAAGGCCGCTATATCATACAAGTAAGTTAATGATATGGAAAGATCTGAGCTATCACAATATTATTATAATGATATGATTGCTATAGCGTTATTATGATCAATATGGAACTAGCTGATAATTATGTCATTCTTCTGTCATGTAACAGGGTGGAGTGTAGAAGAGTTGATTCATTTAGGAATCATTTTAGAGAAATACAATTTATCTTACAAGGCAGAGATCTTCTATAATTATACTTTAAATGAGCACATTCATCCAATTTTGAAGGAAGAAAGTAAATATGTTGTGATTCAGTGGTATGGTAAAAAAAAAGAGGGTATTATGGAGAAAAAAGTTGTTAGTTGTTGCTGTTGCTCCAAGCACTAGTTTTAAACCTAAACTTAATGTATTCAGTAATCTGATTTAATAATCTTTAAAATCGATATCAAATGTGTTTGTATTACCAATCAGTTCAATTTCTCTTTTAAAATCTTGATTTTCTCTTAAGTAAATGTTTATGAAACTGATGCTGGTTTTTGTCCATTGAGACTGGAAGGTAAAATATGAAATATGTTCCTTCGCACAAAACATTGGAAAATCCATTATTCAAGATAAGTTAGAAACACAAAAATTGGCAGAAAAAATAGGCCTACTTACTTGTCGTAAGGTCACAATATTTAGCTCTAATGGCATCTGGTAAAATGTCGGATCGCAAACTCAAGAAGGTTTCTTCCCAAGTTAAATATCGCAACTCTTTAGTGATGATATTAGAAGCATAATCATTACGACCCTGAAAGAATAAAGTAAAAATAAAAAATATCATTGAAATTGGGTCCAGTTGAAAACAAACCTGAATTGACAAGGGAAAATGGTAGTACACTTTCAATTATCTTTATCTTAGTGTGCTAGATCTACATAATGTTCTGAAAGTTTCTGATATCTACTGCATGGTTGTAACAATGGCCATTCATTTAGAGTTTGAATACTAAACCAATTCCACAAAATATATTGCACACAAATATTTCATTGATTCAGACTTCAAGTACTAAAGAACCAAGACTTAAGAAAGTTTTATTCTCAAGAGACAGACAGCCCTGATTATCTATTATGAGGGATTTTGATGATGAGGTTACCAGGTTTAATTGTCTGCCGAAAAATAACTAATTGAAAAATTTCTTGACATTTGAACCGCAAACTTAAACAAGTTTCTTTTTAAGTCGGATGTCGGAGTTTGGTAGTTAATGAAATAACCAGATTGAATGGAAGGGAATCAATAAACGAATGCTATGATTATCAACCCGTGAAATTTCCTGGTAGTGTTTCCATATCAGTTGTCAAGAAGCTTAGTTATGTGCCGGGAAGCGTCAGTCGAGCATTCCATCTCAATGTCCGTGATTTGTTTAGGAATTGTGGAATTACAAACTTTATTGAGGAATCAATAACAAAAAATAACTTTCTTAAACCTACATTGTGTAATGGCTATAGAATAAATAAAATTATTGCCACAGTTTGTTTGGTATTCATTTGATATTCCGGTGTAGAATTCTGATTGAAGGGAAGTTTTACGAGCTCTATTAATAAACTAATAATAAAAGTCTCTGTAACAATAGTTGGTAAGTTGATTTGGATGGGTGATTCTGAAAGCCTCGCCATACTGATTTTGCTTGTGAGATTTCGCAAGGTGGGATTATTTTACAAACCAGAAAATTGATTTTCTCTTGGATAAATCACCATTTCCGCTTGACGAATTTTAAAAAACAAAGTCCAACAATGTGAAATATATCTGTCAATTCATAAATGAGTGAAAGTCCAAACATTACAGCGTAACACATGATTAATAATGCCCGTTTGCAAGACAATCTCATCCGTATTGCATATATGGCAAAAAATGAAATTGGATTGAAACTCCAGCATATCAAAATGAATCACTTCACATAATTAAGATAGGATTGGTTTTATTCAAAGTTATCCCAGATATTGACGGAAAACATCAAAGGAAATACCAACGTTATGTTATTGAAGAAAAATGATCTGGTTTGTTTTATTTACGAATTGTGTTAATTAGAAATGATAGGGAAAAAAGAAACTTACATAACTCAAAGCTTTGTAAAGATCTAGCTGGTGAATCAGAAACTCGTGTTGGTCTTTATTATAATAGGGATTGGATTCCTGCAATCAAATAAACATCGTATATCATTATATAATAACTTCGATAATTATGGACAATTAATGCAAGATGAAATAACTCACATCAAAACGGGATATGATAACAACGCCTCCATAGTTATGGAAGAATATCATATTTCAATGAATAAAACTACTGTTATTCATAATTCTATAAAGGAGTTGTTTCAGATGATTGTAACAGCAAAAGCTTCCTTGGCTTGCATCTGTCCCTACGGTATCAAATATAATCTAACTATTGCTTGCAAAAAGTGAGATAAATCTTGAAAGGTTACAAAACACAAAACGCGTCACAATTACATATCATGTCATGGTCATGTCAATAAAAAAAAAACAAATGCTGACGATCCGAACCGCAAAACAAAACCCGAAATCAAAAACAACATTTCGATGAAAAACATTGGCAACAGCTAATGAACTTTTCACATGACTAAGTATATCAGTTTCATTTCACGTTTCACTTTTTTAAAGTTTCAGGCTTATAATCAAATCAAAATTTTTGACTTTTACGGAAATTGTATAAATAATACAACATGATACCGAAGTCAGCCTTGAAAATTAGCCTTCTTTCTGTCTGTAGAACGTAGTGTAATACTTCAACTAGGACAATTAAAAGACCATAAATCAAACAGATTTGAGACAGATTTTTATTCTAGAGGAAATCAAATAATTATATATTCATCTCACAATACCGCGGCTAGACTGTTACCTAGATGTTACGATCGAATACTACTTTTCTTTTTCTCTGTCAATAGACGTTACATCAAATAGTATTCACTGATTGATTCAATACGACATGGTAAGTAATGGACTGAATGACTTGAGTCACACGAAAGCTGAGAACAACCATGGGAAAGGCTGCACCTTGTCACTTTGAAGCCGAATAATAAATGACATGGTTAAGACTATTAGTTGTGCACCAATTCTGCAAGCATTGGTACAATGGAAGGGAGTAATATATCTTTTCGCGCTAGGAATATTCGCAACAGAAATGTAACGGTGGATGTGATATCAAAATATGAAAGTTTAGCTTAAAAAATAAGGATTTGTATGTACACATTAAACATATGTTATCTGTTGTTTTCATCAAAAGATGTAAAATGAGAATGAATACGCTGCACAAATATTGTTCTTAATGGTACAACATGACAGCTGGTTTCCTTTAATAAGTTTTTTTTTCTGATTTACTAAACAAACATCATAAGATGATTCAATAGCTGTTATTATTATGGCTTTTGTGAAAATTAGTGGTAAATGATATATTATAATATCATATAACTCTGTCTGCCAGATTCAGTTGAACATATCCAATCCTGTAAACAATCCTTAAGTCAGGTTCAAGTCGTATGCAGTATGTTATACTATGATAATGTTTGAAAAGGCGGTATTAACGCGCTTATGATTTATTACCCATTATGATTAGATATAACAATAATTTTATGACTTACATCAACAAATTCGTGTAGTGCCATCCAGTCTTGTCCATTAGATGTAGATAAGTAGAGTATATTGGGTTGTCTGTTGATATCCTGTCCCCTGGCAGTTAAATATACACCTTTCTGTAATAACAACACACAAACGTTCTTAATAAATTCTGTGGCATCTTATACTTGAATATTATTGGTATTATATCATGATATAATATATATTTTGATTAGAAGTGGAATTGATGCTGCTAAGGGCATATTTGTCGTCCTAAGTACTATATATTCAGCCTCGCCTCTTACCTTTTCACATTGTAACCATCGTTTAACTATATACGACTGGTTGTTGGGTATAGCTATATCATCACATACACATAATACATGTAGTAGATCTAAAAACCGGTAATTCTACAAGAAAAAATATTATACAAGTTGATTGTGATATTTTTTTTTATCATAAAGTATAGTATACAAAATGGGAAGTAATATGATGCACATATTCCATTGTTTGGTCTTTGAAGGCGCCACCTTGTGCGTATGCTCATAAGGTTACTAATGGATAAAGCATAGTATCGAGTGAACAGAAAAGTATAAGGAAGTTCCATGTTACCTGTGATGTTTGTAGTAAGGAAACGAACTCGTCTATCTGAGAATGAGTTATTCTATCAACAATTTTTCTCTTATCTCGTATTAATTCCACTATCATCTGAGCTACATTTAATCCTATACCACCCTGTTAATAGAATTCAAGCATCGGGTTGAAATATTCAGACATTGATTTGAAATATTCAGACATTGGTTTGAAATACCCAGACATTAGATTTAAATATCCAGACATGAGATTGAAATATCCCGATATTAGATTGAAATATTCAGACATTAGATTGGAACATACAGAAATTTGAATATATTGACATTAAATTGGAATATCTTAACATAAGATTGAAATATCCCGATATTAGATTGAAATATCCCGATATTAGATTGAAATATCCAGACATTTGATTGGAACATACAGAAATTTGAATATATTGACATTAAATTGGAATATCTTGACATTAGATTGAAATACCCAGACATTAGATTGAAATATCCAGACATTGGATTGAAATATCCAGACATTGGATCGGAATACACAGAGATTGGAATATCTTTACATAAGATTAAATTATCCACTGGATATATTCTTTGTTGAAACATTCAGACATTTGAATGTAACACAAAGAACTTTGATTGTAATATTCAGACATTGGATTGAAATATTCAGACATTGGATTGAAAAATTCAGACATTGGATTGAAACATTCAGCCATAAGATTGAAACATTCAGACATTGGATTGAAACATTCAGTCATAAGATTGAAATATTCAGACATTGGGTTGAAATATTCAATCATTAGATTTAAATATCCAGACAATGAACATTGGTTTGAAACGTCCAGACATTGGTTTGAATATCCCAACATAAGATCACAATGATTATGTTTCTCAAAACCTGACATACAGACAGTTTTTTGATCGGAAGAAGCAAACGTTTTGACAGGAGGGCAATTTTCAAATTTTGTTGAGAGTTTCAGACGACCATTGGCAGAGATAGAATATTACCTTCTCTCAAAAATTTCTTTTATTTAGAAGACGTCACTCAAAATGATGAAAGCGTGAACAGAATTGTCTGGATTTTTTTTAGTCACTGAAATGACTGGTATAAAATTCAAGAAATTATTTTTAATGTCTTACCTTTTGAGTAAATTGTGTTTGGAAGAAGTCAATATATTTGGCGAAATAAAGGGCATTTTTTCTACTCTTTCCTATCATGTAGGTATAAAGCGTGTCGTAGGCTTCTTTGAAAACTTGGATTAAGTTAGCTTCATCAGGAACACCATTCAATGGACATTGTAATATCTTCACCAATAAATCTATGACCTAATTGTGATATATATACATATATATGAAATGATGTTACATATGCAGTTTTATATCATACTCATACTTTTTTTGTCCATTGTATGTATGGCAGGTCTTACGACTTGAAAAAAAAAACCGTTAAAACCAATGTAGTAGATATGAAGTCTAATAACTATCCTGGATCATTCAGTGAGAGAAAGAAATGGCATATGCGTTACAGAAATTGGCCATCAAAACGATTAACCTTGGCTTCAGAGATAACCCTAGCAATAAAGAGATAGGAAACGAGCTGGTTTTATTGTTGATAAAAATGGTCCGCTGACCAAAGAGCGTCGTGTTCGAGAAGTTTTAATATTAGAACCAGTGAAATGATCTACTTAAGTGTTAAATGTAATAAAAAATCAGTGGTGAGGTTTATTTAAAGAGAGCAATGTAAGGCTAATTAACAAGCCGAGATTCTATTGATTGGCATCATTCTTATTCCATACAAAATTCACTTTATTTACACTCTAGTAAATATACCAAAATATCGATATAGTACCATAGTACTGTCAATTGTCTACATTTCAATAGTCACATTTTATTAACAAGGCGTGAGTACCCAGTACCTGAGATTTCTATTGACTTTCTGTAACCTATAATATTTGTTTACTAGGTGTGTGGCTGGATAATCAAGATTTATTATTATTCACCACGTTAGTCAGACGACAATTTTAATGGATGTTTAACGTCAAACTTAACGAGCTGCCCCAGGCCAGGTAGATTATATCAATAATACAAAATATCCCAAACTGCACCTTGTGACGTCATCCGTATTTATTTTGAACATCAATGAATAAATTTTTCTGCTTTGTGGACTCAACACAGTCATGCCTTTTGACAAATGGTTGGCAAGTTTGTACACAATGCAAGGAAGATACAGAATCTCTGAAATTTGAATCAATATATCCTAAAGAGCTAAATACCGATATATAACTCCATGGTTTATTGCCTGTATCTAGACTAATCTATCATCTATTAAGTCTGTATTTTAAAAGCAGACGAACAAAAAACACAATTATGCCCATTGGCGCAATTAGGATCTGGGATGGTCATAGAATACAATGCCTCCATGCTAAAGAATAGTGTCATTTACACATAAAAGTAACCATATGGAACATTGCCCTTAAAGACACTAACCCGTAAATTTCTCATGAGTTTTTGGCGGTTTTTACTTGTTAGACCTTGCACAAACATAAACTTCCGTAATTCTTCCATTGCCTGCAATAAACAGTAAAATATTTCAAAATAGCGACTGTGGAATCATAATGGCTGGGTCTAAAAGGTAGTAAAAATTAAAGATAACACAGATATGTGTTCATTGTTATAATGTGAATTGCAATTATCGTTTACCTGAGCATGAAACGCTAGGTATAGAATTGAAAACAGTCAATAAAAGAGCATTATTAAATAATTATTAGAAAATAATGGTATATTATCATTAAATGTTAAGTCTCCTGAGGAAATTGTGGTGGTGTTTTAGTCTTTAGAAATATTTTGTTTGGTTTTTAATGGTTATAACTAAGTGCCTAAAACTCTTTCAGTAACTAAGCGTATTGTTCTAGTGGTGTTATTAATTTCCACTTACCGTTAAAGTCTGATGGGTTTTCTTGGCATTCAGTATATGACCTTCGGCCCGCTGCATGAAATAAAGAGAATTGCGTCTGAATATGCATATGTTATGTAAATAGATTTAATCAACAGTAATTCATCAAAATCAAAAAATTATTAAGAACTAATGGAATTCGAGTTCATTTTCAGCGACAAAATACCACCAACTGCACTATTCAGATAAGCAAACATACACAATAAATTTGAAAAACATTAATCGTTCTGAACGTATTTGCATTTTGTAACGGAAATTCTTGGAAATAATTTGTAAGAAATATAGAGTGTACTTTATTCATCAAAGAGAACCATTGGTGCCGACAGGAAAGGCTTTACCATTAAGTCAAACCAGGTGCAGTTTTTTATATCCACAACATTACTTACGTCATAAATAAGTGAAAGAAGACAAGGTACCATTCCTGAGACATAATTAAAATCATCCACAAATTGTTTTTCTACAAATTGAATCGTGAAAGCATCATCATACATGCTCTCACCACTTGCTGCTACCTGTAAACACATTTAAAATGGTTCTAAAATTGGACTTTAAGGAATTGTTAGCAACGTATAATTTACGAGGTAAGAGACATTTTTCAATAGACTGGAAGGCTTTTGGTGAAAATTGAGAAAGATGGCATATTATATACTTATTTGTTTGCGATAAAAAGAACAAACCTGTCGAACTTGAGCAGTATCCCATCTTAAACCACGCATACTCTGATCTGTAGTGTCATCAATATGGCGGAATTGCTTTCTGATATAATCTTCATCTGAAATGTTGATATAACCCATTAAATGACATGTCCCACGACCTCACACTTCATCGCAACTGACAATGGTGGATAACCAACAGATAAAAGCGGATTATCCTCTGACTTGCAACGGCCATTGGCGGATAACCCTCTGGTATGCGACTGACCAATTTCTGGTTTGCATGTCTGATGTAAGATATATGGAATTAAACATCAATAACTTTAATAGTCTAGTCGTCTGGGTTCTGTGAATTTCCGTAATACGGTATTTGTGCTCAAGGGACGAAATGTGCTTTTAAATATGGAACAAAACTCCAGAAAAAAACAATTCTGGCCTCAGTTTGCTGCTGCTGGAATTATAATATTCTTTTTTAATTGGCTTGTTTGATCATAAGTTTAAAACAACTTTTATCGCCTAGACATTTTACTGTTTTTATCGATAGTAATCATGTTTTCAGAGAAGATTGTAACTTGTTTGTCTCAAATGCCAAAAGCCAGACTCATACATTTAAATCCCATGCTTGTTCAAACATCTGCATTGAATTATTGTAGTAGAATGAATAATACCCACCCTTTAAGGCATGGAGCCAAAAGCCTGTTAATACGTGCTCAATTCTGGCGTAACTTTCAAAATGAATTTCATCCCGTTCCTAACAATAACAAGAGAAAAGATATCAATAAATTCATAATGGTGGAAAACATCTGAAATTGTGTAAAGTATTGTTTTCACTATGTTTGTAACGTGTTAAATTTGCCGTAGACAGACAGAGTCGCACCATTAAAGAAAATCGGTTTATTTTATTAATCCATAAATTTTCAGCAATGTCTTTAAATAAATTGATCTGTCGAGAAAGGTCACTTGATAGAGAAAACTACAATAATAGAATATTTATTTCAATTGACTGTAAGTCTAAGGAATTAGGATTCAACCAGGAATATATGAAATCCAGATCAATATTCTATCAAATTCGATTCAATAATAAACTGCTAAAACAAAGCCCCCTTAGACAAAACAAAAATTGAAAGTCGGCGAAACTGAATGAATTACTAAGTGCATATATGTGAAGCCAATGTAAATATTAATAGGTTTAACACATTAGCACAATAATTGAATTTCTAGATATTTATTTCTAGAGTATTACATTCATGGTGAAACCAATTGTAAACAAATCATATGAGCATCTTTGAGTGCCTAAACAAACACTGCCACGTTCTCTCATATTGTATAAGCTGCATTGAAAAGGTTAAATAGATTGTAAAGCCTGATCTGACACATATCTCAGAATATAAATGTAATACCAATAGTATTTGGGTTAGTATATGTCCATCAAAGGCTTTACAAAAATCGCAAAAATGTAACATAACTTTAAAGAGTAAGCTTCTTAAAATCGTTACATAATCAAACCAAATAATAAAGTTAATTATGGTTCGCTTGATTAAAGAAAGGATCATATATATTAGTTCAGTTGTTTCGTACTTACACTAAGAACACTGTGTAGTCTGAACACTGTTCTTGGATCTTCATTATCATCTGTTAGTGTAATCTCTCTGTTGGCATCAACTCTCAGATACTTCCTAATCGTCATGTGACGTAGACGCACCTGTTGTTCCCAACGTATAACATCACCTTTAAGTGTATTGAAAATGATATGTCTCAGAAAACGTATATTATTAAGCAAAAGTTTGAAAACATAAAAAACAGGTTTTGTTTAAGTGATTGTATTTTCCAATAAGGTCATTAGACATAAACTAAGAGCCAAAACTTCAGTTATACCAGTCAATATAAAATATGAGGCTTTTTATACAAGACTATCACTTCAATAAACTTACCATTAAGGATACCATTTTCACATTCAATCTGCCAGAATGTATTACCAGACGAGGGCGGTGATAAGGTTCTGGGTTTATGTTGATCCATAACTCGGATTCTAAAATGCACTGAAAAGAGAAGAGTTGGTAATGATGATGCACCTTTACATATACAGTACATATTCATCTCTCTGCTATTGATTGCCTTTAAAAATATAAAGTCAAGAGTATTCGATATGGACTTCAGTATTTGACTTTGACTTAACAGTCAGCACTTTTTTTACTAGAAGATGGCTTATGGGACACAGTTGTGAGACTGAAGCAATATAGTGGGAATTGACCAAATCTTAGAGCCTTACCATCTTCAGTGACTTCTTCATCAAACAGACCTTCAGCAACAAGATAAGCTTCAAGTTCTTTATGAAACAACCTGATAACACTACCACCCTACAAACAAAAACATCTGATAAGTATTTACGTTTTGTTAATCTGATTATGGTAAACAAAACAATTGAGATAGAAACATTGAAGATCGTACCAACTTGAAGAGCACCTAATAAGACAGGCGTTCAACATCAGATGCTTCCTCAGAGATTTGTAAACTCGTTTGTTAAGTCAGCTTTGTTAATACCGTTGTAGTTTTGTTTTCAGAACGGAACTTTCTTTAACTACACGATATATTTCTGTAGGTCAACATTAGTTCTAAACGTGTCCAAGCAGAAAAGATTTACCAAAGATTTGATCTAAAGAAGAAATAGTAGTCATCTGAAAGTATTCTATCAAAGACCTAAAGATCTATTAGAAAGTTAAAGATTGGGATCATGCAATTGATTTTAGCTGTTTTATCATGCTTGGAATCTGTATGTGGTGTTATAGACCAATAGTCAAAGAGGAAGAAGGGCGTGTCGTTTTGATTCAGCGTGTTTCCGAATGTCTTCAGTGACTTATAGGATTGATCGGTGAACATTTATGCAATGCCTCGGGGTTGCAAGTCGTCATCATCGTGAATAAAGCAATAACAGTGATTCTCTCAATCTAAAGAGAAGACAGAAAATTTGATAACAGCACAGATAACTGATAATGATTTAAAACATTTCCTTTCACCAACATGATAAACCAATGCACAAGTATATTCCATCACCAAAAATATGTGTATGCACATAAGTTAAAGTTAGCTCCAATCCAGTTCGTTGAAAGAAAAAAAATAAATCGCATTCCAGAAAATGGTAAAATTGGGTTAGGCTGTTTCAGGTTAGACAAAAGAAAGGATTCTGAAAAGGTACCAAAGAAAACCTGAGAAATCGGTGGGTTTAGCATTTAAAAGTCTACCTTTATATATTTGGGAATCTGGGAGATTCCTCTCTGAAACCAAAATATAAATAAAAAATATATAAAAAATAAAAGCAATCTTATAGTACGCAAGTGAACCCGAAACCTGATTGTGAAGCAACAATTGCCTGGCATTTCAACGCGAGTTTACTTACTATTTCATTTTTGCAGGAAAATTCTCGTATAAGATACTTTTAAAAAACGTGATACTTTCTCAAAAAATTAAACAAAATAAAGGGTATATTTATATATATATAAAGATTTAAATGGCATCATAATATGATCATTATGTGCTGTACTCGTTTTGAATGCTGTTAATATGTGTTTCAAACCGCGAAAAAACACGTTCACAATCTTTTTAATAGATCATAAAAATGTGATCAAAAATGGGTTATAATTTTAAAAAGTTAAAAAATGTGTGATATATTTTGATGAACTTGCTGTAAAAAGATGAATATAATGAAAATGTGCATTATTAATTGAATAATGACGTGATATAAGAATAAAAGAAATTATATAAATATACTTCTGTACCTTAACATAAAGGTCTATATCGGGATTTTCTTTACAATATCGAACTAATGTAAAACCAGACCTCTCGACACCAAGATTCAATTCAGATCTAAAACAAATAAAGTAACATTTCTTTATTGTTTTTCTACTATAATATAAGCTTCTTGGGTGCAAACAACTTTATATCTAAGTCAATTGTCATTGAGCAATGTATAAAACGCAAAGACAAGCTAGAAGTCGCCTTAGAGGGTGCAATGGATCAGATCAGGTTTTTGTTATTGCTGTTTAAGTTCAGGCAGTTAAACGGCCTCAACATTGTCACAAAATCAAGATGTACAGCTAAGCAAGTAGAATGATCAATTCGTGTTAGTTTACCAACACGCAAGGTCTTCTATGATCGAGAAGTCGAGAAGGCGTTAGGTGTATATGTTTAAGTTCTAAAATACAAACGCTGAAAACATATTAATATAACCTCCACCTTCGTTTGAAACCGTAAATTTTATGCATACTTGTTTGTATAACAACATATTGCCTAAATCAACATGGCGTTTTTTGTACTTTGCTTCATTAAAATATTCAATAACATTAAGATAATCAGAAGACAGAAATGTCATCAATAACAGCAATAGCAGGAATGTAAAATATCATTTTGGAGATATTTAATGCCGAAGATCATAGTTATTAGACTGAAACGATCTAATACCCCACATCACTAGTCCTTTAATGATGATAGATAGTGAAAGTATAATTATACCCAAATTATTACAGAGGAGATCAAGATGCTAGGGCAGTGGTAATTATCTGAACAGAAAGGTTGAAGATTATTGAATATTGATCAACTAGGTTATGAATATAATTGAAACATGCCAGAAAAAACTATACATGTCATACATCTTAAAGTTATAATATCATTTCCATAATATCATTACAGTCGACACAAAACTGTCAAAATATCATAGAAACATGTTTATTACTACGCATTTTATTCAATTGATTTCTACTTTCCTAATGTTAAATATTATACGACAGTCACTCTTGACATCAGAATCTGGAATGTGTCTTCACAATTATATGTTATGTGTGATTTGACCAACAAAACAAAATGCCTGAGAAACGTTTTTTCTGTCACCGGAGTTGAATACATAGATATATTAGAATTGGCTTTAGTACTCTATCATATATCAAATGGAAACATTTTGTTGATATGAACGCATTAATTAGAATCCAAAGTGAGTTCATGAACAATGGTGTCAGATAATAATTTTCAACTTTACAATGAACAATATATAGAACCGAATGATAATAGCTTACCCAAATGTGCTGATGTCTATTTGAAATGGGACACTACCATGAAAATAATGGCCAGGCGATTTTATACTTTCAAATACAATCTGGTCATATATTTGTACCTGAAAGAAATATGACATGAAATGTTTGATACTTCAAATAATAGAACACTGGTATTTCAATATGGTTCTCTTATCAATGTCTGTTGAACATCAATATTATTTCAAGAAAATAAGAGAAATTCGGGGGTGGAAGTACCATCAACAGTTGGGTTCAATATATATGGAGCGCTCTTCCCTGATGTCTCATCATAATAAAACAATGGTACACGAACGACCTATTCATTAGTCTAATTCGTGTACTTGGAATACCACAATTTGTTCACGCTGTCCTACCCACTCAGACTCATAAATAACCGACTAGAAACCTGTAGAGTGTATACAATACACTTACTGACATATTATTTAATTATCAGAATGGTTATTATCCACTCTAGCCGTACCCCCAGGGACAATCGTCTGTTTTTTATGCATGATATTAATACATAATTCTACTTACCACTTCACCCTCTGACTTCACTTTATATTGAGGCAAGATACGGAATTGGGCATTTTTAGCGTTAAAATCTTGCAACATAATCTGTAATTAAGATATATCGAGATATTGCTGTTGATAAACGGATTAGTATAGCTACTGAGGATTATTGTGGTCAACAACTGTTTTTGAAACCAGAGGCAACAGTTAACAATATCGTATAACCTCATAATATTTAGCAAAAGCATATTCATAAAAGATAATGGCACACAAATTGATTTCTGTATTGCTTAAAACAGAAATTTTGTCCTGAAAGCAAGCACAAGAAGGTAGCTTTCTGAAGCGTTTTTTTTTCTTCAGAATAATAAAATTCACCAGCTTATACCCATGATAATTCATAACAAAGAGAATTCAAATTTTAAGATAAATACGTCACGTCAAATATAGCTAACTAAGGACAAAAGGGTAATGATATATTGTACACATACAACTCAAGAGGGATACTAAGTATCGGGCATGTTACATCAAACAAAACATCGACCATTAGCTTTATTAGTACCTCTTCAGTACCAAAGAACTGAACTTTGTCAACATAGGAACTGGTATCAATTTTCAAATAGTACAGGATCAATGGTAGCGATGGTGAAATAATCACTCACTCTCGAGACCAGTTAACATTTATGTAAGAACGAAATGAATTAAAAGAAAGTAAATGATGGGACTGATAAAGGTAATGTATACTAGAGCTTGTAATTCTCTAGAGTCTAAATATCCGTAGAAAAGGTACAATATTGTTCAAATATAACTGACAATATATTTATTCATATGTCTTCTGCAAATAAAAGTCAATCAATATGGACTAGTGTAGAATAATTTACCTTTTATCCACAGCAAGTTAAGTGTAGAAATTGCCAGAGTCGAATTTAATTTGATGAATCAACAAAATTAGATAAATGGATTCCGAACATCAACACAGTGTCGATTGCAACCTTTATGTATAATGTTACCATTATCTGATGATGACCCAACCCGAGATGCATCACTAGACGGGATCCGAAATTGGGCTTTCATGGTCATAATTTAAGAATTAAAAAAAGTATTTATATTGGTTTGCTTCAAAGTTGTCAATTTATCTTCAGAGTCTAAATTAAACATCTTTATGGATGAACTTAATCGCCAACCCCCGCAGATGGTAACGCCGAGTTCAATGTAGCGTTATCAGGAGAACAAGTACTTCCGACCTTCTTGTGGGGTTCATCGGACAATTGAAATGTCGACCTCCTGAACTACATCATCCAATTATTGTCTTTCCCTGCCAGATACCCATAAGTAGATTATTATTGATAAAAAATATAATATGTAAGAACAAAGAGCTATGATAACCATAATTCAAGCTGACAGGACTTACCAATTACCCTATATACAGTAATCTTAAATAACAATACAGTTACTTAATCGTGTAATGTTTTCTATTCCGCTTTAAGTCCTGTCTAAATACCAATTTACTTCAGATAAATGATTTGAGAATATTTGGTAGGAACATGGTCAATGTATGGCAGTATCTCAATTTGAGAAAAACACTTGGTGGGATCATGATTAAATGAGACAGAAACTTAACTTGGTTTTAAAACATGGCTTGGTGGCATCACGGTTATAAGGGACAGCAACTCTTAACACCATATGGTGATGTAAGGAAACAATTGTCAAAAATATAAGAAGGCGAGAACACTGTTCGTGAGGATTAAGTCTGCTTTTTGTTTTATTGGCCAAAATTATGGACCGAAGTGGTTCGTTATTCAGTCAAGATTCCATATTACATTTAAAGACCTACTGGAAACGGTTCCGATAAAAGAGAATCTGCTTGAATAACGAACCACAAACAAAAGTCAGGTTTGCAACACAAGTAAAATATGCGAAAGATGATCAGTCAATAACAACGCTGTATCATAAAGCCTTTGTCATTAATCCAAGTATAAAGACAACTGAAATGAAGTGAGTTATCGCAAGCAGTTGTTGTATAGCAATATTTTCCGTATCTCTCACCTATAACTAGGATATATCAAATTGGTGTCAGATTTGGGAAGAATTCGAGTGTTTGTACATTATTACAAACTGACGAATAGCTGGTTTGACCCAACCATAAGCTAGCCCTGATTATACGAAATATCGATCTTAGGGAGTAGGCTTACAACAAAACAGTAATTATTTTGTGTTAATCACAAGGTTTTCATTAGATTAGCTTACAGGCAGATACAGCGCTTCTATTGCTTTTCTATTGTTTTAATTAGATTATACCATAACATCTGCTAGGTTAACAGACAGAACGAATTGCTCGACATCACCATCCTGGTCTTTAACTTCAACTGTTCTCGTAGGAGGTAAGGTTATTAAGCAAATATTGTGGTTAGAAAGGATAGACTTCATTTACTTTTCTCGGTTGAACCATTTTGATTAAATTGCTGTTTCCGGGATCTTTGTTCCACCGGGTACCGACTACAATCAGCTTTTATCCCCTGAACGTATTAAATCTACAAAGCGTTTTTGTTGCAACATTGAGATTTTCGTCCAGTTTAATCCAGACAATATTCTTTGCACTAAGAAACCTATTCAATGCGGCGATATAACCACGACTTCCGGTATTATTAGTCCAATCATTCCGTTTGTTCTGTTATAGAACACGATTAAAACTAGATCATATCCACAGAACAAACCCAGTTACCTCAATTACCATTGGACAAAACCACATTTTTAATTAACAAGATTTTGTAATCGCTGTATTCAATCAGAATGTGTGTGTACATTTTGCCAGAGGTTCCAAAATATTTACCAAACAGACAAATAATAGAAACTATGAATGCTCATCACGCAAGCGATACGGTTGTCAAGCAAATAAAACTGATGAAACATGCCAATTAGTCTACTCAACAAAAGGTGAAAAAAATTTCATTTTTGTTCATTGAATTTATTTAGAGGAATCCAACTCAAAGATGGCGATGAAGTTGATTAATGATCAGCAATTGGTAGTAGCTATTCCTTTGTTTAGAAATGTTAAATCATAAATCAGAATGATGAATTAACAACATGACATGAAAAAATGAGATTTATATATCAGGATTGATAATACATAAATAGATTTTATAACTTTCAAGTTCGGGAACCAAGAATATTATCTTTCATCTCAATGAAAGCATCTTGAATGACATGGGTGTTATGCCCAACTGTTCTGCACTTTCGTAGGTCATTATAGCGGTCAGGCAGTGTACATGAAGGGATGGGTGGCAACACTGGGACCCTTGTCGCAGCTTTTCTTTTCCTTAATCTTACAATAAATAATTAATACGCGGAGACTCGACTTCCCGACTAAAACAGAAATTCGTATTTTTTTAAATCTTTCGGGAAAATCGACTTTGAAGTTGCACCCGAATTTTCAAGAGGGAAATTTGCTTATATTTTGGTTCGGGAAAAAATCTGAAACTCAAAGTGTTCACGATAGGGACTTGAAATTTGCAACATAACAACGTCTACCTTCAAATTTCAACTTTCCAGCTCTGATAGCCTTGGAACGAGAGCCTGTCAAAGTTTTGGTCTTCACCCCATTGAAAATACAGTGCAGAAAAACGCTATAGGCAGACCGCCGACACCACCCCTGAACTAAAATGGCCATAACTCGGCCAATTTTGATCCGAGAGGTACAATGTTTGTTTGTAATGAAAGCTTATCATTTCCTCCATGTATTTCAGTAGAAAACAGAAATTCGACACTTTTTCAAACTTTGGAGAAAATCGACTTTGAAGTTGTACCCTTGATTTCAAGAGGAAAATCGCTTATATTTTGGTTTGGGAAAAAAGTCTGAGACTAAAAGTGCTGTAACTGGTAGAGTTTTCACGATAGGAAGCTGAAATTTGGAACACAACAACTTCAGATGGGTGTGTACCTTCAGTGCAAATTTCAAGTTTACATCTCTGATACTTTTCGAACGGCAGCCTGTTAAAGTTTTGGCCTTTACCGCAGCCAGTACTATAAGACTCTATAGGCGGACTGCCGACCCCCACCCCCTCGCTAAAATGGCCATAACTTCGCCAATTTTGACCCCAGAGGTTTAATTTTTGTTGCAAACGAAAGTTTAACATGTCTTCTATCTATTTCAGTCGAAAACAGAAATTCGTATTATTTGAAATCTTTCGGGAAAATCGACTTTGAAGTTGCACCCGAATTTTCAAGAGGGAAATTTGCTTATATTTTGGTTCGGGAAAAAATCTGAAACTCAAAGTGCTATAACAGGCAGAGTTTTCACGATGGGACTTGAAATTTGCAACATAACAACTTCCAATAGGCGTCTACCTTCAGTGCAAATTTCAGCTCTGATAGCCTTGGAATGAGAGTCTGTCAAAGTTTTGGTCTTCACCCCATTGAAAATACAGTGCAGAAAAACGCTATAGGCAGACTCGCTTCAATGATCTCATTGTTAAAGGGTAACCGGTTTGAAAACTCTACAAATCGCCCTTTTTAATATAAAATGAATTGGTAATGTTGAACAATGATGTTTTTTACTTTTATTATTTAGTTTCAACCCAATTTAACATTATAACTATCATATAGTATCGTGTATCAATAATGTTGTTTAGAATGGAAAATTACATAGTAATAAGCAATCGAGATGCACTAGGTAGATTCAATCTGTAATATTTTTTGTGGGCTTTCTGTAACTCTTAAAGTACTATGGTTTATACTGTTGTATGTCTCGGCTATTCATTTAACTTAGTAGGAAATTATGTAGAATAGTTTAATCGCGCTGTGCGAAAAACTCCCTTAGAAACAGGCTTAAGTATTATTGGGTCAAAGATTTGCGTGGTAAAATTTAGCTATATTGAAAGGTTGAATGGATCTTTTTATTAACTTATCGGTTTAATCTCAGCTCGCCTTTTCATTCAAAAACTTTATTTAGAAATAACTGGATCAATAGTCTGGAAAAATGTATGTAAAATTCTCTTCGGAACATTTTCATGGTGAGTACTGCAATTATTATGATGATGACATGACGCCTACTATGATTATTGTTATGTATGTATAACCCTCTTTTTTATCTAACCGTAACTTTTACTGCGTTCGTTAATTTTATTATGGCAGGGCTAATCTGTTCCAACGATTCGAAGCATCACCGAAACAAGAGCATATCCTCTAGGAAAATCAATTGCACGGTCTGTGAGACGAGAGATATCAGTTGCTTACAGATTCTTTCATTCGGAAGGTCGACTTTCACACCTTTTATTAATCTAAATCGTCATGACTGGTCTTTGAACTAAACCTTTCCTCAAAAATAACATCCGGATTGTAAGGTGCATGAACATTCCTGCTGTTACAAATTAAAAAGAGGATATTAATAATAAAATCAACCAGAACACAGCTATAAAAGCCAGTCTAGCTAATCATATCATTCCTGCAAATTGATAATATCCATTTAATTCATTACAGAACTTTCCTAATGGTGAATTGTGGTAGGTTTTCAATCAAATAATGACAAGCACGCAATCAACTGATGATATTCAACACACCCTGCACGCTATAAACAACAACATACAACACTCAAAACATGTTGATAAAACTGGGCAATGAAGTGACCAAACAGATGACAATCTAGTTAGATAAACAACCTTCAGATATTTTTACAATTTAAAACGGTAAACTTAATGATTTATTTGGCGCCGGTAATTGAATAAATTCTGTCCTTTTCCCCATTTTTGTAATTTTTTAAACTATTTTGTTGGAGTAGTGATTATTTTAATGATAAGGCAAAGGAAGTAGAAAAGGTTGGATAATAGACCTATTGCACGTTATCGGCTCTTCATGTAGATCTAGGCTAATATCTAAATAATTCTGTTAATGAAGTTCTGGCGACTACAAAATTTGTACTTTCAGTCACCAAAAAATAACAAGACCATTTGTCAAGTTAAACTTTGCATCAACTTGGAGCCAGTGCTCACAATAGAACTAAGTGGTTCGTGTTTGATACAACATTGCCCAACGCAAGAAAATTCATTAACCTATCTTCAATGAATTCAGTTTATGAATTTGAATTTTTTGCCTTTCATATCCTGCATTTTTATCATATGAATCAAAGAGCAGTAAATTTAAAGTAGTAATGATAAGTTGGACAATCAATGCTCCTTACACTAGAAATCGATCCATAACAAAGGCTGGAAATCATCATGGAATAATGAGCGAGATTATTCTCTACATTTTTTACACATGAGAATATCCAGAAATCTCAGTATTACTTGGGTCAGATTTTAACATTCAATACTAAAATTGATGAAAGTTCAACTTACCATCATATTATTTTTATCTTTTTGACTGGTCTGCGACGTACACATATGTATATATTTATTAGTAAATACATGTTTAAGCTGAAATAAAGTAAAAAAAATTTAATCATAGAAAAGATATGAACTATATTTAACAATGAAAACGATATGAACTGGTTTACCATAGAAAAAATATGAACTTTGCATCCATAGAAAAGGTATGAGCTTTATAAACATAGAAAAGATTCATGGATACAATTCTTTTAAACGTTTCTTTTAAGAGAACAAAAAGTCCAATACCTGTACAATCTCGCCATAGCGGACTTTCTTTCCCAGTTGACGTTTCTGTTCAGCATTGTTATCAGCATTTTCAGCATCGGCTGCTACCTGAAAACAAATAAACAAAGACTACATATAGATATTAAGTCCGCAGTTGTGTTATATTGATATCAAGGTATATCATTGAAATTATTGTTTAGATTTGCAAATCAGATAACTGGTTGTGGTTTACTGCTTATACAAGTACAGTCATTGTTATTTACCTTGGCTTGAGCTAGAAGACCTTTATCCTCAGGTTTGTCACCGTTTGATAGTGCCAACCATTTTCTGTATTTCTTGTTTAATTTATATCGATTCTGGATACAGACTTGAAATACCACCACTAAAATAATAATATAATCGTACATAAGGTCATAACAGCTAGAATTGCTTGACATTCTATATCTATTTCTACTAAACTTTTATTTTGTCTTTTATTTCATAGTTTCCCACATATTTTGAGACTAATAAATCGTTATCTTAGTTGAGTTACTCGATATATTGGTTGTATTACTCGATATATTGGTTGTATTACTCGATATATTGGTTGTGTTACTAGATATATTGGTTGTGTTAATCGATATATTGGTTGTGTTGCTCATTATGTTGGTTGTGTAACTCGATATGTTGGTTTTGTTACTCGGTTGTGTCACTCGATATTTTGGTTGTTTCTCCACGTGAACATACAATTAAAGATTCAAAAATATGCAAATTTCTTGTCTCAAAGGTACTCAATATAGCAAAAGAAATAGCACATATTTTACTATCAAAGAAAATGTTACAAAGGAATATGAGATTGTCAATATCATCACGGATGCAAATAAGCATATTAATATTGATTACAGTTGTAACTACATTGAATATTCTCCGAACGAAAGAGAATTATTTAAGATATTGATATTATGTTGACAGAAGTTAATGCGATTCACAAGAGGTTTGAATATAGTCGATATAAATATATCTTCATTCAAAAAGAAAGGGGAATTTTTATTCGGTGTTCCTTCAGAGGCATGTTCTCATGGAAGTTAATGCAGAGAATTTGCTATTTTTGTTTTTATTTAGATTCAGAATATCCTGTTCTATTACATCTCTTTAGATAGACGTATGGGCGTCACTCAGGTCCATTGGTTCATTCGCATTTGCGCGAAAGCTCACTAAAATCTACTTCTCCGGTTTTGTAAAACTTGGCACCCGAAAAGTATGTTATGTTATAGCTTGAGCCGTCTGTAACAGTTTTCCAAAGTTAAAGTTAGCTTCTTCAGTTGATATCTCGTTTCACTAATTGCATGATCATGCTAAGAGACACAACATAAGTAGTAAATTTATCTTAATGACATCTAAAGTTGATATGTGTTATCTAATAAAATGGCTATAAAATACCATTAAAGGTTTAGTCAATACAGCTGACCAATGTTGTCATACAACAATAAGATGCTACAAACTGTATAGGAGTGATTTCTGGAATGATTTTGTATGCATTTTTAGATGTTTTCAGAAACGACGCTTGTTTATATTCCGAATCGTTCGTTGTTAAAATTTACAGAACCATGAACATTAGATACAAAAACAAGTGGAAAAGTTGAACTTCGTGAAATGCAAGGAAAAGGAAAAAAGTTTAAAAGTGGAACTGTAGTTTGATTAATAATTGTGCAGTTAATCACCCACTTGTGTGAAGCCTTTTACTTCTCTGCACTTTAAATGTCTAAACGATTCGTTCGACAATACATTACAATACATTATATGGCATATGTCAAAATTGGAAAATAGAGAAGATCCACTTTGAATTAAATAGTATTGGTGGCAATTCAACTGTGAGTTACTTTTCATAACGTCTTGAGGTTTAGTAGTACATTTATGAGTTTATAAGTAATGTTTATACGGCTAGTCTGGCAAGCAGGTCCTCGGAGAACCTTTAACTAGTTCAATATGACTCACTATTTAAATGTAAATGAGGTTGTATAAACTATAAAAATGTCAATAAAATTAGCAGGACTAATGACCCTGAACACAAACTAGGTAAAAGGTCGCATAACTAGGCAACTACTCAGTTTTCCTTTTTGTTGATTTTATGTAAGGCTAAATAAGCAAATGTCACAACGTCGCTCTCGATCCCATTCCAAAGTCCAACTATAATTTCCTTTTAAGCAAAAGCCTTCAGTAGTATGTGCAAGATAATTGAAGGATGTATTAAAAGCTGTCTTAGCTCAAGTGTAGTAATGGTTCCTAATCAGTATTTCGACCCTGGGAAATGAAACATGAAATACATGTATCAAAACAATTATACCAGATTAAGTAAGTCGAGTAAACAGAAGTTGGTAATTCTGTATCCTTAATTAATTGGTGAGCTCTACATGGGTCTAAACCCAAGGATACATATATGACTATTTCAAACTGTTAAACTGTTTATTTCCAGAGAATTATGTTGCAACTTGTTGTAATGCGATGTAGGTTTGGTGTAGCCCCAGTTTGCATAGAAACAGGTGGTTACGAATAGAAGGCATCCCCATTGAAATCAGAGCAAACTGCCCTGATACCGTGGAAGATGAAGAACATTGTCTCTTATGTGCCAATTATACATCAACGTAATAACTACTTGCATCAGAAAAAGGCCACGACATGAAGTTGGTACAAATTATTATCCTTTGATAACAATGTTTTTTATTATCGACGCCATGTCTCTCGTTTCTTAACAAAATGGCAATTGAATAGTGATGTAATTTATTTGTATAGATTAACTGGTGAGACCTAAATAAAATATTTACCTACTTACTTACTATATTATCATATATTTTGCCAAGTAAGAGAAGTTAGTGATAATACCCCAAAACATTCATATTAACCACGTTATGCAATTGGCCGAAATTTAATACAAGTTACTTCCCCTGAGAAGTGACCATGATCCAAAATTTTAACTTCTATGGATTCTCATGACGGTTCAGTTTTTCTTTTAACACTTTTTAGACAATGATGCTGACATTCACGTCGGTAACAGATCGAACTAACCTGACAAATTTTAATTTTCAATATAAATATCCTACATGTATAATCAAAGGCAAATCTTGTCCATACAATTGTCTGTATTTGTCTGTAATCATTGAAATGGTTTATCATAGGATATCATTTCGACCAATTTAACGTCCTGATAAATATAATATAAGACTAAAACAATAGATAATACAATAAATAACATGTAGTCTGTAATTATATACAATCTCTAGACTAAAAGACCTGAATTCCAATAAATTGTTAAAATAATGGTTAAAAGAGTGAATATATAATAAATCATAGCTATATGAAACGCCGGCTGAAATATGACTAGTATTTCTCTTATATACAAGTCGACAGCTCATTTTATTTTCTATTGTGTTATTCTAGACATCGCAATTATTGAATTATCCACATAAATGTAAATTAGACCTTGAGGTTTTATATTTTTTCAGAAAAAAACCTAATTTCTGTAAGCTTTATTCAATTTTTAAAATATATGTGTTAAAGTTTATTTATTGAAATTGAAAATTCGGTCAGACTGTCTGCGCTGTACCATTTTAATATACTGCCAGCATCTCTTCAGTTTTCATATATAAAGTCATATATAATCAGTAAGTAATGTTTAATGGTCAAGAGACGTTCAGTAATGTAGTGACTTGTATTTGTCCAACGAAGATCGCTTATGCATATCATTAACACGGTTCTACGTTAAATTGACAATTTAAATATTAGTTTATAGCATTTTAAATCGATAACACTTTTGTCCAAAGAAAAAAGGATCGGTTCCATCTGGTGTTAAATCCGACCCTTGGAGTACATTTTAATTTATTGTAAACGAGCACAGCGTCGATTTCCTCTGGACTAAGGGCAGATATTAAAAGAGTTCATTCTCCTGGAACACCTAATGCCACTTTGCAACCGGGTTTTGTCTCCGCGGCATCCTTTCAAAGTGTCTACATGACCTATAATATACATCGTTTATTGAGTTGAGCATCTGTTTACCAGTGATTAAAGATCTGTATGCCTTTAAAGGGAAAGGTGTGCCAATCGTATCTTAGTCTCAGAAACGGGAATTTTTTTAGCTATGCCATTCAGTAATAGTGATCACAGATCACCGTCTGAATTTGATCCTTCAAATCTATGTGTGTCCAGAATTATCCGCGTTTGAATGTTAAAGAGAAAAGTCGCCTTTTCTTGAGACATACACATGTATATAGAAAATACATCAATAAAAAATAAGAAAAGAAATTCCTAATTTGAGATATTTTTGAAAGAATTATGCGATTTTCGTACATTTCTAATACTTCTGAAGACTATTTTAGATATACTCATGGCCCAACCACCCCCCCCCCCCCCCCCCCAATGGCGCTACTGTCCCTTTAAAGGAACACCTTAGCTCTTATTCATCAATGAATATCATTGATGCACGATATGACTAATTACTAATTGATTAAATCATTATACTCCACTAGTTACCATATGTCAGACTAAACAGTAAACAATATGTTAATGAAAGGATTGTCTATTGTTCTATTGCTCAGATCCCAAATGAGCATCTACATGTAGTCATTATTCAAAGAGCTGGCATATTTGATGATTGAAAACGAGAATTAGCGATGCTATTCTTCACCAGATTATAACAATGTCTGATCTCACGTATACAGTCGTTAAGATGGGCTTTAAAGTCGACGTTCAAAATCACAGATGTACGTATCTCAACAAATAGATACATAGATATAAATAGCATACTTTCGAAATATTTTGATAATGATAATGAAAATGTTTTACAAAAAAGGCGGAATACCCCTTTAAGATTTGGTGTATATGTATGCTGTGTTAGGGTATCTTGGGTTAAGATTAAAAAAGCGAAGGTATATTATAAACTATAAAATAAACTAATTAAGGTCTGATTTGAGATCAGTTAATTAAATTAAATCTTTTTATGTTTGAAATAAAAAAAAAATCGTCGTCTATTTCGACCAGTCTCCATCATACTAGTACATTATATCATCATCGTTCCTTCCTGCCTATAAGCGATAGACTTCATAATTGTGTTTAACTTGATATATAAGCTAGTTATGATTAAAACTGGTTAAAATACTTTGGTCAATAACAATATTCCAACATTAGAAGTATACCACTTTAAAATACATGTATGAACAGAATGCATGGTGAGTGGTCCGATATTAACTCTTTAAACAAGCCGTTAGTACATTTCTTGTCATATGATGCACAAGATTCTAATAATGTGCGAGAATTTATGGATAATTTCTACGCAGTTACATCTTTAAAGATATTTTACAATCCCCTTGAGAAAAGTCTCGAGAACGTAATAACGTAAACCAACACAATGGATATCAGATCTATTGAATAATATTCTACTTGGGTTATTTCCCTTGTGGAGTTCAAAAACAAGATAAAACATTTCATTGAAAAGCCATATAAATCGACATTGAATAATATAGTATTCTTAGTACGTTATCCAGTGAGTTCCGTTTTTCGAACAGAGACTTTAAAAATATCAAGGAAGTGTACATTCGGTTGTCATTGTATACGGAATTCCACAATTCCAATAAGCCGTGTTCCAAATGCTGGTGGCAAGTCAACGTGTGGAGAAATCATCATGTCTATATAATTTCTGATTAAAACTGTGTAACTCTGCTCTGAAAATAGTAGTACAAAATGGATATAATAGCAATATGTGAAATATGTAAAGGATGAGGGAACATGCTATGGCCAACTTTTTAAAATTGAATGAAATATTATGTTTGGCTGCATCAATATGGCCTATCCAAATCTCGAAGTATTCTCTTGAGTCGTACAGAATTACAATATTCGTTTACTTTATAGACGATTTTTAAATCAGTTAGTTAGTCAATACAATTAAAACGTATCCGATAACCCACGCAGTTCAGATCAATTCTCTATGGTTTTTAATGTCGGCCATATTAACTGATTGCAGATATTGTTTACAAACTCGACGATTGGTCGAAATTTTTTACATCGATGGCATTCTGAAGACTGGAAACTTCCAAAGATGAAATCATTTTCTTAACTTAGAAATCGGTGCAATTATTTCTTATTTTATGCTATCCAAACAGTAGCGTAAAATTAATTTTCGTTCAATTGCAAAGAATTAATACTAAGATATTTCAGTTCTGCAATCATTCAGAATGGACCAATTATATTGCTGCTTGATCGATGCTGCGGAGATTAATTGAAGAATCACGTGACCACGATCTGTCAACTTATGATGAAGTTGATTTTTAATGCATTGTTTGTTTACATAGTGGCGAGTCTGATAGAAATTTTGTATTGAGGTGGTTTTTATCTAAATATTGTTATAATGTCATTTTGTCGCTTATAATATTGATGGAAAGCTGAATGAATTGATGAGGAGAGAGTTGGACTTCTGACTGTGCTGAACTTCATATCAATATTAATGACTTTTAAATGATGCACCCAAGCAAATTGCAATAAGTTTGTTGTAAGTGTTCCATTGCTCCTGGACCACCCACTGTCATTCTGCGACCATGAAAACATATTCAGAAAGTCTGTAACTTTTGATTTTTTCAATCTTTCTTATCTTAGTAATTGTGGATCATTTGAAAGTTAACTGATTGAAGGTTAATGAGTAATGCAGCTGTTCACATATGTGGCTAAAGTCGCCATTCACCTTCAATCAGGGAATTATTGGCGTCTCGATTCCAAAAGTTCAATATACAATCCCTCAATTTCAAGAAAGTCTATACCCGGAATCAACTTGAATTAGGCATCAATTTTGTATTCCAGCCAGAAAATTCCGTACTCTTTCTTAGTTAACATTTATATACCATTAACCCAAAGCTAATAAGATTTTCTACAGTTTAAAAAGGTTAATCAATATTTTGGTGGTTTCCATTCGAGACATGATTAAGCATTCATGCAGAGGTTACCTTCTGACGTCTATGCTTTTGCCAGGTTTAAACTTCAATGTATCGTGTAAGAGTATTTAATTATTTTTTTTACACGGAAATTTATACTTTACCAATTTCTTACGATGGATATGTTAATGTATTCAAATGAAATGAAATGAATGGAGTTTTGAGACGACTGTTCTACTGTACCTAATTGGTCTAGAAAAATATATCTGGCTTCTATTGGGGTATTCAGATCAACACATCAGTAAGACAATGTCAGAATAAAAGGATAACAATATAGAACTTACCATGAGGATTGGGTATTTTGGATGGTCGATCTCGGTCCTGATTCTGATAGATAAATAATCCACTGTGACTCGAACTGAAAAAAGAAAATTAGATAATACAAATACATCATGAAGTAAACAGAAGTTGAATGTCAACGGTACTTTCTAACGATCGAAAGTATAAACTTAATTGGGTCTCAACCCCTTTAATGGGCTCATTTCCAAACCTTTCCCCTTTAGACTAGGCCAAACCTGTGCCAGCTATGTATTCAAGGTATTGCCTACATTATCATACAGTGTTTTCATTTTTCATAAGTCTGGGTTCATTTTTGTTTCATTGATATGACAGTAGTTCCTGATAAAAGGTAGCTTTAAGACTTTCCTCTTGTATTCATAAAGCTGTCTAATCATTGTCTGTAAGCCGTTCATCATATTAAATACTAGGAGGTAAATTGATCTGATGGGACCAATTTTTTACAAGATCGATCATGTTTCATAACTTTATGACTTTCTAACCTCATTTTTATCACCCTTATATCAGATATATTTATTATGATATTTTAATTCTGGCCCATTGACAGAATACATATATTGTCTAGTCAGATAACATCTTAAGTCAAGTTACTTTGACCAACCAATTATTCTGTTTTGAAAATGTTATTTAAACTGAACCATTAAAACCATAACCGATTCACATAAAGTGTGTTTGAATGTGGAGAAGTTCGCTATGACCGCACATTGGTTGTACAATACAGAACATACGCCATATACATTGAAATTCAAATTTTCGATGCCGTAACCACATCCGTTCCATGGTCTACTGTAAGAGTTATGAATAAAATATTCCTTCTTGCGAGACATCGACAACGAATATGGGACAAATTGATACTATATTTCCACTATTAGCAAGGTCCAACCTTTTTCCTAAGGTGCTTAATTGTGTTATTTTCGGTAAAAGTAGATACATAGACATAAACACACAAGCATTGATCCGACTCAATAAGGTACAGAATAATAGATATCTCACATAAAGTAATCGTCATTCATAAGTCGAGGATTTCTTATATAAAACACCAACAATTCCTATTCATTGTTATATGCCGTGTGGGTTAAATTTCCAAGAATCCCTTAAAATTGAATTTGCAGTCAATAAAGCAGATAAAGCAGGAAAGACATTTTTAGGGCGATGAACTAATATGTAAATGATCTGTGGGTGACCCGGTTATCGGAGTCTTTCAATCTGTTATACTGTTTCCAGACATTTGCATGGCTATTGTCAAGAATATCAACTATGATCCGAAAATTAAAGACCGAAATAGAAATTCGGCCAACAAAGGCGAATGAACTGTGATCGAGACTGAAGCTGGGGTCAATTAGAAAGTTACCCATACTATTTAATAATCATCAATAATTCACTTGTCTCAGAGACCTAGATGTGCCCCCGCTTTAACAATAGTGGTAAATACGTCCCCTAATTGGATCTAATTACCACAGGATCCAAAGGAAAATATTACGAAGTTTTAATTGGTAATGAAGAGTTAAATATTGATATATGTCTCTAAATTTTCAATTAAAATGGAATAATTAGTTTTAAATGAAAATAAGTAGAATGAAGTAAGTGCTTGACCGCCTTCAGTTCAGTCTAAATGATTCTATTATGAACACATGAACTCTTTTTTGTCAATTCCAGTCGACCAAATGAGGTAATGAAGTCAAATGACTTTGAACGGTAATTAATTGGAACAATTGTAATAAAATAACTCGAATTCGACCATGTCTGAAATCCTCAATATTTTCGTTTCTAAAGGATATTTGGACACGATCAGTTAAGACCCCAGTTCTTAATTCTCTGTGTTTTTTCCACTATAACATTGATTGTCATGGTTTCTGCCTTTTTTACAGAAATGTTCAATAATTTAAAGTTAATAAAAATGGTTTACAGTTTGCGTAAGAAGATATCTTTACAAAGGCCAGGGTATTACGAACTCTATGTGAAAATGGCTTTAAGCATACAGTAATATCTCCTAAAGATGTTCAAAATCGCATTCGAATTGAATTAGTTTTGCAATTTATGTTGTAAATACGACATCTTATCCTTATTGAGTTGTTAGTATATTGTTTTATAATGGCTTTGTTTGTGTCAATAATTAGTTGACTTTATAGTCGTTGATGTCTTCTTCCAGTACTACATCCAGTGCTACAAATATCTTAGTGAAGATTAAGAGTAAACGCTTTTACATCCTTATTTCTTGACTATCTCATCAATATTGCATAGATAGTTGACATTTAAGATACTTTTATTACCAATTTGAGAATTTGGCTCCCCTTTTTCATTACCATTCTTAAAACTTGACTATTTGACTGTTAATAAGAAATTAATGAGATATGAAAATAACTAAAGTGTGTCAAAATACCACTTAAAGTCACAGAAACTGAGAGAGATCGACCTGTAATGACTTGCCTGGGACATCCTCACAATGGTCAAGATATATGGTCTTCATACATGTAATACCTTGACCATTCGTCGTTTGTGTGTACCTTTTGGAAACTAATAAGGAAATTCTTTTCAAATGGTCTAGCCCAGAGCAATAATCTTCGAGTTGAAAATATACACAATATATTGATGACATGAATTGTCTAATTTGAAAAAAATATTTATTATGGTCAGAGCTCAGATGAGTTGGAATTTCGCATATCAATCTTAATCTTAGATAAGTACAGAATTCCCTAAATCAAAATGGAATAATATTTTTCAGACAGGGGATACATACGTCCTCAAATGCCAGTGGTGGACATGAGTGTTGAAGTTAAAGCCCTTTGCAACAGCTTGTATCGGTGTACATTTGATTACTTATATGGGCTAATCATATACACCACTTGACATGATTTCGCGCCTCGTTACTCTGCCTTAATCCCATAATGATCGGTCCACTGAGGCCTTAATTGAAGGCTATGATGATCGTGTAACATGTGTTTTGTCAACTTACCAGTTTGTACTTGGCAATTAGTCTGACGTTTCTAGAAATTTTTATTTAAGAAAATCGATTAATTACTTTCAGTGTATTAGTTGTCACAATAGGTCCACTGTGTATATGCACATATCTGGTAATGTATATCAATCTATTTATGAAAGGAATTGTACCATTTGACAGTTTTATGGTCACATTTTAGAGATAATGAATATTGTTTTGCATATTCAAGACAAATTCAAATTCAAGGGCAATTGAGGGTCCACGAGATTAAAAAAATATCTCTCGCATGAACTATGCTTGAATTGTACTGTAGAAACATAATTATAGTAATTATGTTAATATTTGACCATAAATCTATTAGGCTTCTCCAATAATGACGCAGTTGAGTAAAGTACAGAACAGGTGTTGCCTGTGGTTCAAGTTCAGTACAGGATAGGGAACATGATAGCAGTATTCTTCCCAGGTATCTTATCTCAACACATTTTGTTTCAACCAAAATCGATTGTGAAAAAGGAGACCACATCAAGTGTATGTAGACACTGGGAAGCTCAAATCCCGTAGTACAACAACCTTACAAAAACACAAATAAAGTCTGCACTATGTAAGCTAGGAACTGTCCACATGAAAGGTGATATGATGCCAGAAACCTATTTGTTTTTAACCTGACTTAATACTGTAGGTCCAAGAGGGTGACATAAACAAAGCGTATCGTTACTGGCATGGAATAATCAACCATGACACCATGTGAAACAGGTTCAGGATGTTCAAGAACCTCTATCACTTTGAAAAAGTAGCCATTGTCCCTGGCAAGATATCCTAATGACTCATTTTCCTCATTATCAGAAAGAGACGGGACATTATGATGAGTCCTTGATCAAATATTGTTACGTTAAGGGATTCTGATATAGGCAATGCTTAATTTTTGATTACTGTTACTTCCTAATGCGAAAAGTTCATTAGCTGCTATTAATGTTTTGCCAATATGTTGTTTGGATTTCGGGTTTCGTTTTACGGTTCGGTTCGTTAGTACTTGGTTTATTTATTTATTACAGACAATTCAAAAAAAGAATCATTTAAGTTATTTTGTACTGGATGAATAATATGGTACAAGTCGACCCAAATAAAGACCTCTTCATCACAATAACTATAAAAAACAATGGAGATATTTGTAAGAATGGTAACAGAATAGATGTAGTAATGTCAGACGTGGGAATTGTAACAAATTAAATACATAGGTAAAAACTTGATCTCATCTTATTGATCGATTCAATTCAATATCACCAGCTGATTAATAGCATGTCTGTTTTTTTGGACTGAGGAAAACATGATTGAAGTTGTGGTGTGTTGTGTTTGGCTACATCAATACTATCATGTTGATTAGGGTATTACTCTAATACCAGGAACAAACTGTCCATCAGTTCCACTTGCTGGTTAAAAGCAACTATGATATCTCAGCCTTACCGGATATCTGACGGTTAAAAGCAACTCTGATACCTCCGCTTCACCGGATATCCGATGGAAGACTTATATTTTAAACTGCTTAATGCTCCTTTCCGGCACCGTAAGATTATGAATAATGAACGGCTTGGGTGATATTGTTTTGTAGAGTATTGTTAAGACAGTAACAAAGCTGTATATGGAATTCTTGATTATTCTTTATTATCTTGATTATACTTATTATTATTAAGTTATTCAATGCTAACACATTTGAACTTATTTTATTGCAGCATGCACGATTCCTTTCATTTTCAAGATAAACTACAGTCTGGCAAAATAAAGACGTGGGTATCCAGCATATCTCAACATACACAAAATTACAAACCCGGACCATTAAATGAATTTGGTAGTTCGTCTGTCACTCAAACATCTGATTAGAGCAGAAAATGGACTGGAATCTGTATTCAATTGAGCCAAGAATAATTCCATGGTATTAACAGTAAAACTGTGATCGAATGAAATCTGCCATAATCAAAGAATGTATTGACATACAAAGTTAACGTAAAGATCTACATGGGAATTACCTGAAAATAAGTTAAACTTATAGCACGCAATTTTATTCAATATATATACATGTGTATAGGATTCAATTTCGTTTTTAAGGAAAAGAGGACCTTTACAAAAGAGTATATATAAATAACTTGAAGATGAATATAAATCTCAGAGTAGCTTCAAGCGATGGTTTTAAAATGTATTAATAATCGATTTTAAACAAAGCTGTTATTGAAAATATCTTAAAAGCGATAATAACAGTACAGATGCTTATAATTGTATACTAAAATTTGTGTGTATGAAGAAGCGACGGTTGGAAGGCATCTTGACAATAAATTTCTGATGATAAAAACCATGATGTTCTACTTCCAAGAGCCAACAGTTAACAATACGTAATATTTCTTCAACAGATTGATAAAGAAAGAAAAATCAAACACAGCGTTTTTATTATTGACTAATTAGGTAATTATGTTGATATGTGTTTTAGAAAAACGTGAAATATACTGGTTGGATTTCGTCTGAGCTTTCTAGCTTCGTAATTCTCACGTTCTACACATTTTCTTAGTTCATAGAATCGACATTAGATATGTCAAGAATCCGAATTACGATAATTTCTAATTGATACGAGATTCCAGGAACTTCTTCTAATTGGTCAATATTTCCAGTTTTTATTGAGTTTAGAACGCGACATTCAGAAGTTCAAAGATTCAAGGTTTCAAGATATTGTGTTTAGCAGCGCTATCAAATAGTTCAAATGGAGGGGTCTGAAGGCAACACCTCAACGTTATGGCTTCGAGCCTTGCTGATGAGTAAACCTTTACTAAACCTTACAGATGATTTTTTTAATTTGGTTTTAATGATATGGCGGCCCGACTTTGAGGTGTTCGAAAATGCAAGGTTTTGATATTTTGTTTAGAATGGATAACAAATGGTTTAAGAGTCTGAATGATACACCTCAAAGCTTTGGCTTTGGTTTTGCAGAGCAATATCATTAAATATATCAAACTTTAAAAATATTTTCGAGTGACCTTATTAATTGTGGTAATTTGGAAAATGGGGCATTTTCTCTGTTATCTTTTTTTCAAATAGCCAAAGTTCTTTCTTTGGGCTTGTGGTCAGAAACGTTGACATCATTAGATAAGCGTATACGCACCAAGCCAATAACTCTGATCGGTTGATGTTTTTATTGTATGGACCATCCAGATTCCCTGGAATTAATAAGATAAAGTCGTAAATCACTCTATGATATCTTAACGAACGCCTAAAAGTACAAAACCCGAAGTCCTATATGTATAACTGTATTAATGAATGGAATGATTAAATCGTGTTGAATGCCTCACTTCTCGTCAATTATGAATGAGTTTATTTTTTTTTTTTTTTTAAAAAAACAAGTGTCAGATAATTAATACAGCAATTTGTCAATGCATATCTGTCGCGTAATATCAAGTCAATATTTGATTGAATAAATCTAAATAGACTGCATGTCGTGTTGCAGTCTCAACTGTAAGTCAATACCGTAGAATATAATGGTTCATTAAACGCTATAACTATTCCACAACTTGTCAGTTTTAATCAGTTAACTCTTCCATCAGCGATTGATAATTTCCGCTTATTACAACAACTAATTTAGAGTTTGACATGGCAAATTTAGGAATCAAAGAGATATGTCCAAGTGCTGGGGATATGGCGAATTTCTTAATACACCAATTGGAATTGATGTGACAATGTAACATCTATGTGACGTGGTGCGAAGAATTTGAGCTCAGGTTATCGCCTTCCTCTTGAACCCTTTTCACTTTTCATAAAGGCAAATAACTATACCATGAACCTTACAGTTTGATGTTGAATGTGACTTATGAATGGTACAAATGTATTAGCTTTATCTTAAATATTATTCTTATTCTTGAATCCACAGTATCAATCAATCAGTTTCTAGTATCGGTCGGTATTTGGTAATCATATTCCCTTATGGTCGTATATTTCGGTTTTGCACTATATAATAGTATAGTTATAATAATATGTAGAATGAGTTAACTAAACCATGACACAAAATATCCAGAGATGTTGCTTAATTAGACCGATGCCCTGGGTAACCAAATCCCCGTTGATTACTAGTATTATATAATTTAATATTTCTATAATGTAATTGCGCAAGACGGTAGCTCACTAACCTGAAGGTCGATGAGATAATAATAATACCTGTCAACATTGTAACCCCGCTTGTCATTGATTCTGTCGTTCAAACCGGAAAATACACCGAGACCTCGTGTTCTACAGGCTAGGCTTTCCATATTTTGTAGTTCCTTCCAACTATTGATAGTGCCCATTTGCTTGTTAAAACCTTTTTAACTATTCAGTGCATAAAGTAAACAGAACAATATGAACAGAAAGCACAGTTTGTCGAACAAATCTGTTGGGAGTTTAAAACATAGAAAGCTTCATTCTAAACCAATTTCCACGTCTTTTAATGATAATTCCTGGCTTAGTGTTAAATACTCTTTGATAAATCACGTTTTCCAGACACAAAACAATGCCAATAAATCAAGGAATGTCTTTGACCGCCTCACGTTTCTCTGATTTTGTCCTAATTTGAAAACAATGAAGGGTGTTTACAATCGTACTCCACCTTCACCGGGCTCTTAAAGTTTTAAGTATTGTCTCTGTATTGTGCGGACCATTCTGTCTTTTCTGCTGTAAGGAGAACGTTTCTAACAATATTCGCAGATTTGATTTTTTCCACCGATGTTCAGTTAATTAACAATGGCGGCATCACTAATGAAACAGGATGGAAGGGGCATAAAATATACACCCTAGAATTATGGTTTGTACTAACTAAACAACTAAACCTAATCCCAAATGTTTAATAATCTTTGACCACTTTCGTCCAATTTAATTATAATAATGCTTGTTATGCAATCACCAGTCATTAGTTTGAACACCAACGACATTTTGATTGGAATTCTCAAATGAAAATGAATTCTGAATGAATTTTAAGATGAGCGATATTGCACTTGAAACACTTCAGATCTAACTCTTCGCTCTGTATAACGTGCTCAATAAACACTCGGTCACAAGCTCTAATGCATTTTTAATTACAACCAACCTTAAAGTGCATTCAAGGAACAATTGTATAATTAAATGAAATGGTGCCATTAGAATGTTTTAGTGTAATTATGTGTTATGTTTGTGACCCCGATTCTTCTCACCGATATTTAATTATAGGTCTTTAGATTTTTTTCTTCTAAACTGCTTATTTGAAATCTTTATTTTGTAATCCGTCAAATTCAAACTCTTTACCATCAGATGATTTAGATAGTAAAGCTGTTCAAAGAGATTTCAAGAAAGACGCCAACTTCTGTAGAGAAGTCGATGAGTTTCTGATTGACCAATGAAGACAGGCAAAACGATGTATGGAAAATAAGGGAGTTTTTATCACGTCGGTGGCATTAACCTGCTCTTTTTCCAATTTACAAATGTTTAGGTATCGTTCCAAAGAACAGTACCATAAGGTTATTTATTGCCCCATGTCAGTCTCAAGATGAATAAGTTATGGGTAGCATGTGATGTGTTTATACCTTTTATACAACAGAATAACAGATAACAAAATATCAAGAATCTCCCATTCAGACTACAGTTAATCGTTACTCTTTTTGTTATCATCAGCTCATCATGGTCATATCTCAGAATGAAGAATTCAAAGATGTGAGGCATGGTGATTATACAAGTATTATAAACGAAGCTGTACAACTGTTTAGAAACTCTTCAAGCTGGATGCCAATCAATCTTTGACAACCAGCACAAAAGATAATGTCATTTCTGAACTTTGGCGTTTTGTACGGATTCCTTTGACTACCCAGTTTGAGAGCAAAATATGTATAGTATATAAATAATACAATTCTAACTTGTTATGATCCTGTCCACTCTATCATACATTGTGCCATCTATTACTCTCAATTTAGTAGTAAGCGAAACAGTGAACAGATGTTATCTTCAATCTATAAAACACACAATTTCAGGTGGTTATTAACATCGTTTCGATATCTCCTCAGTCCCATCTACTAACCCGACCGAATCACGTTCATAAACGTCAAATTCGATTAATTTGGAAAGCGTGTGTCGATATTACCGTTAATCAGGCGTTGGGCTTCCAAAAAGATTTCTAGCAAGTTTTTATATGTACTTTCAATTGAAATCAGTAGTTGCCTCACGAAATAAAAAAAAAGAATCCTTGAATGTCGGTTTCTGGACAGTTTCAAGAACCAGATCAAAACATTAGGTAACGATTACCTTGGTAACGATCAATTTCTTTGCTGGAAAATTATCCAGATGCCCCGAGATCGTTACATCACTTAGTCTCATCTACATGATAAAAAGTTAAAATAGTGGAATATTTTCATTGAAAACAAAATTAGAGACTAAAATACCCTAATCTGGAAATAGTTCCAACGGTATGAAATAATGACGACTCACGATACAGTTAATACGGCTTAATATTGGTCTATAGAAAACGGAGAACGAGTCGGATTTTCATTTACAAAGAGAAAATCTATACATATTTATTTAATGCTCTGTTCCTTCGCATCAGCCTTAAATTCTTAAAATACAGAAAAGCGATGTTTTACTTTTAAGATCACAATAAATCACACTGGTCACCAACAAGAACCAATAAGATCGGGAAAACTTACAACTTATAAATGTGGGCCAGAAATAATGCCAAGGCAACGGCCTTTCATCTGAAAAGATATCCAAGGGATACAATTTTTATTGTCCCCTTTGCACGACCCTTTACTGTTTCCATGCCATTCCAACAAACTTGCATCGCTGACAGTCGACTGGGGATATAAGATGTACATATATGGTAAATATGAGACTGATTTACCAGTATCTGAACCTCAATGCTCCCTTTGGAAATTAAATTAAAGAGGACATGCATTCAGCAATCCTCGACAGTTTCCGTAAAGCTGAATATGTTGCAGCACTAGCAGAACTTTTTTCGCGGTAGACCGTTTGGCGGACATGTTGACGCTTTGAATGTATAATGTATAATATTATATAATTTTCTGTGAAGAAAGCGAAATTAAGGAATGAATGAAATCTCATATCAGATCTGTTATTCTAAATTTATGGCATCGTTTTCAGTTTTCATCATGATTATATCAGAACACAAATGGAGAGTTTCTGTAAATCAGATGAAATCTGTTTTAAGATAACTGTTATGAGGTTTTGTTGACATGTATAGAACCACACAAATTATGAAAACTCTCTGTTATCGCAGGCCTAACTAACAAACAAGCTGAATTTGTTTGAGATCATATATTTGATCAATTTCTATTTAGTATCTATTGAAACTGCTAGAAACTTATTTCACACTCCTTGTTGTGATTCATTATAATATTTTGCATTAAGCCAAAACCAATGATGGTACATGTGAATGAAGTGATTAAGATACAAATTAATTTTAGGATTCGCAGATGGTTTCACTTCCCCTCAATTTTAGTATATAGTAGTATGTAGTTTAATAATCAATTTAACTTTGATGCCTGAAAATTTATGATATCAATCCAAAAGGATAACTTCCCTTGCATCTACATCCCATTGGGCATACATGACGTTATAGTACTTAACACTGCTTATTTGAACTTTAGCTAATCAATTATATTCTTAGTCTGTATCTGATACATGCCTTCATGTCTATTTGCATACAAGATTAATCCCTGGTGTAACGTCTAGAGCTATGTTTTGATCTATGTTTGAACGTGAACGTTAATTAATCATAATGTAATAGAGAACTTATCTTTGAATACTGGAATAAAACCTTTGCATATAACTAATAACTAACAAGGCGTTGAAAATAGATGTCAACAAAGGCAATAAAACAGTAGCTGAATTTGGGCATGCTGACCCTTGGTTTAAAGGAAATGTTCTTGGGAATTAAAGAAAAGCTTGTAACATGAGATCCACAGGTAACACAGATGCCCATCTTCTAAGGGACGTAACTCGTCCAACTTATCCAATTAAATCGAAAGTAGGTCAGTCTATAGGATTTCCATGAAATCGAATTTTGGCGATATTTGCTCAACAAAATTAATTGACAAAAAACTGTCTTACCTGGACTGTAAACTATAGACATATCCCTCTGTTTCTACAGAATACAATGCGATATAATCACCTACACACACATAATCACCTGCGTGACTCGCCATGACTTTATAGTAACATCACTGAAATACAGATATAAATGCTATAAAATATACAACTAACATCACTCGCCATGACTTTATAGTAACATCACGGAAATATAGATATAAATACTACTACACATACAACTAACATCACTCGCCATGACTTTATAGTAACATCACTGAAATAAAGATTTAAATACTACTACATAATATAAACTAACATCACTCGTTACTCTATAGTAACATCACTGAAATACAGATATAAATACTTAAACATAATATGTTATACAACTAACACATCACTCGCCATGGTTCTAATAGTAACTGAAAGACATTTGTGAATTAATTGTATAGAGAAATTACTCGAGAGCAGAACGTGTTCCTTTTAGAAATACCTGCCATTTTATGACCATGATGCTACACTTCTCAAGAGATGTCTACAATTTAATGTGTTTTATAATCGTTTTATGACATGATATTGAACGTTAGATTCAATGAAATATAAAATATTGAATAAACATGCATATATTTTTTTCTGTAAACTTGTGGTATCTTAATAAAAAAGAGGTTAATTTGACCTAAGAATAAATGTTCAGAATTGAATGTCGAAATAGACAGCTGTCTCATTTACATAAAATATCTATATATTATGTCTATATTCTTGTACAATAGATGTAATACAAATGTGTCCAAGCTGACACTGAGTCTTTAAATGGTAATTACATTCCGTATTCATCCTGTACAACAAAGGATTAAGTATACATGTGTTACGTACATATTTTTTGAATTATTTATAAATGAATTGTACTTATATTGCATTATTGTGTTTAATCTTCAATTGCATGACCGATCGTATTATAGAGATGGTTGGTAACCAGCTGTTTCTTGTAAACATGATAATGATGTATCGGAATGGAAATTTGCATTCTTTAACACTTTGTTCTTATCAATATAGGTTTAGCCATTTTCATTTCACAAGCAATGTCTAATTCTAGATTTTAGATCTATATATCCTATCTATCTATTTAGCAACTGTTTTGTTTATATGAATAGTTTAGCAATTTAACATTGGTAACATAACTTAGTGCTGGAAAGTTAATATTTTTGGGGTTTTCATAAATACACGAATAACAGATAAAAGAAATATTAACGTCGCTTTTGAATAAAATGGCCATTTAAATTGTTATTGTTTTGAATTTAATTGTGTCTAAGGAAGACGAAAGAAAACGTTGAAACGTTGCACACTACTTTAGTAAAGTTTGTTCCGCAAAATTGTGTCTTTTAAACATTCTACTTAATAAAGAATCGCCATTGTTTTGAAGTTTATTTATTAAATTCCTGAATATCAAGGCCAGGTAAAAAAAAAGTTAATTATAATTTGTTTGTGGCTGTTTTAATAATCAATATGATATGAAGTCAAAAGTGCGATGATGGTGTCGGTAAAGCATGATTTTTATCCTCTTTCTATCCTCACTAGTAATTTGGTAAATTTAATTAACTGTTGGCATTGTGGATCACTAGGTCTTGATGTAACACTTAATTAATTTGAAGGAAATATCAAAGGAATTGTTATATAAAGACTGGCAATATTAGTGATCGAGTGGTCTAAAGATTTAAAGATATCATCCCACTTCCAAAGCAACCAATTGTTTTACTTGTTACATCCTTTTGCTTCAGCCTAGTTTCAGGAAAATCCAACTTTTAAAATAATTCAAATGCGCAATGGAGGCTTTTAAGTGTCTGACACTAATTTCAGTATCACACGCAGACCTTTTTAAAATTTTGAAAAGTGTCTAGTAAACAGAAATGTGTAAAATATTCAGAATGGACCTTTCGCTCATACCGTGTATGCCAGATCTCAACACATCTTATAAATCTAAACCATCACAATACTTCTTTAGATCTATACGAGTTAAAAACATATTGCTTCCCTATTCATCAACAAAAATATTTGCATTTATTAGCATGGAATTCTTTTTGACATATTGAATAGTTACAATCTACAGATATACATCGGTTCAGAAAGCTGGGTATATTTAAATGCAAATCAGAAAAATATCGAAGAACATCATCTAGTTTCGCGAAACGAAGTGAACTTTGATATCGAGTTTATAAACCGCTATTTGTGTTTGGATTATTATGAAAATAAAGTGTTAAATTTCTGGAATTTGGATATGGTGCCAATAAGCATGCAACTTCTGTGATCTCAAAGAAAACTTACATATTGTAAATTTATCTTTCAATTAGTATACTGTAAGAATATAACACATCTCTTTGTAAATTATAAATCTTTCTGGAAGTTTCCTTCTCTTTGGTTTGATAACTTAAGATTCTGTTTATTCTCTATGATTTTGAGTATTTATCAGAAAACAGATATTCGCATGCTCAGAAAATTGCTGCTTCATCTGATGTGGCATACCAATATATATACATTGGGATAGCAAATTTCTGTTCAATTCCTAATACCACAGCACTAATAAGTATTATTCTGTATGCGAATGAGAAAAATATAATTCTGGAAGTTTCTTTTACTAATTCTAGAAAATATCATCAGACGAAAAAATATGGTTGTCTAGAGTAAACTTATAATGGATACAAACGATGATGAATTTCGACAAGTTATCATTTGATTGAAAATAAACATTTCAAATAATGTTTTAAACCTTACCCTTAGTGTCCAAAACTTTTCTTATATTAAATTATCCCATTAGAATTTAATTTTATTTAAAACGAACACTTCCTTTCAAAAACACAGTAAAAAACAGAAAACGTAAACATTAAAATCCGATTTGATATAAAGAATAATCAAGCAAGATATAACATATCCATAAAACTTGGCGTAATTCTCCAATAAGCTGCGAAAGTAATAATTGAATAGGTCTGCTATTCTATCCCACAACTACCGCGAAAAAATCGACATTTCGCCGTCGACCAATGAAATGCCGACGGCAGGTGGCGGTGTTAGTGGTATTTGATGGTACATAATGAAAGTTGTTGGCTGTATTATTAAATAAAAGTGGAATAAAGTATGATTGTATATTGTTTATTTAATTACTGATTGCTTTATTAATTATATTGAATTCTATTCTACCGAGTTTTATGTCCCTCAATTAATTCAAGTAACATACTGAAATAGTAATTACAGCAAACAAACCGCATCCATATTTTATCTCTCTACCATTTACATATTTAGCCTGATTTTGTTTTCAATTACTAAATAGGCTTATCTCCTATCTAATATTTCATTTATTATATGAGCTTTTGGGCTTTGCTTTCAGACGAGCTTAGAAATAAGAATTTCTGATATTTGATTTTAACGGTAACAATCAGAAGCAATCTCACAGAAGGTCAAAATAGTTTTGAATTGTTTTCCAGATTTGGGGTATTCAAAGGGTCCTTAAAGAACCCAATCTGTTAAAAAATGGAATAAAATGACCTTGTAACTTATCATAAAACTTAAAAAAAAGTTTATTTTTGACTGAGAAAAATATTGATAAAATTTTGCACGAATCTACACGATTACTACAAAGACAACCAAACACAATTCCAACTTCATGGAATATCTACTTTTATTAGTCAATAGAAACAGAAGAATGGTAGGATAAGTATAGAAGTCAGTTAGAAGTCAGTTGGAAGTCATGACCAGACCTTCACAGTGACAGGGGATCAAACCTCTATAAATCTAATCAATGCAGGCTTAATTACCTTAGTGAATTCTACAGCAAGTAAAGGACTTCAATCAAAAGTATTAGTAACATTTACAGTATCGTTCCTGTCTCTTGGGGATGTGTCTTATTGTCCATGGTGAAGGAAACTGAAATGTTGGCATCTGAGATCAGCTTGAAGACAGGATTGACTTGAAAGACTTTCCTATGGATAGGGCCTACAGTTTGCCGTGACCTGGGGACAGTTTTGCGAAAGAGGGTTATTAGCACCAACCCGAGCAATCAACCGAAGCCTAGTGTGTTAAAGGTTATGCGCGTTAAATACCAGTGGACATCGAGAAGAAGTATGCGAATGTCGCTGTCCTGTGACAAAAATTCCCTCATTGCACATTTTATTAGTCAATCAGGTGCAGAAAGGTAAGACGCACAACCCTTGCACTTCTAGATATATAACAACAGAATGATTTATATAAAGGGCGACAACCACTGTATTTTCTGACCAAATCTTAGTTAGGACAACTAACTGAAATGAAAGCGGAAAATTAAATGTTGCAAGTGCTGCTAATCACAGGGCAGCAACAGGGTCTATATTTCCAGGTTTTTGTGGATGGGGTGCTATCTGCTCTGAAAGTCTGAAAAAACAAGGGAATTTATTTACAAATTGAGGATTTTGGCCAGACCTCTTTCAATGCCCTTTCACGGATGATCCGTCGACTAGATTTATAAGATAAAGTCATCAGACACAAACCCACGATCATCAAGCTTAACCAAGCAAATGGGATCGGATCCCAAGGCCCTAACTAACTGCGCTTCGCTACACCCTGTATTCATTCATTTGTGATCACAGACCAAAAGAACTAAGACAGGATATGGGTTGGAGATAAGTTGCGTACATGGTATTTTAAAGATTAGATTAGCTTCTGAAAAGGAAAACATAAGGTTACAGAGTTTATTTTGACCTATCTTATCAATAACGTAGACTATATAGTTTTTCAGCCCTCAATAATCTCTTACTTAATCCTGACTCGACACCATGTCATGTTATTATAGTCTAGGATTATTTTTGGCCATTGGAATCATTCTAGTAAACTCAGGTACTGTGTGGATTTGTCTATATTATTCGATAGAGTTTAACCAATTAAAAGAATGCTTTTCAAAGATTTACAACCCCCCCCCCCCCCCCCCCTCGTTTTTTGTAGAAATATTTCATCTCCTGTAAAATTTTGAACGATGGACGATATTATAAACGTATGCCTTCTTATCTAAAATATTTGGCAAGTTTTATTATTGAACTACATAGTTAGGAGAGTATGTAAATGACAAGAGTCGGACGAAACATTGTTCATATACTTCAATGAATCTGATAGAATATCGACTACGGTGATTGTTGGAATTAGTGAATTAAAATTGGGATGGAATACGCAAATACAGTCTATAACCTCCTTAAAATGACATTGAAAAGTTGGTACAATATATTTGCGTATTTCAGAATGTGTTGACAAGCCAGAATGTTCAAGGTTAGGATATGAAATATGCTCGGATCCTAATTATACCAAATTCGTCATTGAAAATTGCTGTAAATATTGTTGTGAGTACTGTACATATATTTAAAACCATTGCACTTTTCTTTGTTCTCCCGATGACGTTTCGAATGTGTTTCAAGCTATAGCTGAAGATGTCCATTTTATCCTTTGCAGGCGTTTCAAGAGCCGATATATTGAAGCCATTTCCCCCAATTTTATCTTAATATTATTAAAAACATCGAAATAAGAGAGTACTCTGTTTTATATCATCTGTAACGATCTCATCAAAATGCAAAAGTGCAAAATCTATTAGAATCTGTTAACCGTAGCTACTAGGTCTTGCTCACACCAAACCTAATGAAAAGAAAGTCATAATTTTCCAGTCAATGCAAATAGGTTTCCCTGATACTTTATGAACTCAAACTATCATTCTTTTCTTCGTAGCTTCAAATAAAGTCAAGGTTCAAACGACATCTTCAGTTACAACAGTTTCTGATGCAGCAACAAGTAAGTGACGCTTTATTTTTCAGACAAATCTGTTAAAGCGTTATGAGGTATCAGTGTCCGAGAGAAGAGAAAGTGCTTGCTAGCATCCATTCCGCTGTCGATTGAGATACAAAAGGACATATATTTTCGCGGTTTTATACTCAATTTTATGATTTATTGTATTTAGATAACATATTTGCGATTTCGTATTTATATTTTCCTCGTCAGACTATGTATCCTTCTTGCATACAGGTAGAACAGTATCATAGATTGCGGAAGATGCATGCTGAATATGAACCCCTCTATTTAAAATATGCACTATTTTTTATCCAGCTTGGATGGACTGTGTTGATTCTGATCCTCAATGTGGTCAATTAGGTCATGATGTCTGTACAGAACCACTGTTTGTAGAATGGGCCTTACAGAAATGTAGGAAAACATGTGGACTTTGTAATGGTAAAGCAATTTTTGTTTATCACACCATGATGTTCAGGGGAGTAGAAAATGTGGTCGGCTTTTGCAATTTTCTACAAAATCTGCGAAAACTTGATTGATAAAACCAAGGCGTAGCTTCTGTAAAGGGTTTTGTCAAATTACTCACTAGTTTTGGCCCCTGATATTTCGGTATATTGTGAAAAAGTAAGGAACCTAATTACATAAGCGCTGGAATCTGTAGTTCGGCACAATTTCATAGTCAATTTATTTGGTGATCTTAACAGAACTTATCATGTTGATATTTACAAGAAAATAAGTAAGAGTCAACATTTCTCTCAATCAATAAATTTAGGTGGTATGAAATATATCTAAGTCTAAATTTGTCGTAATTGCAGTGTCCGGAATCAACATTTCCTCTGGTAATTGCGTTGATTATTTCTTAAGTGTTGCTTGTTTTAGGTCTTCCATCAACGACCCCAAGTATTACCACTAGTCCTGTTGTTACAGTTCATACTACTATTAAGCCACCACGTAAGTCTTTCACCAGCAACCATCCACCCTACCAAGCACACCTCTGTCAGATAATTGATCACTGTACCATTTAAAACCCTGCTTTGTAGGAAATTTATCACAGCAAAACAAATATTCATGCAATATTGGACTTTATATGGATATTCCCTATGGAATAGTAGCTCACAGATATTATTTATTTTGTATAGGAAGGTGCAACAGATAGCTATACCTATCAAACTTGTCCTTTTCAGCTACCCCAGCCTGTGTTGATAAAGCTCCCAATTGTGATTCGTACAGTTTAAATGATTGTATCAACTATGGTGCATGGGCGAAAGATAATTGTGCCAAATACTGTTCCTTATGTGGAGGTAGGTAACTTTCTAGGTGTTCTTATTATTTATTGACGAAAACCCTGGGATAAACCCAAGGGGGTTATTCCCAGGATATCATGGACAATGAGGTTTCTTTCCAATAATAAAGCAGTGTGCACGCCTAAATATATCTATCAACATGATCGTATAACAAACCTAGGTCTGTAATGTTGGTAAGAGCACTGCTAGAATCATTTAAAGATCAACAGGAATAACTTTCCGATGTTGGAGACCAAACATAATGTCTATCGGTGTACAGCAGTACAACAGTAGCCAACCCTCTTGGTGTACATGAACAGACCCTTATTTTACTTTATTTTTCACAAATTTAAGAATATGATTTTAATACGTTTTTGTCCAAAAATATGCGTCAATTCAAAAAATGTCATGAGAACCCTCTCACAACCTCCGGGAGAGACTTGTACCTATGGCGCTTCCACAGAGTTGTCGCATTATGAGTTCAGCCTCAACACGTAAGGTTCACCCCATTGAGTTAGTCTGTCCCCTATTTTACCCCCAGTCTCGGGAGGCTGGCACCGCCACTGGTCACTATTAGTAAAATATGTATAAGGCATAGCAGCCTAGACTAGCCCTATTATGTCAAGATAATTAAGGCATGTCTTAGCCAAGATTTCCCAACCTTAGTTCTACTTCACATTAATGATTAAAAAGAAATCCTGTATCAAAAATAATGTTTTATTGTAAAAAAGATCTTTACATCGCCATAATATATATATACTTTATCACATGATAACGCTGGTTCCGAAACTGTTGTCTCTTTCTGTGGTCGAGTTATGTCCAGAAGATGAGGAACCACATCTTTATTATAGGGCAGATAAAATCTTTAATCGGTGTTCATTATTTGATTAATGTTCTGCTTTTGAGCTAAAACAGGCTGTAAATATGGTAAATGGTCGCACAATTCGTTTCTTAAATTCTTTCAAATTACTTCGCAATCTTTTAAGCTTTGAAGGTTTCTTATCTGAAATAACAAAAAATATTTCAATTCATTAAATTGGGTGATATAAATATGTATTATAAGAATTTATTAGCTTAATTCAATAACGGTGAGCAAATATAGTAAATACCTCAAATGAATCTCCTTTCACTCAATTCGTCAACAGTTTAATATAAAAAAAAAATCAAAACCACAAAGAATGTATAAAAGTTTGATCCTTCATTCTGATATTTTGCAACATAGGCAGCAAACCCGATCAGCTAGCTGGTTGATACGATAAATAAAGACACATACCTTCCTCTACAATAGCATCTAAATTTACTGTCGGTCTTTTTTCTCCCGGGTCACCATTGCTGCTATTCGAATCATTCTGGTCGTCAAATCTGTTTATGAAATATTTAGCAAAATCCATAAGAGGTCTGTCTCTTATTAGATACTGTGACAGATCTAAATGTTGGCTCTTCTGTTGTAATTGTTTCCCAAGTTGTTCATCAGTACGTTTTGGAAACATTTTTGGCAGAATGTCAGGCATTTCCGGTTCTGCAGCATTAAGCATTAACAGTAACGATCCATTAGTGAGTAGGAGTACTGATCCATTTTTGTTTGTTTGGTCCCCTGCTTGATTTACATGGTGCTTTGGTAGATCTGAAAAAGAGCTTGTCTTATAATCTTGAGTCTCGTCCACTTGTTGACTTCTGGCAAAATCTCTCATAGTTTCTGCTGGACTTTTTCTAAAAATTCCAACTTCAGGAACGTCTGATGAAGCTGGAAGTCTGGAATTAATCCATGCCATTCTCACTGGAAGATAAGAAAATTTTAGTAAGAAGGAATAAAAACGATTATTATCCAACGTTGTTGTCTGAGTTTCATTAGGTTTCTAATAAAACATATCAATGATATTCAGTGTTACATAGTGTATACTATATCGCTAAAATGTCAAGAAAACAGTAAAAATACGTTAAAAACTCACCTTAATTCTCAAAATTCTTGATAATTACTAGACAATTATCAGAGAAGTAGAAATTGTGCTGTTTTCTGTTGAAATCCAGAACAATCACTGATGACAATTGATATGACGTCATTGGAACAATTACTTGACGTTATCACAATGCAAAGTATAGGCTACCAACATGGCTTGTTTAGTAGAATGGAATTTCTTGAAAAATGCATTTTGGTCTTCTTCATTTTTCAAGGCTCTACGATCCCAGTTCATTTGTAACCTTTCATCTAACAATCCTATCTTCTCAGCATTTATTTTATTGGTGGGGGATTTACTGTCGACCAACTAGCTTGTATTCATTGAACATTGTACCCTCACTTTGTTTTTAACCAGTTGAAAAATATAATTTTTTATACTTTTGGTGCCAAAATATGTGTCAGAATGCCTCGACAGTTGTCCCACATTGAGTCAGTCTGCCCCTTATTTGTACTCCCAGTCTATGGAGGCTGGAGCCGCCACTGGTAATGGTAGCCTTGATGTTAGTGGATATTTTATTTAATTGTATAGATTCTACCTGTAAAGATGAGCTAATTAATTGTGTTGATTACGGTAAAGATGCTTGCACCAAATATGCACAATGGGCTGCCGATAAGTGTGCCAAATATTGTGACCTTTGTCCAGGTAAAATTCAAATGAAATATACAGATCTATTCTTTATTGTTGATGAAGACAGACATCTTGCCGCGATGACGAAAATTCATTTCTGATTCCCAACAATCAGGAATTTTTTTAACATATACGCGTGGCCAGTTACCCAATTTTTATTGTACAAAAAGAATCCCCAAGGATTGTTTCATGCAGTGGCGGAGCCAAAAGGGGGGGGGGGGGGAGGGGAGGGGGGTGTGGTAGAGGGGACAAGTTTTTCGGGCAAAAATCTCATAACAAGGTTAAAGATTCGGGCAATCTCATATATCTCGCATCCCCTCTCCCCCTCTCGGACGTAGACCTGGCTCCGACACTGGTCTCATGTACATCACCACACAGGTCCCGTTACTTCATCTCCACGGATCATTATCTATCTGTATTATAGGGAAAACAACGTCAATGTTAGCTCCAACAACAACGGCTCCAAAAGTTACAGGTAAAGCAATTCTTATCATAAATAGCAATGGTTAATTTATTTTACAAGATATAAGTTTATATTAGCTCTTGGATTCCATTCCTCTTGAGAGAGGATATGGCGTTCGATATCATTTCTTCGAAATATGAACGCTGAAAAAGTAGACATATGTACCATTTAAAATCCAAGGAATTCTTAGAGTTAGAAAATTTTGTCTCCTTTTTCTTTTGCCATTTGTTGCAAATGTCACAGATCCTGAATTATATTAGGTTAAATAAAAATATAGATGTCCGAATGATAATGTATTGTGGTTGAACAGACTGCTTTTTGAGTTAACGATTTTGGAAGTCCACTACTACATAACATCTACTCTTGATTTTGCAATAATTTGGATGAGATTTTGCTTAACGGAATTGTCTCGCTTGTACGGATTTTTAAAATAGAATAATAAGCCTTATGACATGTAAAATGATTTATTTCTCAGGTTGTGTTGATAAACTACCTAACTGTGGTTTATATGATCCCAATATCTGTACAGATCATAAATATGCTCAATGGTCCCGTGTGAATTGTCCTGAACATTGTAACATGTGTAGTAAGTATTAACAACCATTATTTATTCAACTGGGGATAGTCGTCTATTATCGAAACGATTATGTACGTATGAGTTTTGAAAAACAATAAGAAATGGATTATTTCCTATGGCCTGGAATTAAAAAGTGGAGACGGCATTAATTTTCTGGTTTTTAGTATATATTGAAATCATTGAAAGATAGAAATCTCCGGATATCGCAATTACTTGGCACAGATACCCTCACTCTCCAAATAACAATCCAACTCTTTTTTATTACCACTATTTTTAAAGTTGTGCAAATGAATTTTTTGAAGCATCACAGTAGCAGAAATGATTATTTTGTATTTATTCTAGCACCAGGATGTTACTTTAATGGTAATGTTTATAAGCAGTCGGAGGTTTTCAAAGATGCCTGTAAATTGAAATGCACGTGCAAAAATGCAGCTTTAGGTCAATTTGCATGCACCTCAATGTAAGTACATTGCTCTTGATTTTAAGGAAAGTCTCTTCCTTTACATTTTACCCTGATCTAGATAACACCCGTGTGTCTTACTCCATCTCAAGCTATGGACAATGATCCACATTGGTTATAACGTGAGAAGCAAACATTTGCATGTTCTCTTTAAAATTGTACACATACTTTAATTTTGTAGGTGCTATTCTTGGAATTTACCTGATATTTGTACTATGGAACCACCCAAGCCAGGAAAATGTTGTTCCACACCAAAATGTCCCGATAATGTCCATATCAAATATCCTGATGGCTATACTGAAGATTAAAATAATAAATTTTGATGGTGGTACTAGACAATTATTTTGTAGTTATCCCCCTTCTACCATGAAAAGCCATTATTTTTACCACAGATATTGTATTTGGGGGCAACCGGTTCTAAGGTCCATCTTTGATAAAGATTTGGTAATATTCGTGGAGCCTTCAGTTATGCATCAATAACGTTAAGCTAATCTAATCTTCAATTTCTCGAACCATTATCCTTGATTAGTCCACACAAAATCTTAACTAGTCAACATGCTTTGTGATAAAAATGACTGGTGATAAAAAATACATATAAAAGTTTTAACTTTTTACCTCGTGATAGATTTGGTAATATTTGAAAGGCTCTCATTTTGCGTTTTCAATGGCATACTTTGAACTCGTACTTTGTGCTTGTACCTCGACTGCAATAGTCACTATTCTTGTATCATGGAATGTGGCAAATTGATTGTAATCTGTGCTAGCCAATAAAGCTAATCAGAGGCCTCCACTGCATTGGCTAGTGTAAATCATATCACTTCATTTACAAACTTCCATGATACAAGGAGGTGACTATTGTAGTCAAGATATTTTGGTTCGTAATAGCTTGTCATTGTGAAGATGATTGATAGACAATATCATCATTTGAAATAATTTATTAATAATTATATTACATTTATACAATGTGTTTTAATCAGATAAGCTTAATTAAACAATTCACAATCTTCAAACATGGTATATAATAATAATAATAATAATAATAATATCACAGACTTTCAAGTTATTTTCATATAAAAACAAGGAATGGACAAATACCACCAACATTTTAGTAAAATAATATAAAACCAATATTTTGGCATCAAGATTGATATGTTTGCCTTCAACAATTCACAATTCACAGGAATGTATTTTTAAGATGGCTTATTTTAGTTATATATGTTGGTTAGCTAACATGTATTCTTACAGATATTTCTTAGTCAAATAATAAACTGGGTCTTATGCGCTTTTATAACTAGACCTGAGCCATATAACTCACAGAAATAAATTTGTATACATTTTTTCACATTTGGCCTTATTAATGAGAAAAATCATTGTATTTATTGGCTCCCCGTTCTATAGATGTTAGCTGTTTGTAATCTGCTCACTATTTTAGCTGGTTCTAATGGTGAAGCATCATAAACATTCTCAACTTTGGTCTGAAAAACCCAGGCTAGTATTTTATCTAATAATTCAGTATTTATCTCCATATCAGCTTGTAATATTGCTCTCTTAGTAGTATCAACATCAACTAGACTGAAAGTAAAAGAGAATCACATCTAACTAGGAACATTAGCATTTGGGTGGAATAAGCACATAGAAATTTGATTGTGTTATTAATCGCCATTATCAATATGAAAAAGATTCACGAAAATGATTAAGTTCCAATCAAATTTCATATTCTTTCAAACTTGATGCTTGGAAAATAGCACTAAATTAACCGAATTTCAAAAGCTAAGAAATTTACCTGCCATCTCCAACATTTTCTTTGATTTCATTGATAAATGAGACTTTCTCTTTCTCGTACCATTTTTTAACTTCCTCCAAGAATGGCCCTGTTTTACCTTCATCATCCTTAAATAAGGAATTTTATATTTGATTATAATTCTCATAAATTTATATCCAACTCAACAATAACTTGCATTTCAATTTATCTATACACTTTGCATTTGGTTTGTCAACTTTAATAGGAGACTACAAAAACTCGTAATATGGTAGATGTTTTACCTCAGTGAAGAGATTCTTATATTCTATTGTTGGTGAGTCTTTGTTTTCTAGTTCAGTTTCAGCAGCCTTTAATAATGAACTGATATCTTCTTCCTCTATACCCAACATGAACTCTTTAAGCCCTGTTTTAAATTCTTCTTTAGTTAATACACCAGAACCCTGACTGTCTTGTTCAGATAGATGATTTAATAGATGATGAATCACTTGTAAATTACGATGATAGACTTCTTCATCAACCTGTAACAAGGTATTACCAAACTGTTATTTTAGATTTCAGGTTTCGTTTTGCAGTTTGGATTGTTATTACTTGGGTAGTATTAATTAATACGAATTTCTAATAAACCAAATCTTAATTATATTTTTTAATTCTTCCCGATTGTCTGTCATTGAACATTTTTTAAATGAAACATAAGAATTTTAGAGAAGTTTCACTAACATAAGAATTGCTTGGAGATTTTAACTTGTTATTTTTGATGTGCTTTTATGAATTGAAGCCTTTCGTTGAAGAAGAAAAAAAGTTTATTAAAAGATAGCATTGGCATACCATTTCAATAATTTACTAATAAAATAATAACACTATTAACTTTTTAACTCTTGAAACTTACATCTCCACTTAATATTTTATAAAATAAACTAATGTTATCATCTTTACTGAATCTCTGACAAGCATCATGAAGATTGTATGCCCATTCTATAACCATCTGGTGTAAGGGGAATTTGCTCTCAAGATATTTTTTAAAGAATTCACCCATGTTGTCTCTGATACCATCAGTTTTCTATAAGGGAAAAAATTAATTCATTATTAACAAATGTAAACCTAATATATTTACAATCTGATTTGGGCTTGTTCTAGCTTTCCACAAAGCAGTAGATAGAACTTCCAACTGCATCGATTCCCTTATTAAAGGGATTTTAAAGAGGTTTTATAGTCATTTTTGTGTCCGACTTCTGTTGTTCCAACAATTAAAACTTTACTTTGTGCCAGGATGGTTTCAACCTTATACAAATCAATGTTCCCCAAGATATTAGTTTAAAGTAGTAAAATTAATAAATTTACCTCTGCATCATTGGCTGATTTTTCTCTCCATATATCTCTTATTAGTAAATTACAATCACGTTTACTAATACGTCTATTTCTAACTGGTCCTTCATGTTGAAGATATACTGGAACTTCAGCACCTGTTCCCTGGAAATATTGAAATATAGAGTCTGGAGATTCTTTCAAAAATAATATCTTGATCATAATTATAGAAATGGTATAATTTATTTATATTTGAACACTGTTTCTTGGACACAATGAATAGAAATGGAATTTTACTATCTAAGTTTCTTCACCTGTTTGGGCTAACGTGGACGGGCAACGCCTTGCAGTGTGAATTGAGGGAAATTTCTTACCTGGCCATCAAAATAATCAGCACCAGTGGAGTCTACAATGCCACCCTGTCCCATTTCAGATAACAATATTTCTAACATTTCACTACTCCTTTTACCATCAGAGAGTTCATTCCATTTATTAATACCACCATTAATATATTCACAACATCTATCCCACTCAGGTCTAAAATATAGAATAGATAGAACTTAATTCACAACATCTATCACACTCAGGTCTAAAATAAAGAAATGATAGAAACTATTCACAACACCTATTCCACTTAGATCTAAGAAATATAATTATTCCCATCTATTTCCTTTTGGTCTAAAGTGTAGAAAAAATTATACATTTTCACAAAAAAGTTAATCAAAAGTAATTGCATGCTTACCGTGGTGTAGCACTTCTTTTTAAGGTTTCCAATTCAAGATAAAATTCATCTCTTTGTTGAGTGACATGTTCCTGAACTTTAAGTAGGGCACTGAAAAAGAAATATTAGAGAATGAAAACAAAACACTCAGTTGTGCTGAATGTTTGTAAGATTCAGGATTATGAAATGAAAGAAATATATAATGTGGATCATCAGATGCAATATTCCGGACATTTCTATTGAAATCATAGGGGTATAGTCCAAGAAGTTTTTATAAATAGCTTGCTTACTCATGCTCTGCTTTAAGTTGATAGAAATCATTATCTTTTACTTGTATATCTTCTTCCATTTTCTGTAATAAAATAGGTAATAATTACGTAGAAATTTGTATCATTTATCAAAACTATAATCTGCCATATACTACTCTTAATATGGTAAAAACTTTTCTGCTCCTAATGATGTGGGTTTCCCACTTTTATTCTGACTGTTTAATAATGTATAACTTACTTTAAATTTTACTTCTAATGCTTCAAAATCTCTTCTGGGTATAACATCACCATAATTAGCTACCATTTCATTTAATCTTTGTGTTGCTGCCCTCTCATCTTCTCTTGCTTTTCTGTTGATAATAAAAAAAAATTTACAAAGAAAATTCTATGCAATATACTACAATGAAACTTGCAGAAAACGTCTTCAGAATTTGAATTTAACAGCTTATAGAACATCCGTTTTTTTTTTTTCAGTCCATATGATTTGATACATTGGATTAACTAATAAAACCATGTTACCCTCAATCCAACCACTCTACATAAAACTCTACCTTCTAGTTTGTTAGGTCTGACTTAGTCCCTGTAGCTTTTTATTAATTCTTACAAAGGTAACTCACCTAAGAGCAATTTTGAGAGTGACAGGATCTTCCTGAGCTTCCTCAATTTCCTGCATATTTTGTTTGGACATGAGATAATCTTCTTGTTGATATCGTAAATCATTAATGTCAGAGATCAACAGTTTTCTAGCATCACATTCATCTCTATATTTACGATATTCTTCACTCAATTTATCTTTTAATCTAGCTATCTGTTCTAATAAATCTTCATGTTCATTCTTCATAGCAGCTATCTGACCAAACAATCCACGGTTCTGGGCTTTTAAATCTGTCATTTCTATAATACAACCAGTATATAATATCAGATTATTGGTATTTGAAAAGAATTTCTTTCCTCTTAAATTTGGGGTTAACAAGGATTTTTTATAATACACAGTCAACAATAAAGAATGTTTTGTTTTGAAATTTCATCATTTTGTCAGGTTTAAACCTTGCATGCAGAAATAATCATCTGTCATAAAAAGGATTTCACCTCATACTAAACCATAAAACAATAGAATGGCCTTACCTTTTTTCTCTTCCTCTCTTAATGCCATGATTTTCTGATCACATTGTTCAGAAACTGTAACTAACATTTGCTGAAATATAAATAATGCAACACTTTAATGATATATATTACCTCAACTTTCAATAAAAGAAAGTCAAATATAATTTCAAAATTGCAATCAATTGAAAAGGTTATATTTCTACATTGAAAAAGAAAAGATTTCTGAGAATTTTGAAAACAGTTCCTTGAAATTCCACTTACTTTCAATGGTTCCATATCCCTAAGTTGTTGTCTTTGGTGTGCTAACATCATTTCATATTCATTTTTAACAATAGATAATAGAGGTTTATATGTTTTAAAATCTTCTATAAGATACTCAAACACCTCTCTATGAGCCTGAAATGAAATAATGGTGTTCATAAGCAAACTTAAAATGTTCTATCAACAACAATACAATGACTAAGCATATACAAAAACAACATTTTTTAAATCCTAATTCAATTTTTTAATTTTCATTCATGTGATCAATAAAAAAGAGTTGAAATTAAAATAATAAGCTTATAAGTTTACCTGTAAACGTAATTCACTTGGAGTAACATCAGTTACACCTAAAGCCTTCAATTCTTTCTTTAAAAAATTCTCTAATTGTTCCAGAAATCTTGGTTTGGGAATCATCTGTAGTTTCCCCATTTCATCTTCACTAACCAGGACTAAGCTCTTATTTTTAGACAACATGGCAGAAGTAGAAGAAAAGCCATGACTACCAGCATGGGCAGGCCAAGTATCAAGCTCACCAGAAAATGTATCTACATATGGCTGAAAAAAATATCAATAATGTCACTTGAGGTCTGCTTACCATTAGGAATTTGTTAAATAATTCTATACTTAAGAAATCAGAATTCATGAGATTAACCGAAAATATTTTGATGATTAAAAAGCTGTCATTAAAAATTCTCATTGAAGACAATAGGACATACCTTTAAAGATTTTGGAGGTGGTAGTGGATGATGTAATTTATTGATTTTATATGATGGTCCAGTCATTCCTTCAAATCTTTGTCCTATTCTTGGTGAAATTTTTGCAACTTTCCCTCTAGAATAGAAGAAGAATACAGTTATTTTTTAATCAAAAACAATAGCCTGGCAATATTAAGTCGAAAAATCAAGGATTAATTCCTACTCAATGGTCACTTTTACAGCAGCATATTACTTGAATAAAGGGCTTTTAGCTTTCTGGTCTGGATCAACTTCAAATCTTCCTTCCCTTCACTGCACCTGCCAGTCACACTCATAGTCAGTCAGTGCTTTTGAGTACAGTTGTGGATGTGAATTCTTAGAGCATATGCCTAAAAAGGGTTTAACAGTACGATTCTAAAAATTCTTACGCAGAAAGGGGTGGCAGGGTAGCCACGGCTAAATTAGAGCTGCTCATTTTACATCAAACAAATCTTATGGATATTGCAAGTCACAGAAAAATAAACAAAAAATTATTTTTCTCCCTGAGACGCCATCTTGTTTTTGTCATGGCAACAAAATGTTTGCGACATTACAAGTTCTTTGCTGAAACTTTACTTTATATTTGCAGTTGAATTTTTTGCACAAAAATCAATGTTTATTTTAAATGATCGTTATATGACCATTATATTTATCTTAAATACTGTTTGTTTGTCGTAAAATAAAACAGAAAGACTTTTTAATGGTATCTTTTCTATACTCGGCATAAGTACAAATTGTAGTTGTAGATTATGAAACGAATGCGATTTTTTCTTATATTATATTCAATCATGTTATTAACGACAATTCCAAATTCGCAATGGTTTGAAGAACTTAAGTTTTGTGGATTAGACGGAACCCAATAAAAAATTTCAGACGAGGCCTAATTTGCAATAAAAAAAAAGAATTTGCAGAAACAATGACGTTAAACTGTTCATGGAATACAAATGAATATCTAAATATTATATTAAATATCAATATGATTATGAAATCATTATACACTTTAATTCATTCTCTTGTTTTCAATGAGTGCAGGCTAGTTGGTCGAGCGAAGTAGTATAAATCCTCCGCAATGCTAAGAAAATGGGATTGTCAGATCAAATGTTACGAGTAGACAAGGACCGTAGACCCTTGAAAATGTAGATGGCCAAAATACATTTTCAAGAAATTCCATTTTACAAAACAAACCATTGGTAGCCAATGCTTTGCATTATGATAACGTCAAGGAATTTTTCTAAATGACGTCATATCAATTGTCATCAGTGATTGTTCTGAATTTCAACAGAAAACAGCACAATTTCTACTTCTCTGATAATTGTCAAGTAATTATCAAGTATTTTGAGAATTAAGGTGAGTTTTTAACGTATCTTTACTGTGTTCATAATATTTTAGCGATATACACTTGTATTAAATTGTAACACTATGAATGCTTCCGATGGATAATGAAATTCAGCCAAAAACATCAGATAAGGGTCGTTTTATTTTCTTCTTACTAATATTTTAAATTGTTTCTTATCTTCCAGTGAGAATGGCATCAATTAATTCCAGACTTCCATCTGCATCAGCAGACGTTCCTGAAGTTGGAATTTTCAGAAAAAGTCCAGCAGAAACTATGAGAGATTTTGCCAGAAGTCAACAAGTGGACGAGACTCAAGATTATAACACAAGCTCTTCTTCAGATCTACAAAAGCAAAATGTCAATCAAACAGGGGAAAAAACAAACAAAAATGCATCAGTGGGCTTAAACACTAATGGATCGTTACCGTTAATGCTTAATGCTGCAGAACCGGAAATGTCTGACATTCTGCCAAAAATGATTCCAAAACGTACTGATGAAGAGCCTGGGAAACAATTACAACTAAAGAACCAACATTTAGATCTGTCACAGTATCTGATAACAGACAGACCTCTTCTGGAATTTGCTAAATATTTCATAAACAGATTTGACGACCAGGATGATTCGAATGGCAGCAATTGTAACTCGGGAGAAAAAAGACCGACAGTAAATGTGGATCATGCCGTTATAGAGGATGGAAACGAGAAAGGTTTGTGAATCGACTGAAAATTTTAAGGTGTATGATATGCATTTGATAAATTTTTACCTTATTTGCTCGCGTTTATTGAATTAAGCCAATAAATTCTTATATCACTTGTATCACCCAGTTAATGAATTACCCTGACTAATAAATAATTATGTTTTGTGATTTCAGAAAAGAAGACTTCAAAGCTAAAAAGATTGCGAAGTAATTTGAAAGAATTTAAGAAACGAATTGTGCGACCATTTACCATATTTACAGCCTGTTTTAGCTCAAAAGCAGAACAGTAAACAAAATATAGTGAAGATGTTTGACGATTAAGAATTTTATCTGCCCTATGATAAAGACGTTTCTGCAACTTTTGGACTTAAATCGACCACAGAAAGAGACTAAAGTTGGGTAACCATGTGATAAAGTATATTTATATTAAGTTATATAAAGTTATAAATATCTGTTTGCAAATAAAAGTTTGTTGTTTTGATACTCAATTTTTTTTAATCGTCAATGCGATGTAGATCTTTACAAGGGTGGGATATCTTGGCTAACACATGCCTTGTCATAATTACAGTGACGCAATCAGAGGAGGTAGAGATGGACACGGATGTCACCCATCACATCACTACTGC